ACATGATAAATGGCCAATCTTCTCAATGTGGCGACGATAAGAGAAAAGAGCGCGCGATCTTTTCCAATATTGTGTGCGCGCCACAATCACACAAACTTCTTCCACTCGCACACTCTTTTTTTTTCACTTACAGCCACTTTCCGCCTCAATCTGTCTCTCTCTCTCCCCGAACGCCAACACCACAGAAACAAAGCGGGAAAGGAGCATTGGGAGAGTGATAACAAACCCATGTCTCCCTAATCTTGAGCAATTATCATCTCAAAAGTCGACAAGGCAGATTCCGACGGTTCATAGACCATCATAATTTAAGTTCAATTCCTCTCGTTGGCGCGCGCAGAGCCACAAAAAAAGCCCCGCGTCGAGTCCATCGTACAAAAATAATTACAGACATTGATTAGCTCTCTCATTGAGGCAGAATTTTTGATTTTACCCAATAAATTCTATGGTAACTCTCAACAACAATCTTGCAAACTTATCGCGCACAAACAGACGCATTATTGTACATTTCTGGCAGAAATATTTTATCGCAAGTAATACCCAGAAATAAGTTCAAACTGGAAGAATATCATTTGAGATAATTATTGGAGGAATTTCCCTCTGATTCCGCTCGCGACAATTTCAAGCGCGCGCGGAATTCCGTTGGCACTTTTGAAAAAATCTACACAAAAACGCTCACGCATTGATCGCCATTGAATGATTGAAAATGGTAATTTCTGCTATTAATTCACATTCACACTTTTATATCTCTCACTCCCTTCCATAAATTGCAAAATGATTTAATAATCAAGAATGATGTGAACTAGTTGCATAAATTTAACTTTAATCTCATGCTGAGACTCATGTTTACTTATGGCCAAAAGCAAGTCTATAAAATTTGTCATTTTGCAAATATTCCATCCTTGAGTGTGCAAAAGAGATCTCTTGATCATCTCTGCGCACTTTCTTCGAAAAGCCCACACTCTTTGGAACCTTTTTTTGCTGCTGCTGAAGAAAGTCAATGCGAAAAAGGAGAAATATTTTATGGACAATAAATGGATAAGAGAAGTGATTATTCAGAAATATCTCTCTCCCTCTCTCGCTGTCATTTTCGCCACACTGAGAAGGCATGAATGTTGAGACTGATTTTGATAAGAACCCAGCAAAATACCGCGAACAGATTATCGAACTCTGGATGGACAAACGCGAATGGCGAAGTGTTGAATCTCTCTTCTAAATTAAAGCATGCACTGAAAACACACCAAAGAATTTCTTATGCCCCCTCAAGAGTGACAAAAGAGCCAAGGATGTTATGTGTAAGAAATACATTGAGTATTCCAATTGAAAAGAACAGATAAGTCGTGTTTTCTAGCGAGGCAAACACAAAAGAAATAAAATTCCCCGCGCGAGTGTTTTGTCACACACAAAATTCCGGTCGGTACGATATTTATGTTAATTAACAGTGGAATATAGTACAGCCATGACAAAGTGAGTCCGCTTCGAGTGTCTCTCGCTCTCTTGTAGTTTGTTAAATACTCCAAAATGTCATCTTGAGTCACTCAAAAACAAGAAGTACCCCCCAAAAACTTGACATCGTTCGTCATTTTCGCCCAGAAAGCCTCAAAAGCCACACACAAATACACACTTTTCTCGCGACACAACACTGCAATTTATGTTGAATGCTAAACTTTAGAAGGTGACAAGATTGTTGAATCTCTTTTTTTTTTCTCCCAACCACACTCCAATGCTGCCTTTTGCACAAAACCTCCACGAGATAGCGATCATTGGATTGACTTTTATGCTAATTATTTCATTCTCCATACATTTTCTCCGTGTTGAATCCAAAAGAGAGTCATTCGGTGCTGCTTTTTTTCCATCACCACAAACACACTCACAAACACACGGCTTTTTGTCTCCTCAATAAACATACACATTATGTTGTGTGCTTCGAAGGGAGAGAAAAAGTTCCTTCCGAAAGAAATTGTCTGCATTGCGATATTTGACAGTGTGATTAAAACATTTTCGTGGGCGAAGAAAGAAAGGCTTCTTCAGTGTCAGAAATGTTGCTTGTTTTTGTGTCTTGTCATCGAATTTCAATTAAAACTTTACTCTTTTTCCTCCAACTTTGCACATTGCGCGCACAAGACAATGTAATTAAATATGCTCAATTTTTATCTATGGACTCTCGATGTGAAGAAGAAAAAAACAGCAGTGGCCACATAATGTAACAAAAGACCAGCATGAGTAGTTTTTAACATTAAGTGCGCACCCAAATGTTCAACATACGTTCTTTTTTTCTTTTAGCCACTTTGCCTTCTCTCACGAACAATTCCAAATTGGCTTATCTGTCGCCATTTCCTGGATTTCAAATGATAATCGCCTTTTATTTCTTTATTTATATCTTTTTCCCTCCCATTCAACTTCAAAACCACCAACGACAAACTTCAAATTTTTTGTCCACTCTCCCGAATTTATCTCTGAGAAACTCGAGAATTTACTTTAGATTATAACGAAATCTTTTAGTTTTCTGACCAGTCCAAAATGCGCTGCCTCAGCAAATATCCCCCAAATAGAGTTGCTCTACAGATTGGTCTATTGATGCATCTTCTGATAAAAAACAACGATAAATTGCCATTTCAGTTCGATCTTAAGAACCGCCATTGACACGAGCGATCGATAGAAAAGTGTTTAATTAATAGAATAATTTTACCTTTTGAAGATTTCACTGCTCGAAATCTATCGAATCGAATCAAATGCAGTTGAAGAAATTAATTAATCCACGGAAATAATGGATTTTACTAGAGAATTAACTGCGTAGAAATTCATTGATCATTAATTTTTCCTCCATTAAAAGCAAACAACAAACTCAATTTGAACTTAATGTTCGAGACGGAAAGTCAAAGCCGTAAAGCGTCTAAAAAAAAAGTTGAGAGACACTTTTATTTTGTGCCATGAAGCAAGCATTTATCACTTTGAAAATGCAAATATTCCCTGATATTTAATATCACCAACTGAAATTCTCCTTCTTTTTTTTCAAATGAGGTTTTGGAAAATTTACCAGATAAGCGCGAGCGCTTTGTTGCAACAATTGTAGAATAGAAAACAGGGAAAAAGGTGAAAATTGTCATTTATACTGCCTGCTTATCACTAAATATACCCCCATGATTACCCTCAAACAGTGCTGATTGAGGAATTACTCCGATATGCCTCTGAGACACGTGAAAGTTGTGGGTGAAAAACCGCCGAGAAACTGTCGACAGAAAAGTAACAAAAAATTCCCTCCCGAAGCGCTGGACAGAAATTCATAAGTGGCCATAAAATCAAACTGCTCAAATCGAATTAGTAATTTGATATTGTAATTCATGGGGCATGTTTCAACGAGGAAATCACGCTAGAAACATCTTATGTTGGACGCTCGTTTTATGTCCCCACACATCCCAAGGGGCAGATATTGTGGTCGAAAATTGATGTACAGCTTTTGTGGAAGTGTTAAGAATTCAAAGAGGTAGAATATTAAGAGTATTTGCTTTGCAAAAGCTTCTGTTTCAACAAATAGAGGCATTTTCTCATTTATTTTGCATAGCAAAATTAATTTTATTCCTTTTCTAGGTTATGTGATTGATTTAAAATCGATTCTGGCGTAAAAATAACCCTTAAAATCATCCAATTTGTGTTTAAGTTAAGAATATTTCTCTTTTTCTTATGAGATTTTAGTCTTTTTGATGGAAAAAAAAAACTTATATTGATTGCAAAAGCTCCGTAAAGCCAATCATAACCTCAAAAATGTTATATCAGTGAAGAAGAATTGATCTTTGCTTAGATTTTTCTGCGATTCGTGCTTTTTTATTCAGCAGAAACATTGTCATATTCGCTATATTTATTCCTTTCTAGGTTAGAAAGGATTTTAATTATCTTAGAAGTATTTTTCGGGTCGGATTCATAACCTCACAATTTGGTCAGAACTTCTTAAAGCATTTTCTGATGGCAAAACTAGAAAATTAAGTCAAAAAATTTTCATAAACAAATCCTAAGACTTTTTAAATCACAAGCTTTTGATAAGCTTTAGCTTCTTGAGATTGAAAAACCAAGATTAGATTATTATAAGTTATTATAAAACAGTTGAAAAATGTCTTCTAAGACGCTCAAAAGTGTCTGGAAGTAGTAAAGATCCTGCAGAGAAACTGTGGAAGTGTTCGGAAGTGGTGTACAAATTTCAGACATATAATCTCCCCCTTGACACACCCCCCAATCCACTAATTCCTCCGTGTTTCTCTCTCTCTCTCGTCTTTTTTTCGGCACTCAAAGCAAACAAACCATACAACTTGCCATTGGTGTTGAAGAAGTTAGAGGAATAAAAAGCGAGCCATAATATACAAACACTCTTTATGACTTATTGTAATAATTCATCTATTGTTGATTATATATTGTTGTTTATGTCTCGGGGTCGCGAGACACGAGGGATTTTTTCTCTTTCTTCTACGCTATTTTACACCAGTGCGTAGCCCAGAGATTGAGTCCAAAATGTGGCAAAAAGACTCATTACAGAGTGTTCTTCCAGGGTCTCTCGGAATGAAACTGGGATTGATAAGAATCAAAGAGGAACAAGTTTGACATGGTGGATGATAGAGATTTTTATGTTTAAAGCTCACCCAAAATGTAGTTTTTACGACGCATTTTTCCCATTATGAAATACACACATTAATGTGTGTTCAGATTTTCTGTGGTGATTTTGAGAATCATCGCGGAATTGTGTAAAAATTGCCTCTTAATTCCTTAATGTTTGATAGAAAATTCAACAAAATTCAAACCCGAGTTCGTTAACACATTTCACGCACATTTCGAGGCTGAAAAAGAGACGAAAGAGACACGAAATCATTCACGCTTTTTTTCACACCCCCTCGAGACATTTCTGCTAAATTAGCTAATTAAAATATTATTGGCGTAACAAACATCAAATGGACAGAGAGAGAAAAACACCGGGTGAATAAAATGCTTTGTACATAAAAATATAAAAGTCAACATACTTTTTAGCAGAGGTTTCGGATTCGACTGCTTCCTTCGTGACATAATTACTTTCATCAAAATTATTCATAAATTACACTACAGTTGACAGGCTAGACACAAGGATTTCACTGTTCACTATCACATTAATCATCACGGAACTGATATGCAAATTACTCCCTCAACATTATTCACTCGCGAAGAAAATATATGGAGAAGAAGAAAATGCTTGGTAATTAGAAATTTTGGATAATTTCTTATCAGTACTGGTTCTTTTTCTTCTTCTTGTATTTTTTCAAATCAGTGGAAAAAAACCCGGCAAAATGTTCTTTTGCAAAAACAACCCCACTTTTTGCCACCTCCAACTCTGCACAGCAATTTTGGTTTTATTTATTTTGTCTGTATATTTGGGATCAAATTCTTGTCCAAAAGTCAATTCACTGCTTTCTTTCAGCGTCTTTCAGTCCATCAGAAATAAAAGGAAGAAAAAAAAACAGCGTGTGTGTTTGTATCTGAAGGAAATATCTAATTTTTCGTCGGAGAAATAAAACCACCCCGCACGGAACTCAACTGTAATTTCTGCAGAAAATTACAATAAGAACAATTAAAATGAAAACTTTCGTGATGTCTGTATTTTATATATTCAAAAACTTGTCTGCCAGTGGCCTGAAACACTTTTTTAATTTTCTTCACCCGACAATAATCATAATGGGTATGAAAAGGAATTGTATTATTGTTAAATAGCGTGACTCGCCTCGAGAAGCCGCGCAGTCGAACAGTGATAGTTACACCGTCACTGATTCAAACAAACTAAACGGGACGTGGACTTCGAAATGAGCAATAAGCGGCCAGTTGGGAAATTTTCTTTACACACTCCCTTGGCTGTGTGTGTGTTCACTATTTTATCAGCGAGATCTCGTGTGCGAGAGAGACAAGAATAGCCTCAATATAGGGTGATTCACAAGTCCAGCTGAGCCGGAAAATGATTTGGAGAAGATTGTGGCAATTGATAACGATGTCATATTCGAGATAGCAGAAATTGCCTGTTAAGATTATCCAGGCGATAACAGATTTTACAACTTATCCAGACACTGATTAAACTCACGGACACCATGAATCACCCTTCATCGTCCCGCGAGCGACAAGGACAGCAACACCATCTCCGCGGCACGATACGAAGTGACGGAGATAAGAGATCGGTTGTACATCGTTGCGCATGCACAGAACAATCGCCACCACGTGTGACGTTTTATTTTGACATGTCTGACAATTTGTTTATGATTGATGTCGTCTTACAGCACTTCATCTCTCGCTCTCACACACACAGCCTCCCCATCTTCTCTCCCACTCACACGGTATTTTGATGCCAATCTACCTCATTATCACTCACACTTTTTCTGCACATTTGTGCGTGTGGTTTTTGCGCCATGCGAGCGCGATTCCCGCCAAAATGTCGAGAAATTAATTTATTCACGCTGGATTTATATTTTTCGATCTTGATACCGAGATAGTGCCAAATTCATGGGGACAGATGGAATTATCAGTAACTGTAGAGACGACAATTTTCGCCACACTTGTCACACGATGGGCGACAAAAAAGAATTAGAAAGGCAAATTAATCGAATGGAATATTGAAAATATTTTGACTTGATTTGTTATGCGCGGAATTTGAATTAATTACATCACAAAACCAAATCTTGTAAGATCATCAACAGAGTAAAAGAGAAAGAGAGAAACTCTTAAGACACGCGCGTCATCTGCGAATAAGAGTCGAACTAGAAGTGTGTTGCCACACTCTGGATAACTCGGATAATCTGACTGCGAGTCCAACACGCAAAACTATCGAATGCGAAATCGATCGTGCGCCCTCTGTCGGTGAGGAGCAATGTGTGCAAATTTGAATTAAAACACACGTTCTCATCCATTTGCACAGAATGAAGCGTAAACAGTGATAAAAGTGTTCGCTGGCAAACACAGCGCAAAGGCCAAATCTCCAGGGAGTGAAGCTTTTTATCATTAATAAACATTGAAGGTGAGACTCTATAAATAGTGATTGAGGAACAATTTGCCAGTTGACAAATGGAGGTCTGCGCCAAGCGATCAGCGAAGATGAGCGGCTTCTCGCCAGTGAAAACAATATGCAAAAGGCATTCGGAAGAGGCGAACGTGACACATGGATTAGGTCATATTTATTAAATTTGCATTAATTATCCTATTTAGACGCTATAGATGATTGCTTTCGTCCATAACATCGCCGCTCTGAGACATCGCGAGCCGGACAGAAGCGGTTTCGCCGGATGCCGGCAGAGTCGAATGACCACCGCGCAACTAACAATAGACAATCGCGGCGGGGCAGGATTTGCGCGCGCAAAACCACGTGAAAACAACTGGCAAGGTGGAAAAGTGGGCATTTTCCACAATTACTGAAATCACCGCAGAGAGAGAGAGAGAGAAGAGAGCTTTTGCTCCCCAATTATCAACACGCACCTCACCACAATTCCTCCCTCGCAATCTCATCCTCGCATTCTTTCAGTGATATTGGCAGCAAAGTGGAAAAATACCTGACACAGCGCGTTTCTCTTATTTTTCGCCAGCATCTCTCTCGCCAATCTCTTCGCACCTTCTCACTCTGGCACGACTCAAATTCTAGCGACAAAAAAAATCGCCATGCAAGATTTATATGGTTGTTGTTTGTGTGGTTATAGGATCGACAAAAATTTAAATAAAAGAATATGATGAAACAACTAGACATTTTTGCACCAGACAATTTTTATCCACGCTCCTGGATAGTGGAAGTCAACGTGATCGACGTGCTGGGCGACATTCATGATCGAGAGCGTCGCGGGTGTTTTTCACAGAAATAATAATAATAGAAAATAAAATTTTTCACACCATTTTCTTGAGCTATTGCAACTGCACCACAATATTTCCTCATGCACTCACAATGTGAGTGTCAGGAAATGTTCTTTGTCTTGCACATATCTCAAACCACCCACTCTGGCGCGCATTTGCGCGACTGCGAGGGTGTGTATTTATCAACAATTCTAAGTAGATTTATTTTGCAAGTCCGGCGCGATTTCTAAGGAAATCATTTCGAAATAACCAGATTTCAAGCAAACTGACCAGAACCTAATTCTTATGCATCCACTCGTCAAACCTACCTTCAAAGGTGTGACCATAAGATCAATCTTACTTAGAATTCTAGACGTGCGAAAGTGGATTTGTGACCAGGAAGCAAATATTCTAATTAATCCACCCTATGTTTATTGAACAGCCAGAAAACATTGTAGTTCTCCTCAGAGAGAAATCCCATAAGATAACAGTGATTGCGGCGATTGATTTATTATTTCACTAAATGCTGTGCAAGTCCAGGAAATACATCTGCACTTGACAGAGTCTAAATTTATTTATTTCCTTGAAAATTGATAATCTAGCGATAAAGAATGCGTCGAATTGCGTACTTTCCTGAAATTGCGCTTCACTGAATTGTGCTGCAAAACCTGTGTTTCGGAAGTCTTGACAGTGGTTTTCTGGGCTTCTTCTGCACCGCCTCTTGAGCCACAACGATTGAGGGACTTTCCCTGACCCAGGCCAGTTTCGCCCAGAGACAAAGAATTCAGCAAAACTGATTCATGCTTTATATCAACTGAAGCTGCCTTCATTCAACACACACCATCGCAAGTAAGCCACTCGTCAGCGTACTTGAGTTAAATTGGGTTTTCTTTTTTTACCACTTTAATTGTTTATCCCATCTTTTGTTTATGTGTATCAGCAAAATGGACTGAAAATAAATGTCTGTGGAATAAATTTAGATAGAAGAGAGAGAGAATCGGAGTCAATGAAGTAATTCAATCAGCCAAACGCGATTTGGGGGCACTTTGAAGGAAGGCCCATTTATCAGAGTCACTTGAGACTGATAATTTTAATCAAAGGAATTAAGGATTGTGCCACAAAAGCACCCCTTCAAGGTTGCACTGAGTAACCAGGAAAAATATCATCAACGGGGGCGAAGAGAGAGAGGGAAATTTCGCAACGCGGCTCAACCACTCTTCTCGAAGGCCTGCCAGATAAGTTCAGGGATTTTGATTGGGACATATTGTGAATTTCCCTTCCACATAATTGTGAGTAAAGATAAAATTCCCTGGAAGTCTGATGAGGCAGAAAATTCACATATCAGACAGTTAATAGTGTTGCTGAATCACGTGTGATAAATTATATCACTATCTCAGCAAATACCGCCGAGTTCACACAGCCTAGACAAAGAGTGAACCGCGCGAAGATGCACCTTCTGGACGAGAAGCGAATCCATCCAGAATTCTGCGTCTGTTCGGAATAAAATTTCAATTTTTTCCACTTTATTGTATCATCTCACGTCCACTTGACGATGATGGAGTCAAAATAATCCAGTTGACACTGGTTGAGCGCCAACACAATGTACGAAATATTTGCTCATGAAGCTTGTTTTTTTTCTCCTTCTTCTTCAACAGCCAAGAGGAAAAATATGGAGAGAGACACACGAAGAAAAAGGCTGAGACAAAATTGGTCACCAAGAGAGCACACCTCCGAATTGACGTCACTGACCCCCTATGCTAAAAGTGCGGCAATCGCTGTTCACGTGAACCTTCCATGACGATCACTCGGTCAACGCATGATAGTCCGCCAGAGAGCACACACGAACACACATTTGCACCACATTTCGCGCCAACGAGCCCCCATTTCTGATTGGCGGGAAAGCGCATGAGCACGCTCTAGCCTAGTGATACCCATTGACGGACACGTTAGACCGTCCTGCTCTCGCTCAGGCCCTCCATCTCGCCAAATCGCCCAAAATTGCCCAAAATCGCGAAATCCACAGGAAAAAAAAATCCTCTCGACGGCCACTCAAGGGAGATCTGATAAGAATTTCGCTACTTGAGTCAATTCGAAAAAAAATCACAAGTGGGATGGTTTTAAAGCCCCACAGTGACGAAATGCCTGTGTGAGCGCGCGCGCCTGTGTGCGTGCGAGTCGCGGGTCTTTGCGGTGGAGAAACTTCATTCTACAATTTTACTTCATCGTCGACCGCACAGTGAGTCGGACGCAGAAGCATCAAGTCTCTCTCTCTCTCGCTTTCTGTTCAGCCAATTCCCAAGCAATTGAGCAACTTCCCCCCAAGTTAGCTGTTTTGAGAAAGTGAAGTGGAGATTCGCCAGTTCTTAAGTGAAAATCTCTCAGTGATTTTGCACCACAGCCAGAAGTGATTAGCATTGAGTGTGTGAACAAAGCACAAAACAATTAATAATCAACCATCAGTGAACTCAAGTGACTCACTGGAGAATTTTAAAAATTCAATAGACAACAGTGATAGGAATTATTGCAAAATGCCAGACTCTGGATTACTCCTGTCGCCGCCAGCAACTCCGCCACTTAGAGAGGAAATGGTTAGTATCTTGTCTCATTGCTCAGACGTTCTAGACGCGCATTCCCGAAATTTTCCATGACGAGATTAGGCCGCAAAAAAACCTCTCGCGACGGCGTGGTCAATGTGGAAGAACCGTGAAAAAGAACCTAAAAATACACAAAACCACACTATCTTCTGCCTCCATGCGAAAGCACAGTTCTGCAGAAAAGAAAAACTGAAGTATGTTTGAAAATTCAGTTGCAGAGTGCACGAAATGCGATGGAAAAAATAAAAATAAAGGCGTTTTTTCGCTGACCACCAGCAACACTGGCGTTGAGAAATTCAACATTAAAAATAAAGACCAAGAGCCCGAGAGAGAGAGCATAGAAGAGTGACGAGACAAGGGAACCCTTCCCCCTGTCACACACCCAAAATGAGACCTCACACTCCTCTCAAAATAAATCCAACATTCCATGTCAATAAATATATGGTGCTATGACAAAATATGCTGCCTCTCGCTCGCGCTCACTTGAAATTTGAACACAATCGCGCCCCCTTTCATTCGCACCCGTTCTGGTCACACTCTGATCACGCAGCCAGCACTCGGCAATCAGCTGGTGTTCACGTGAACACCAAACAGAGCGTTGTTGTGAACTTTGGACTGGCGGCGAATGACGTTCCCAATACATCCACGCCCCGCACAGTCATGCACTGACGTACACACACACACAATTCGAGTGTAACCAAACACGAGAGATAGCAGTCGGTCCAAAGGTTCGCGGCCCATGACTCAGCTGCCAAGCATTCCGACATCCAACCAAGATATCCAGCCTAGCCAGGCTAACTCTGACGACTTTCCAAGTCTTTCGGCTTCAGAGTTAGCCTAGCCTAGGCAGTCTGTCCTAGCGCCCGAACATCGCGAGCGACCGCCAATTCGACAGAGTGAAACGCTTGTTGGAAGCGCGCGATGAGTCCCAAGTCAGAAAGAGAGAAAACAATGAGAATATCCACGATTACGCATGACTCTATTCGCTTCTCTCTCGCATCCTCGGATTGGCGCGGTGTTAATGTTCGCCCGTCCTTGTTGAGGGACAAAGGAAATATTTCCATGACGTCGGCATTGAGTCCTCTCATGCCCAAAACCGTACTTCTCGCGAGCCAATATTGTATGCAAAAGCACCGGCCAGTAAATTGATTCAACGAAGCGACAACCTTCCCATGTAAATTATCGTTGAGGAAGCTCATATACAGGGCGCTTCTTTATACAACACACTCTTCAAAATAGCCAGGGTCAAGCGAGTGATAAACGCCAAGGACTCTCGGAATTTACGCCGACCCGCCACGCCTCGCGCGACGAGTTTATTTATCTGGAGAAGCTAACCCAAGAATCTTCCCTCTTTGTTACAGAAGCACGGAGATGACAGCATCAGAAAGTGCCTCAAGAGGAAGCTGGAGAGCGTTCTGCCCAAGGGCATGGTCACACCGAATCCATCCGACACGGAGGATGACTCAGACTTGCCCCCGCGGAAGCGCCACTACGCCAGGGAGCAGTCCTTCGCCGCCAGCCTCACGCCGCCGCCGTCCGAGGACGAGGACACGCGCGAGTTCCGGCTGACGAAGGAGGACTTTATCTCCAGGATCACAGAGGCGGCCAATGAGATCTATGGCCAGGAGAACGCCCTGCAGCAGCAACAGCAGCGCGCCAGCGTGATCATGCGCGCCAGCAGAGACGGCACGATCAAGCCGGAGCAGCCGAGCGAGGCGCAGTCTTTCGACACCTTCAACGTGTTCCGCAGTGTCAAGTACAAGATTGGGCGACACAGCCGGCCCCAGGCGCCGCCCGCCACTGTCACACCCGCCGTCCCGGAGGCGCCCAGCGAGGAGCCCGTGGAGCGAGTGCGCAAAATTGCAACACCGCCACCGGTCGCCTCGCCACCGCCGCCCGCCAAGCCCGCTCAACTGCCCGCCATCGCGCCCAAATTGCCGCCGCAGGGCTTCCTCATCACCACCACCTCGGCCGGCGGCAACATCCTCCCCGCCGGGCAGTACGTCATCTTCCAGACGCTGTCGCCCATGGTGCCGCCCAAGAGCGCCTCGGCGGCCAGCAGCCCGCCGCCGGAGCGGCGGCGCATCTTCGAGTGTGAGTACCCCAACTGCGGCAAGAACTACTTCAAGTCCAGCCACTTGAAGGCCCACAAGCGCATCCACACCGGCGAGCGGCCCTTCATATGCAAATTCGAGGGCTGCAACCGCCGCTTCTCGCGCTCGGACGAGCTCTCCCGCCACAAGCGCACGCACACCGGCGAGAAGAAGTTCGAGTGTCCTGTGTGCCAGCGCCGCTTCATGCGCAGCGATCACCTGTCCAAGCACGTGAAGCGCCACTCGAAGGACAAGAAGTCCGACCGGATGAATCAGCAGAAATCCATTGTCAAGGCGATTTCGTAGGCTGATCGCATCCGCCGCACATTCCTGCCCAGAAGCGCGCCTCACCCGCGCGCGACAACGGGACGAGTGACACGCGCGCTCTTCAGTAATTATCATCCTTCACACCGCCATCAATGCCATCATCATCCGCCTAGACTAAGAGAAGAAACAAAGGAAAACTCTGTGATTTTCACTTTCACGCAACTTCGAGCACTTTAGAGAGCAAAATTGCGCGCTCTTCAGCGGCTGTTGCAGGAAACCCAACTCTGTTTTGCATTTCTATCCTTCTAACATAAGTTTTTACACTACAACCCTAGGAACTAGATTACACCAGCTGCATCTAGACTTAGATCAGACCTATTTATAAACCCATTGTTTTTCACACACACGGAGAGCAATTGCTTATGTTTATTATATACTGTGAATGAGCGGAATCATACTTTATCCCTCATTTCTCATCGCATCAAGTACAATTTGTGAGGAAACAAAGATCGGTGAATATTTGTTAAAGAAAAAAATTCTTATTTAGGACAACAAATAAATTATTGAATAACTGAAATCGATGGTGTTTTGTTTCACTTGCGAATCGCGGTGACTTTTTGGGCGGAGACGAAGAGGCACCAAAACCCGTCGGAATGCCTGTGCCCGTCAGTGTGCCAAAACAGGAGAATGGCAAGTCGAAGAGGAGCAGAAAGACACACACGAAAGGCACGAGCAAAAAAATAGGTCAACTCAGCTCGACACAGCATCCAGATTCAACCGGATTCGCCGCAATTCTGTCTTCTTTGAGAAATTGAGCAGATCCGCAAGTTGTACATGCAGAAAATGTATGCGCGCAAAAAGCGCAAATGATCAACACAAACAGAGAAAGAGAGACAAACTAAAATTAGTCTCTGGGTTATCAGCCAAGCAAACATACACATTTTTGGAACAATTGGCGCGGCTTGAGCTCTGGTGAACTGGGAAGAGCGCGCACTGCTTCCCAATGTCTCATCACATTCTCCCTCCGCACACACTCACTTTCTATTAATTGGTAACTCGAGCACGCCTTTGCCATGTGATAAGTGCATGAGACATGCGCAAAATAGCTGGCAAATACAATTTTGCCGGTCAAAAAGTCACAGCGTGATACAGCGTACGTCGCTTTTCCACCCAAGAACACAAAAAGCCTGTCAACTGATTAAATGGCTCAAAACCCCTTTTGGCGCAATATTGGCACAATATCGGCGCGATCTGGACAAGAGCAATTGACACCGCTCAGCCTCGCCGCAGAGTGACCTCAAGTTAGCCAAGCTCTTAAGACGCTTCAAGGTCCCCAAAAGCCCTACGCAAAGGGAGAGACAAGAAAAAAGAGACTTCTCAGCTTATGTAAGCGCACGACGACACTTCGTCAGAAGCCCAAATTACAAATTTATTCACCTTGTCTCGCCACGCAATAGGTAAATGAAGACCTCACGCGTCATTGAAAACAAAACCCGGGCACGCCTCGGCATATGTTCCCATTGTAATTACATGCGCATAACCGCGAAGGAATTTGGATTATCACAGCGCGCGACCCCCGCACAAAAAACATCCCACATTTTATCAATCACAACCGAAATGTTAAATAAAAACAATGTCGATTAGGGGAACAAAAAGGAAGAAATATATTGTTACCGTTTTGTAAGATGCGCGATGACGCATTTTGAAATTCAAAATACGATGATTTGCGTATTGCAGGTCATATAAAAAGTGCGCGCAAAGCAAGCAAAAGAAGAAAAAAACACATTCCCACAACCCAAGAGTGAAAGTCGTGATTTTTTCCCCACATCGCGACTCAATTCTGTTCTCAGGGCGCGCGCGCTATCAAGAATCGCGAATGAGTGAATCCCGACCGAAATAAAGTTGGTGTGGGTCAAAATCATCACCCATTCATGCAGTCACATCGTCACGATCACGCCTTCGAAACGTGATGCTCACACGCAAACTCTGCTCCCATCAGCCACTTTTGCCCGCAATTGCGCGCTCACACACCCAGCTCGCGATTAGAGATAGCCCTAAACCGCCGCGGCCAATCACTCCCGATCTCTCCCCCAAGCGACCTTACTACGTGGAAGGCAGTGTCCACGGGCGCGCCGATAAGGTGTATCTGAATTGGAGAAAACAGAGACACTTGGGGTAATTTATTGCATAAGGCCAGGAGGATGTTTTTCCCCAAAAAGCTGTGATCACACAAATTGCCGACATCTTCACGCTTCTCTAGTGGATTTTCGCAGATAGATATTATTCACGTAGACCAACACACAATGGGTGGAAATTCACACCTTCCCAATTCCCCAGTCTGAGTGATTCAGGTTTCGGTGGGAAATTCCCAATTTCCCAGATAAGAAGCCCATTAATAAGAACCAACAAGAATATTGCTTTGACAATTTCTAATAAGAGCGCAAATTCACGCAAATTCATTATAATGCAGGTAAATTGGGTTCACATGATAAGCAAACATGACTCTGAACTTGCTGAAATTAAGTATTTTTGATGAATTTGACCATTGAAAGCAAGAATTTACAGCGATTTGATTGCATCTAAACTTATTTACTCTAAGCAAAAAGTCACAAAATAGAAATGATTTCCTTTTGAATTTTTAATATTTGACAATTTAATCAGTATTCTTCCTCTCTTTCATCTCTTCTCGCCACCTGCTGTCTCTGTCTCACGCCTTGCAGAATCTCAGCATTGATGGTGTTGACATGCATACAGTCATGTGTTTTGTTGACATTGTGTTGCTTAGTTATGTGGATATGAAGTGCTTCCAATGTTTCGAGAGATTTATTCCACATGTTGCGATCCTCTTTTTATTATTCATTATCATTTCAAGAATCTCGGTGTCCAGGGATTAAAGACTTACAATAGAGACTTCAAACTCAGTATAATTAATAATTTAAGTGGGTTTCTGGATGAAAAAAAAAACCATTAGAATAAATAGATAAAGCTGAATGCGATTTTCAAGAGTTCCTACTTAAGTTTATCTCAACAATCTGAATCTATTAGTTGGATTCCAAACTGGATTAGACCACTGATACTGAGTGAGCAGCGCTAACTGACTCATTTAGTTCATTGATCTAGAGAACTATTATTATCACTTTACGACTGAACACATCTCCCTTATGTAACGAATAAATTGACATAAATTATACTGGAAACTTGTCGTCCTCTCAAGGATGAACAACAAGTGAGTCGAGCGGAAATTAGCAACATGGCAGAAGGGAGTGCGCAATCTGCTAAATGGCCAAACATCTGTCGACACGTGGTGTTTTTTTTTTACTTCTTCGCAACACTCTCAATTGCTCGATTATGGCACGTTTTCGCGTCCATTACTTGGCCTCTGTTTCATCGATGGTCACATTGTGTAGTTGAAAAGCTCGCAATCATTAAAGCATATATTTTTCTCTTTTGATATTACAGTCCAAGTTCATGTGAAACCAGGAACATTTCTCTGCCATTGCGCGGCAATAAAGTTTTGTATTTTTAAAAGAAACCTATAAATTTAAAGAGACTCAGCGACGTTCCGACGGAGGCGTGACCACACCTAAAGGCTGTTTTTTCTTCATGGAAAATTGCCAAAGAATTTCAACATCACGAAAAACGCCCCGCGTTCACGATCATTTCCCGTGAACGTGATCAAATATTTCAGACTCAATCAGCCCCGATTGTGACAAATACATTTTGCCCTGATGAAATTCTGGCGAAAACAATCGCTTTTCGTGGGCACTTCTCATCGTAATTCGGGCTCTTTATGCAAGATCAACACTTGTGAACTTGTCGGGAAGCGCGAGCGCGCGCTGTGGAAAACACACTTGGCGCTTTTGTGTGAGAATAAAGTCCAGACGCTAATGACCTTAAAATTAATTCAAGACCAACGACAGTTTATTTCCTCCTCTTCTCACTCATTGCTCTTGTCGCCTCTTCGGCAGTTATTATTTTTAGACGCTATTTAAACACTTTTGTTGGTGTTTTCCTTTCGGCAAAGCGGAGAATTTTGATTGAACACAGCCCCAGCATTCAGTCCAAATGTCTGACAAAAGATCTCTTCGCTTCCCGCTCTCGATGGCGTGAGAGAAATTGATTGAAATCGCCAGCGAATTTATTAATAAACAACATTCAGAGCTCAAAAAGCCGTCGAACAGTTCGCCAAACTGGATGGGCAGAAAAAACGTGACTTCTCACACGTATTTATGTACAAATTTAAATATTCCGTAAGTGTTTGATAATTTAGTGAGACGGAGGAAAACAAGAAACTAGAAAATTCCCGCGCGTCGAAGCCACACGCGAAAAAAAACTCCATCAATGGACTAACAAATATCGATCGCCATTCGCTTGATTCGCGCCAAAAGTGTAAGAAAGAAGAAGAAAAAACAGAGAAGTAGCAATCCTTTATGGCTCAACATTCATCAAATTGGCTACCGATACTGTCAATTAACAGCCTCAATTGAGGAAAGCACTCGAAATTCACGCGCGCGCGCTATCAGAAGCGACACACTCTCTCCAGAGCGATAGCGCTGCGGCCGTGGGTGGTTTCTCAACAAGACACAGGCAAGAGCTGAGACACAAATAAGGCAGAGATCGTGGGGAAATTCCACTTTGTCACTTGTGAGACGCTTTCGTCATCACGGCAAATATTTGGGGCCCAGCGAGAGAGACTGATTTGCCCTCAGAAATCATGTCTGGAAGCACGTGCCGCTCCGCTCGCCTGTCGCAGCGCCCTTGCGAGCGTCACAGAGCGACTGGGATGACTTCAGACACAGAAGCTCTCTTCCAAAGCTTCCAATCTTGGCAGGATTTAACTTTAAAGTGTAAAATGCAAGGCTTTTCACATTAAATTTTCTACTTCTTTGACTGAATTCTTCAAGAAATTCTCAGTATTTCAGTAATTAATTTAGCAAATTGAAATCAAAAGTAATGTTTCGAGTTAAATTAACAGAAATTGACGTGATAATTCATTAAATTTGATATAAAATATTATCTAGAATCTTGAGATTCTGACTTCAACTTACGCTTTAGGTTTTAGACTTTAAATTTACATCTAATGAATTGAAATTCATTTTACTTCTGAACACGTTTCTTCGGCAGCTTCTTCACAGTCCAATTGCTCATCTCGCCTTCCATCCTCCAAAGTTTCCCATTGAACACTGCAAATGAGATTGGAAGCAATTTTAGTAGGCAAAGAGACGATTTTCCGCACGTTTCTTACTTAAGAGAGTTTGAAAGGCTCCAATCGCGAGGAGTCTGGACGGGAATTCAGCCTTCACGTCCTCCGGAGAGAGTTCGTCTCTCTGGTGCAGCAGTCTAAGCAGCTTCTCAGCCCTGGCGATGACCTCGTCGCTCAGCATGGGCGGCGTTTGGGGGCGCTCTTGCTGCGGCACAGACAAATTCTGCACATCCGCAGCATTTGCAGAGAAGTCTGGAAGAATGTCAGGCGGATTTAGCTGAATCAAAGCACCCGCATCGACATCCTGGATCACAGGAATGGACACTGGATCCTCTGGCAGTTCTGATATCTCAGCCAATCCCGGACGGAGCTGCGCAGAGTTCGGCTGCAATTCTGCAGAGCCGTGAATTGTCGGCAGCGCACTGGAATCGAGCGACGACGATTCTGCTGGTGGCAATGGGATGGATCTCTGACTGCCCAGGATCTGCAGAGGTTTCGCAATGGAAGTGCCCGTGTTCGAAGTGTCTGAAGCCGGCTCCTCTCGTCCTGGGCGAGTGTAGATGTGATGGCGCGGAATGACGACGGAAACGCAAAGGAATCTCTGCAGCTCCGCCTCTGTGGGCGCTTCTTCCTGCGTGGGCAGTGTGAAATTCCTGTACACCAGAGGCTTCATGATGTCCTTCATGCGCCTGGATCGTGGCGGCGGCGGCATTGGCGCCGGACTGCAGAGAATGTACCGGCGACGAGCTTCAGCTCGCAGCGCTTCGAAATCCGGCTGATCATTCATGATATCCGGTGCTTCCTGTGCCACAATGGGTTGATCCACACTGCCAGGGAGCGCCCTTCGTGTGGCAGATCCCAGGGCAGCCACCGGAGGCGGAAGCGGAGGCGTGTGAGAGATCTGATCGGTTGGACGCTGAGGAATCGCTTCCTCTCCTGGCGCTGGATCAGCAGCACTTGGACGGACCGACAGAGACTCCTCGGGAATGGTGTCCGGAATGGCGACTGGCAGAGGCCTCAAGTTCGTAGACGTGAAAGGCGTCGAAGCGCCACGAGGATTGAAAGAGTCTTCATTGGACACCGGAATCTCCCCAAAATACTCATCAAGCTGCGGAGTTTGAGGTTGAGGCGCCTCAGGAGCCGGAGCCTCTCGAAGATTGATGCCCCGGCGCATTTCCTCGGCCAGGAGAGCGTCACCCAGTTGCGCAGGAGTCGCCTTGGAGATGTCATCAACTGAAAGATCAGGGAAAAAGGGAGTGAAAATGCACAGCTTCACGCCAGTCAGGCAGCACTCACGGAAGTCCAATCTGGTGTCGAAGACAGGAAGATTCCTCGGCGCCGCATCTTTCTTCTTCCTCTGCTGCGGAGGCTTCGTTCCCTTCTTCTTCCGCACCATCGCGTCCAAATCCTGCGAAGATCTGTTCAGGGAGGTAAAGTACTCATGCTGACTGTTGAAGTACTTGAGCCTGAAGTGGTTCATCTTCACCGTGCTGTCCAGGAATTCCGTCAAGACCTCCGTTGGAATCGACCTGAGAAAATGCGCCACGAACGTTTAGTCTCCAGACGCCATTGAAATCTTCAATTTCTCACTTTATCCGGAACAGATCAGCCTCGGAAAACAGCTCATTCTTCCTCAACAGGCCGCTCAGAAACTCAGCGTACTCTTCCCTGGAACAATTCATGGTGTTTCACTGAGTTTTCACTAGGTTTTCACAGCACAAACGCTAAGAAGTCTCGAGACGCGCAGAATCCAAACGATCAAGTGAAAATTTTAAACAGTTTAACAAGATTGAAGACTTGCAGATACGCAGCCGAAAATGTGGTTGGTGTCCCAACTGAGCGCCCAAATAAATTACGCGCCAAAATCTTGCGATGAGAAAATGTATGAAAATTGATGGTGTTGCGAATGCGCCCCGCATTCCCCTACAAATCCTATCTCTGCTGATATCGCTGAGAATTGCAGTGATTTCCTCTGGCATTGAGTCGCGTGCTTTGCACAGGAAAATCAATTCGCGTCTCCGACCTTGGCTGTGAAATGCACGTCAGAAGAGCAAAAAATGACGCAAGAAAGCAAGGAATTCTTGGTCTGCAATTGATTTCTTTATTCTTCTTCAGCACTCCGTCAAAGCTTAGATGCCGAGCAGAACGGTCGTCTGGCTGGGACTGACGATGACCGGCGCGCACGCCTGTCGCACGGACATTTCCCACGTGTCCAGCAGATGCGACAGCGAGAATTGCCTGGGCAGCTTCGAGATCCTGGCCGTGAGCGCCTTCTGCACGGCCACGAGGAAGGGCGTGGCGTTGTACTCCTGCTCCATGAGATTGCAAGTCGGCGCCGTGGACGGATAGTCGTCTGCGAAGCAAAATTGCACAACAATTAGTGGCAAACACACGACATTTCGCCCCCAAAACGCTTGCATTTCAGACAACACAGCGGCGGCGGCGGCGCATTTTCACTCGGCAATACATCACGCACTCGGTGATAAGATTTATCAATTTGTGGTGTGTTTGCCGAGCGTTGAATTTAGGACAGAATAAATATTTTCACCAGCGCGCGCTCTTCTGTCTTGTCTAATAATAACATCGCTCTCAAGCCTTTGTTCGCCGGCTTATCGCGCGAACTCACCGGGAATGCTGACGCTGACCGGCGGCACGCACGGCAGATACTTGTCGTCCAGGCAGCACACGAGCTTGATGGTCCGCGTGCCAATCTGCGCCGACGGATCCAGATTGATCTTGAACTTCTGGTCGAGTCTGGCGATTTCGCCCTGCAGAATGTGCGGGATTTCCGGCGCGCCGGCGGCCGCGGACTCCTCGGCGCTCGCCATGCGCGGCTGCTTTGCCGGCGGCGGGAGATTCTTGATGTCCGGCCCAAAGAGCGCCTCCAGGCATGGCCGGAAAGTGCGCTGCAGCGTGTGATTGCCGATGGGATTCTGCAAATTCGCACTGACCGCCTCCAGCAGAGGATTGTTGATCGGGTGCTCCTTGGCGTTCGCCCCCTGGGCGCTCACCGGCCCCAAGACGTTCGTCTTGAAGTCCATCTTCTCGAGCGCCTTCTCGCACTTGAGCAGCGTCTCCAGCGGGATGCGCTGGTTGGGATTGCAGAGGATCTCCAGCAGCTTGTTCATCTTCTGCAGATTCCCATTGTTCTTGTCATTCACCATGCGCGCAATCATACGCTTCAGCGGCTCAATGTACTTGGTGAGCTGGCGGTACTTCTCGCGATAGAGCAGGTCCTCCTGCGGATTCAGCGGACTGTACACAGACGCCTGCCCAGGCGTGTTGAGCGTGGAGCTGGGCGACTGCGTCATCACGCCGCCCATGCTGCGCGGCGGGCCCTGGGACATGCTCTGCGGACTCGGCGACGGCACCATGGCCGGCGACGGCACCATGCCCTGCTGGTGCGGCTGTCCCATGCTCGCCGGCGACGGCACGGACGGCGACGGGCTCTGTCGGAGAAACTGGTTCGGCGTCACGCTTCGCACGCCCGGAAACACGCCTCCCTGCTGGCCCATCATCATCTCCGGCCCCTTGCGCGTCATCTGCGGCATGCCCACGAGCTGCCCGGGGTTCATCTGCGCCGCGCCGGGCCCCATGCCGCCGCCCTGCGTCGTAATGGCCGCGTTCATGCCGCCCTGCTGCTGCGGCTGCTGCTGGATCACCACGTTGGCGCCGCTCGTCATGGGGCCCATCATGCCCGGCCCCATGGGGCCCCCCATGCCGCCCATGGCGCCGGGGTTCATCGGGCCGCCCATGCCGCTCACCGGCGTCATGGCGTTGCCCATCTGGCCCTGACTCATCACCGGATTCATGCCCATCTGCGCCATTCCGCCCATCTGGCCCTGAATCCCGCCCGGATTCATCTGCATCGGCCCTCCGGGGCCACTGTTGGGGCCGCCGGCGTTCATGCCCGGCCCCATGGGCATGCCGCCGGGGCCAGAAGGCCCTCCGCCGCCCGCCTGGCTCATCCCGCCCATTCCCATGCCCATCTGGCCGCCGCCACCCATCTGGCCGGCCATGGGACCGGGTCCGCCGGGCACCGCGCGCTGACCCTGCATCGGCTGCATCCCCTGCATCGGCGCCTGCTGCATCGGCCGTTGCTGGAACACACAAAAAGTCCTCAAACACCGCTCAACAGCCGCGAAATCTCAGCACAAACCTGCGTCAGCGTCTGCAGGAGATTCGACGCCGGGATGCTGTTGCCCTGCGGTCCTCCGGGGCCGCCCATGGGGCCTCCCTGTGGCCCGCCCATGCCCATCATCTGCTGCTGCGGCCTGGAGCCTTGGCTGGCCAGATTCTGCAGGGCATTTATGGGATCCGGCATGCCTCCCGAGTTGCTCACATCACCGCCGCCCGGAGCGCCCTGCATCTTGTTCTTCGTGTCTGCGAAAACAGTGGCAAAATGAGTGATTTTGCGGATCCGGGCGCCCGTCAAACTTACTCATCTCGCGGACGTGAAGAATCAGGCGCGCCACAAAGCTCAGATATTCATCCTTGTTGCGCGCCTTCACGAACACATGGTTCTCCATCTCGATGCTGCTCTTGGACGTGCTCATGCCGGACGTCTGGATGGCCTCGTTGCTGCCGGGGGGAAGGTCAGGGAAGAGTGAGAGTTGGGGTGAAAGGGAGCCAAAAGCATTGCGCCATGTTGGCAAACGCCAGCGAAAATCGCTCTTCTACTCACATTTTCGCCACCACATTCTGGCGGAACGACGGAGTGCGCCAAGAGTTGTCCTCCGTCATGACTTCTTCGCACCTTTCACGCGGAAACTCGAGGAAAATCCAGGAAAAACACGCAGCAGACAACAAAGTACTTTCACAAACACGCACCGAGACAACTCATCGACTGAGTGACATTTCCTATTGCAGCAATCACTCGCGGGGTGGCGCAGCGGTCAACCAAATCGATCAGAATTATAGAGCTGAAGTTAGCAGCATTTGCGGGGAATCCCCAGAATTTCGCATGTGATTTTGACAGCGCGCGCACTGCGCTAACTGCCGGAATATCACAGGACTAAAATTCACAACAAAAATATCCAGAGAAAATATTTAGAACGCGATCCGTGAATAAAAGCCAAAAGGTAGCAATTTTACACGTTATTAGTGCATATTCTCACCAACTGTTCTTCTTCCTCTCCAGATGGGAAAGTTCAACGAGGAGCAGATGAAGACTCTTGTGGCGTTCATGACAGAGAATTCGGTGATGCTGCAGAAGCGACACTGCATGAATAACTACTCACAGACTGCCCTGTGGAAGGATCTGTCGGTGTTGCTGAATAGCCACGGTCCGCCTTTCAAGTCTGAGGGTGACTGGAGACGCTCGTGGGCGAAGAAGAAGTTCGAGATGAGCCGCGTGAAGAAGTGCCACAACTCTTACTATGCTGACCTGTACAATCTGATTGCCAAGTCGAATGAGATCAACGAGTCGCGATCAGGATACACCTGGGAGGAAAAAGAAGAGTCAGCTGGTGAGAATCAAGCCGGATTGGATCCGTTGCAGGTGAAGAAGGAAAGCAGGAAAAGCAATCAACTGCGCTTGAATGCAAAGCAAAGGAAACCAAAAACGGAAGTGATGCAGAAGGAAGAGGAACCTTTTGATTATGCTCAGTAAGTTTAAGGGCCAAAATCCCATGTTTGTCTGGGATTTCAGGGAAATTCTGTTATCTTTTCCAGAGATATGCAATGGTTTGAGGAGCCGAAACAGCCAAGTTTCACTTCAGATGTTCGCAAAAGTGTCCAGAAGAAGCGGAAGAAATCCTGCACATCCTGTTCGAAGCAACCCAGGCAACCCGAGCATGCTGTGGATCTCTTCTTCAAGAGTTTGGCGATGGAAGTGAAGAATGCCAATCTCACGTCTGAGAATCTTTTCACTCTAGAATGGAGCGTCCTGAAGACGGTATCGGAGAAGATCAAGGACTTTACGCAGGAAGCTGCGATTGAAGTGCAACCGTCAACAAAGGAATCCTGAATAAAAGAGCATTTTATGATAATTCAACAGGACTTTTCACAGATCATTTCCAGGCGTTCGTCACTTGTTCATTTCACGGATGTGAAGAATGAGCCTCGCTGCCAGGCCCAGATATTCATGTTTATTTCGCGCCTTCGCATACACACGGTTCTCCATCTCGATGCTGCTGCTGGACGTTCTTATCCCGGATGTCTGAATGACCTCATTGCTGCCGGAAAGGTCCAGAGAGAATGAAACTAACGCCAGAGAAATCGTTCTTCTACTCACATTTTCGCCGTTACCGCCTGACGGAAGGATGGAGTGCGCCAAGAGTTGTCCTCCGGCGTGGCTTCTGGGCACGTCATGTGGAAACTTAAAGAAAATTGCAGGAAAAACACGAAGCAGACAACAGTTGAACTGAATGACATTTCGCGGGCTGTCGAATTCATATCTGGCAACCCACTTGTTGACGCGCGCCTGTCAAACGCCATTGTGGACAAAAGTAAACAAAGTGTGCCGCAGGTTGAGTGAGACAAGAAGCAAATTCAGTGAATTTCCTCCGTCGGTTGCAAGAATTTTCACTGCTTGAGCACCACAGTTTGCGACTGAAAACAAGGAGAAAGGGGAGAGTTTCCAAAATCCCAAAAAGAAGGTGAGGAAATGCAGAAATAATGCAATGTTTTCGATTCTGGAAGGATTTTGAAAGATTCTTTCTCAGGGATTTTGGGATTCTGAACAGAAAACAGGGTGAAAAGTGAACATTTCTGTGGAGTCATAAATCAAGGGTTTCTCAAAATTACCTGAGCTCTCTGAGCTTCAGAATTCCATGCGGTTTCCTAGAAGTTGTAAACAATTTTGTCACAGTGCCCTGGAAAGGAATAGAGCCATGCAAAATGTTCTTATTTTGCATTTCTCTCTCTTGCAGATTCTCTTCAGCGATCATGGATGCGAAGCGAGAGAAGTCCAGATCACCGGCAGATGACATCGTGCGCCCGCTTCTGACGCCTTCCCTGGTGAAGAGGGAGATGCTGAAGATGGGCACAAACAAGACAGTGATTGAGGACATTGAGTTCAAGTACGTCTGCACGAGAGCGCGCAAAGCCTTCAAGCTGGACAAGGAGGTGGAGCCGATTCACCTGAATGACATCTTCAAGTACGAGCTGGACGTGAGGAAATCCAATCCCGGAATCCCATGGCATCCGCGATATCGCTCGCGCGGCGAAGTGATGGATCATCAGACGTCAAGGAACATCATCAAGTGGTTCTGGTATCAGGTGAAGTACGGCGACAAGGTCAATCCGCCGGACTGCAGAGCTCTCTATCGCGCACACCTGAACAACAACGGCAACATCCCGAAAGTGCGCGTCGTCTATGGCTTCCCGACGGCAATCACGCTGATGGAAGCCTGCTTCGCGCTGCCGCTGATCGACGAGTACAGGAAGGGCAATCATCCGATGGGCTACGGATTCGACAGCAGCTCTGACAGACTGCGAGACAGACTCGCGTCTCAGCGCCACTTCTGCCGCCTCCACTTTGACTGGTTCAACGAGACCGTCTCCAGTCAGCTGATCGATGTCGCCTTCCTCATCCTGATGGACAACATCGACTTCCGCAAGTACTGTGATAGTGGAGTGCCGGATCTGCAGCGCCTGGTGCGCGCGTGGAACATGCTGGTGGAGTACTTCAAGCGGGCGCCGCTGATGCTGCACAACGGCCGGCGCTGGATGAAGATGGCCGGCATTCCGGACGGATCGTACTTCACGCAGCTCATTGGCTCCATCGTCAGCTGGATCGTCGTCAACTACGCGTACCTGAAGTGCTACAGGAAAATGCCCGTTGACGTGATCGCCTTCGGTGGGGATTCGCTGATCGTGAGCAATGAGCCGATCGATGAGTTCTGGATCGCCGAGGCGATTGAGGAGATCGGAATGGAGATGCAGCCGAGGAAGTGCGTGATGACAAGCAATGTGGACGAAGTGGACTTTCTCAGGTTCAACATTGAGGCTGGATTCCCGGTGAAACGGTTCGACAGATGGACACTGAAGCCTTCGCGGACAAAACAGAAAAAGACTTCGGCTTCTCCGGAAAATCCAGGTGACAAGAAGACGTCTGAGAAGAAGAAACAAAGCGAGATCTCTGGATGATTTGCGTGAATTCGAGACTGAAAACCTCAAACTTTTTTTACCTTTGTGTACATTTTATACATTTGATCTCCCACCAAAATGATTCAATCCAACAATTAGGATTGAAGAATTCGGTGGTAATTTTAAGCTTTCCATTTTATACTCAGCGTTTCAATCGACAAGCAGATTTTTGTAACGCTGCCCAAGCAAACTCAGTACAGGGACTTTTTATTCGAGTTGTGACAGGCAAATATAGCGCTAATTTCGAAGAAAAATCCATTTGTTTCATATCTAATTCTCTAAGTATGTGAATGTGGCCCTGAAAAGGGCCGTTTTGTGGTGAGGAAAAGCGCAGAATCGCAGCTTAGGCGCGCTCTCCGCGGATGCGGCGCGCCAGCTGGATGTCCTTGGGCATGATGGTGACGCGCTTGGCGTGGATGGCGCACAAGTTGGTGTCCTCGAAGAGCCCCACGAGGTAAGCCTCGCTGGCCTCCTGCAGCGCCATCACGGCGGAGCTCTGGAAGCGCAGGTCGGTCTTGAAGTCCTGCGCGATCTCGCGCACCAGCCGCTGGAAGGGCAGCTTGCGAATCAGCAGCTCGGTGGACTTCTGGTAGCGGCGGATCTCACGCAGCGCCACGGTTCCGGGGCGGTAGCGATGCGGCTTCTTCACGCCGCCGGTGGCCGGCGCGCTCTTGCGGGCGGCCTTGGTGGCCAGCTGCTTGCGCGGCGCCTTGCCGCCGGTGGACTTGCGGGCAGTCTGCTTCGTACGAGCCATTGCGGTTGTCTAGCGGATGCTTCAATGCGATCTCAACAGAGTGAAGGCACAGAATGTGGCCGCCGAACGGTTGCCTCTCTCTTTTATAGTTTCCGCGCCGCTCTGGAGGGGGAAGGCAGAGATGAAAGCGTCCTCTCTTTAGTCCTAAATCGCAGAAAATTTGTTGCCGAGGAAATCTCAGGAGCACAATTGGGGTTTTGCTAAAAATTTTCAATGAAAATCCCGCGCGAATGGGTCGGAAAAGAGGAAAAGCGAGAGCCGAGGGGCGTGGCGAAAGTGACAAAAAGGCGAGCGAAGCGGCGAAGAGCAGAGTTCGTTTGGGACCGTCGCTGAGTCGAGACATCGTCAAAGCAACAAGCTAGCAGAAAATGACTGGACGTGGAAAAGGAGGCAAAGGCTTGGGCAAAGGAGGCGCCAAGAGACACCGGAAGGTGCTGCGCGACAACATCCAGGGCATCACGAAGCCCGCCATCCGCCGCTTGGCTCGCCGCGGCGGCGTGAAGCGTATCTCGGGTCTGATCTACGAGGAGACGCGCGGCGTGCTGAAGGTCTTCTTGGAGAACGTCATCCGTGACGCCGTGACGTACACCGAACACGCCAAGAGGAAGACCGTGACCGCCATGGACGTCGTGTACGCCCTGAAGCGCCAGGGCCGCACTCTGTACGGCTTCGGCGGCTAAATCCGCGGCTCGCGCTGCACACAAAAAACGGTCCTTTTCAGGACCACAATTCAGTACTTAAAGAATTCGCTTGAACCTCTTTAAAACCACACAAAATATGTTTCATTGGCAAAATAATTCACTTTCAGCCAGAAATAAAGCTAAATTGTCCAATTCTGCGACTGATAATAAATTACGCAATGCACGTAAATCCTCCGTTATTTGCTCGTCACAAAGTGCTAAAAATTGAAGTTTTCCCATTTCTGGACAAAACATTAATTGCTGACAATCGAAAAAGGGACAATTTCCTAACAAAACATCTGCATTTTCCATCCATATTGTGACAAATAAATTAGATTTACGAGATGGGCGAAAAGCGCATTTTGAAAAGACGCACAAGCGATTGTTTTTAGGGCGTGATTCGTTAGCCCAAACTAAGACTAAATGTGTTTCTTTATTAAATAGACGAAGGAAAGTTTCAAGTAATTCTCTACGAATGAGATTTGTGGCCCTGAAAAGGGCCGTTTTGTGGTCTCGTGCGTGCGTACAAGAAGGAAGGAAGCGCTCTACTTGGAGCTGGTGTACTTGGTCACGGCCTTCGTGCCTTCACTCACGGCGTGCTTGGCCAACTCGCCGGGCAGCAGCAGGCGCACGGCGGTCTGGATCTCGCGACTCGTGATGGTCGAGCGCTTGTTGTAGTGAGCGAGACGCGACGCCTCGGCGGCGATGCGCTCGAAGATGTCGTTCACGAAGCTGTTCATGATGCTCATGGCCTTGCTGCTGATGCCCGTGTCCGGGTGGACCTGCTTCAGCACCTTGTAGATGTAGATGGCGTAGCTCTCCTTGCGCTTGCGCTTCTTCTTCTTGTCCGACTTCGAGATGTTCTTCTGGGCCTTCCCGGCCTTCTTCGCAGCCTTTCCGCTTGTCTTGGGCGCCATAGTGTCAGAGCGAAACCGATGGAGTTGCGATCGAAACTGTGCCGTTTGATGGGTGTCTCTCGGTTTTATGGGCACGATTTCCCCAGACGGACAGGGACGCTTCGGTCGCTCTTCGCACTCGCTCGCACTCCGTCTCGCTCTCGCACGCGCAAAGCATCGTGCTGCGCTGCTCGCCGAGGCGAATCGAGGTCGACGGCAGTCCGGAATTCTCGGGCAGCTGCAGTATATAAAAGCGGGATGAGGCCGCCAATTTTTCATTACTCTGTCTTGAGCTCGCATCGAGTTAACTTCGTGTGACTTCAGTTCGTCGAAAGTAAAACAACTTGCCGAAATGTCTGGACGCGGAAAGGGAGGAAAAGTGAAGGGAAAGGCGAAGACGCGCTCCAACCGCGCCGGGCTTCAGTTCCCCGTGGGCAGAATCCACCGTCTGCTGCGCAAGGGAAACTACGCTGAGCGCGTTGGCGCCGGGGCGCCAGTCTACTTGGCCGCCGTGATGGAGTATCTGGCCGCCGAAGTGCTCGAGTTGGCCGGCAACGCTGCCCGTGACAACAAGAAGACCAGGATCATCCCGCGCCATCTGCAGCTGGCCATCCGCAACGACGAGGAGCTGAACAAGCTTCTGTCCGGCGTCACGATCGCGCAGGGCGGCGTGCTGCCCAACATCCAGGCCGTGCTGCTGCCCAAGAAGACCGAGAAGAAGACATAAATCGCTCGTCAACTGCAAACTCGCCAGCAAAAAAACGCCCTTTTCAGGGCGACAAAAGCATTCCATAGAGAATTTCCGATGAGCCTCAAAACCATTCTCGCATTGAGAATTTATTCAAAAAATAAATAAAACATTTTATCAATAAATGCATGACAAAATACGTCTCGATTCTTGATGACAAATGAAATGACTCACTTGCAAAGCCATTAAATATGAGAATTTGCCTCAGATTCGCATGTTTCTCAAATTGAAATCCCGCAAATCCTAATCAAACAGTCTTGGCAACGTGCCAAACTTTGCTCCCGGCGCAAAATCAATTCATTTTATTCTAATTTACCACTTCTAAGAGCTGGAGGAATTCAAAACTGAGTCCTGCATGCTTTTTCCTGGGCTGCGGTCCAAAGCATTTGTACACAAAATAAATAAATATATTTATCCCCCCAAAGGCTTCGCTTGCGCGAGGCAATAAATTATGGAAAGGTTTTCATGGCAATTCTTTACGCATGTCTTGATAGCCCTGAGAAGGGCTGTTTTTCTGGGGTCCCAATGTGGGAAAGATGATGGAAGACGCTGAGCTGCTGCTTTACTTCTTCTTGGCCGCCGTCTTCTTCGGCGCCGCGGCCTTCTTCGGCGATCCCGTCTTCTTGGGCTTCGGCACCTTCGGCTTCGTGCCCGCCGACTTCGCGGACGCCTTCGTGGGCTTCTGCTTGGGCGCCACCTTCTTCTTACGAGTCCGGAACGCGGCTCTTCGCGGCCTTCTTTCTCGCCGCTGGGCTTCTACGGCCGCCACGGCCTTCCTTGGCCGCCGCCGTGCTGGGTTTTTATTGGGCGACGCTGGGCTCTTCTTCACCTTCTTCTCGCCGGCCGACGTCTTCTTGGACGGGCCGCGCGGCTTCTTCGCCACGGGCTTCTCGCTCTTGCTCGGCGCGCCGGCCAGCTTGAACGATCCGGATGCGCCCTTGCCCTTCGTCTGCACCAGCGCGCCGCTCGTCACGGCGGACTTCAGGTATCTGCGGATGAAGGGCGCCAGCTTCTCGGCGTCCACCTTGTAGTTGGCCGCCACGTACTTCTTGATGGCCTGCAGCGAGGAGCCGCCGCGCTCCTTCAGGTTCTTGATGGCGTTCGTCACCATCTCAGAGGTCTTCGGGTGCGTCGGCTTCACGCGTGGCTTCTTCGCGGCGCCGCTCTTGGCCGCCTTCGCCTTCTTCCCCGCTGGAGATGAGGTCGCGGACGCTGCCACTGCTTCGACTGATGTCTCTTCTGCCATTTCTGAAGATCTTGGATACTAATCTCGAGAATAATGCCGCAAAATCCCACTTTTCACCTCCTTAGCAACCGTCACCCATTTAGTGGAACCACAATTTTGGATGAATCTGCGCGCAATTTTTCACTCCGCTCGAAAAAGTACCCGAAAATCTTAAACGCATCGAAACACTCGCTTGCAAATCTGCACTCCTTCGATAGAGTGACTATCGATTGATCCAATTCCCGAAAATTATTCCATTCCGTTTGGAATTTGTGGAGAAATTGGCGAAATTGCAGATGGAAGATTCAACCGACATTTTGGCGATATGCAATCAATCGGACTTTAATCCGTCAATTCCGCATTTTCCCCCACAAAATCCTGCTTTTTCTTCCTCTTTCCAATTAATGATTATATTTGCAAGCGTCCTGCAACATTTTCCTCCATTTTCCCAAATTGGATTTTAGTGATTTTTCGCCTCGAAATCGACATATGCTCAAGTAATCGAGTGTTTCTCATTTTCCATCAACAATTTCACCCATTTCGCCCAAAAATTCCATTTCGCTCTCAATGGCAATAAATAAAGGTGTGTTTTATGAGCACTTTGCCGAAAAATCAAACACCTGAACACATTTCATCCCATTCTGGATTGCAGTTTGCGAAGATGTGCGCATTTCTGTGAACGTCGAATTGCTGCCCTGAAAGACTTTTGCGGCCGCACAGAAATTTCCTCATGGCTTTGTTTAGCAGAAAGATTTGAATTTTTGCTACCACAATTTGTAAAAATTCGCACTATTTCAGGCAGAAAGTAAATAAATATTATCTGAACTATTTCATAAATTCAAAAAATCATATAAAAATCACACAAAGAATGAAAATTTCGTATATAAATTCTTTACTCTTAATGACTCTGAGGCCCTCAAAAGAACCCATTTTTAGTGCAGCAAAACAATATTTTTTGGGTAGAAATCGAAAATTCTTTTTTAATAACTCTCTAAATCCTTTATCTATTAAACGCTAACGGCTAGAAAATAGTCTTGAGCCTGGAATATAGTTTGATAAATAAGAGAAATCATAAGCGTTCGACTAATGCTACGAAGTGAATTCTTTAACTTCCGCAGAAATATTTCTCTGTACAAGAGAAAGGCACAAATATTCATTTGCTCTATAATGCAAAACATTGGTTTTAGAAAACCATGTTGCAATTCCGCAAAGAACGTAGTTATGCTTTTAATTTATTGATAAATTCATGCAAAAAACAGTAAAAACGCAATGAGGATCTTTATTACGTCCTAAGATGGCAATGAGAATAATTAGGAAATTCGAGTGCTCGTGGCCACTTCCTTTGCGTAAATTGTCAGTTTTCTCCTCTTTCTGGAGTCAAGCTTTGTCACGCGTTTAAACTCCTTCTTCGACTCGCTCATGGTTATGATGGTGAAACATAAGTGCGCCATACAGTAGAAAAACTGACACGGCTTGGAATATCACACAATTTTGTCTCGATAAGAGTACCGCATGAAATGAATGTAAGTGAAAATTGGGGATTTTCGTCCTTTTTTCCTATACCATGCAGCTGCCCGAGAATTCCGGACTGCCTTCGACCTCGATTCGCCTCGGTGAGCAGCGCAGCACGATGCTTTGCGCGTGCGAGAGCGAGACGGAGTGCGAGCGAGTGCGAAGAGCGACCGAAGCGTCCCTGTCCGTCTGGGGAAATCGTGCCCATAAAACCGAGAGACACCCATGAAACGGCACAGTTTCGATCGCAACTCCATCGGTTTCGCTCTGACACTATGGCGCCCAAGACAAGCGGAAAGGCTGCGAAGAAGGCCGGCAAGGCCCAGAAGAACATCTCGAAGTCGGACAAGAAGAAGAAGCGCAAGCGCAAGGAGAGCTACGCCATCTACATCTACAAGGTGCTGAAGCAGGTCCACCCGGACACGGGCATTAGCAGCAAGGCCATGAGCATCATGAACAGCTTCGTGAACGACATCTTCGAGCGCATCGCCGCCGAGGCGTCGCGTCTCGCTCACTACAACAAGCGCTCGACCATCACGAGTCGCGAGATCCAGACCGCCGTGCGCCTGCTGCTGCCCGGCGAGTTGGCCAAGCACGCCGTGAGCGAAGGCACGAAGGCCGTGACCAAGTACACCAGCTCCAAGTAGAGCGCTTCTTCCTTGTACGCACGCACGAGACCACAAAACGGCCCTTTTCAGGGCCACAAATCCCATTCGTAGAGATTTACTTGAAACTTTCCTTCGTCTAATTAATAAAGAAACACATTTAGTCTTAGTTTGGGCGAAAGAATTTCGCACGACAGTCTTAAAAATAATCACAATAAAGTTTGTACGTCTTTTCCAAATGCGCTTTTCGCCCATCTCGTAAATCTAATTTATTTGTCGCAATATGGATGGAAAATGCAGATGTTTTGTTAGGAAATTGTCCCTTTTTCGATTGTCAGCAATTAATGTTTTGTCCAGAAATGGGAAAGCTTCTATTTTTAGAACTTTGTGACGAACAAATAACGGAGGTTTTACGTGCATTGCGTAATTTATTATCAGTCGCAGAATTGGACAGTTTAGCTTTATTTCTGGCTGAAAGTGAATTATTTTGCCAATGAAACATATTTTGTGTGGTTTTAAAGAGGTTCAAGCGAATTCTTTAAGTACTGAATTGTGGTCCTGAAAAGGACCGTTTTTTGTGTGCAGCGCGAGCCGCGGATTTAGCCGCCGAAGCCGTACAGAGTGCGGCCCTGGCGCTTCAGGGCGTACACGACGTCCATGGCGGTCACGGTCTTCCTCTTGGCGTGTTCGGTGTACGTCACGGCGTCACGGATGACGTTCTCCAAGAAGACCTTCAGCACGCCGCGCGTCTCCTCGTAGATCAGACCCGAGATACGCTTCACGCCGCCGCGGCGAGCCAAGCGGCGGATGGCGGGCTTCGTGATGCCCTGGATGTTGTCGCGCAGCACCTTCCGGTGTCTCTTGGCGCCTCCTTTGCCCAAGCCTTTGCCTCCTTTTCCACGTCCAGTCATTTTCTGCTAGCTTGTTGCTTTGACGATGACTCGACTCAGCGACGGTCCCAAACGAACTCTGCTCTTCGCCGCTTCGCTCGCCTTTTTGTCACTTTCGCCACGCCCCTCGGCTCTCGCTTTTCCTCTTTTCCGGCCCATTCGCGCGGGATTTTCATTGAACATTTTTAGCAAAACCCCAATTGAGCTCCTGAGATTTCCTCGGCAGCAAATTTTCTGTGATTTAGGACAAAAGAGAGAACGCTTTCATCTCTGCCTTCCCCCTCCAGAGCGGCGCGGAAACTATAAAAGAGAGAGGCAACCGTTCGGCGGCCACATTCTGTGCCTTCACTCTGTTGAGATCGCATCGAAGCATCCGCTAGACAACCGCAATGGCTCGTACGAAGCAGACTGCCCGCAAGTCCACCGGCGGCAAGGCGCCGCGCAAGCAGCTGGCCACCAAGGCCGCCCGCAAGAGCGCGCCGGCCACCGGCGGCGTGAAGAAGCCGCATCGCTACCGCCCCGGAACCGTGGCGCTGCGTGAGATCCGCCGCTACCAGAAGTCCACCGAGCTGCTGATTCGCAAGCTGCCCTTCCAGCGGCTGGTGCGCGAGATCGCGCAGGACTTCAAGACCGACCTGCGCTTCCAGAGCTCCGCCGTGATGGCGCTGCAGGAGGCCAGCGAGGCTTACCTCGTGGGGCTCTTCGAGGACACCAACTTGTGCGCCATCCACGCCAAGCGCGTCACCATCATGCCCAAGGACATCCAGCTGGCGCGCCGCATCCGCGGAGAGCGCGCCTAAGCTGCGATTCTGCGCTTTTCCTCACCACAAAACGGCCCTTTTCAGGGCCACATTCACATACTTAGAGAATTAGATATGAAACTTATTTTTTCTTATCAGTGATGCTCAAAATATTCTCGAATTTCCTAATTATTCTCATTGCCATCTTAGGACGTAATAAAGATCCTCATTGCGTTTTTACTGTTGCATGAATTTATCAATAAATGAAAAGCATAACTACATTCTTTGCGGAATTGCAACATGGTTTTCTAAAATCGAAGTTTGCATTAGGTAGGTATATAGCAAATGAATATTTGCGCCTTTCTCTTGTACTGAAAAATAATTCTGCGGAAGTTAAAGAATTTACTTTCTAGCATTAGTCGAACGCTTATGATTTCTCTTATTTATCAAACTATATTCCAGGCTTAAGACTATTTTCTAGCCGTTAGCGTTTAATAAATAAAGGATTTAGAGAGTTGTTAAAAAAATTTTTCGATTTCTACCCAAAAAATATTGTTTTGCTGCACTAAAAATCGGTTCTTTTGAGGGCCTCAGAGTCATTAAGAGTAAAGAATTTATATACGAAATTTTCATTTTTGTGTGATTTTTATATGATTTTTTGAATTTATAAAATAGTTCAGATAATATTTATTCACTTTCAGCCTGAAATAGTGCGAATTTTTGCAATTTGTGGTAGCAAAAATTCAAATCTTTCTGCTAAACAAAGCCGTGAGGAAATTTCTGTGCGGCCGCAAAAGTCTTTCAGAGCAGCAATTCGACGTTCACAGAAATGCGCACATCTTCGCAAACTGCAATCCAGAAGGGGATGAAATGTGTTCAGGTGTTTGATTTTTTGGCAAAGTGCTCATAAAACACACCTTTATTTATTGTCATTGAGAGTGAAATGGAATTTTTGGGCGAAATGGGTGAAATTGTTGATGGAAAATGAGAAACACTCGATTACTTGAGCATATGTCGATTTCGAGGCGAAAAATCACTAAAATCCAATTTGGGAAAATGGAGGAAAATGTTGCAGGACGCTTGCAAATATAATCATTAGTTGGAAAGAGGAAGAAAAAGCAGGATTTTGTGGGGGAAAATGCGGAATTGACGGATTAAAGTCCGATTGATTGCATATCGCCAAAATGTCGGTTGAATCTTCCATCTGCAATTTCGCCAATTTCTCCACAAATTCCAAACGGAATGGAATAATTTTCGGGAATTGGATCAATCGATAGTCACTCTATCGAAGGAGTGCAGATTTGCAAGCGAGTGTTTCGATGCATTTAAGATTTTCGGGCACTTTTTCGAGCGGAGTGAAAAATTGCGCGCAGATTCATCCAAAATTGTGGTTCCACTAAATGGGTGACGGTTGCTAAGGAGGTGAAAAGTGGGATTTTGCGGCATTATTCTCGAGATTAGTATCCAAGATCTTCAGAAATGGCAGAAGAGACATCAGTCGAAGCAGTGGCAGCGTCCGCGACCTCATCTCCAGCGGGGAAGAAGGCGAAGGCGGCCAAGAGCGGCGCCGCGAAGAAGCCACGCGTGAAGCCGACGCACCCGAAGACCTCTGAGATGGTGACGAACGCCATCAAGAACCTGAAGGAGCGCGGCGGCTCCTCGCTGCAGGCCATCAAGAAGTACGTGGCGGCCAACTACAAGGTGGACGCCGAGAAGCTGGCGCCCTTCATCCGCAGATACCTGAAGTCCGCCGTGACGAGCGGCGCGCTGGTGCAGACGAAGGGCAAGGGCGCGTCCGGATCGTTCAAGCTGGCCGGCGCGCCGAGCAAGAGCGAGAAGCCCGTGGCGAAGAAGCCGCGCGGCCCGTCCAAGAAGACGTCGGCCGGCGAGAAGAAGGTGAAGAAGAGCCCGGCGTCGCCCAAGAAGAAGCCCACGGCGGCGGCCAAGAAGGCCGTGGCGGCGAAGAAGCCCAGCGGCGAGAAGAAGGCCGCGAAGAAAGTTGCGTCTCCGGCGAAGAAGAAGGTGGCGCCCAAGCAGAAGCCCACGAAGGCGTCCGCGAAGTCGGCGGGCACGAAGCCGAAGGTGCCGAAGCCCAAGAAGACGGGATCGCCGAAGAAGGCCGCGGCGCCGAAGAAGACGGCGGCCAAGAAGAAGTAAAGCAGCAGCTCAGCGTCTTCCATCATCTTTCCCACATTGGGACCCCAGAAAAACAGCCCTTCTCAGGGCTATCAAGACATGCGTAAAGAATTGCCATGAAAACCTTTCCATAATTTATTGCCTCGCGCAAGCGAAGCCTTTGGGGGGATAAATATATTTATTTATTTTGTGTACAAATGCTTTGGACCGCAGCCCAGGAAAAAGCATGCAGGACTCGGTTTTAATTCCTGTCACCTTTTAGGAGGTAATAAAATGAATTGATTTTGCGCCGGGAGCAAAGTTTGGCACGTTGCCAAGACTGTTTGATTAGGATTTGCGGGACTTCAATTTGAGAAACAGGCGAATCTGAGGCAAATTCTCATATTTGATGGCTTTGCAGTGAGTCATTTCATTTGTCATCAAGAATCGAGACGTATTTTGTCATGCATTTATTGATAAAATGTTTTATTTATTTTTGAATAAATTCTCATGCGAGAATGGTTGAGCTCATCGGAAATTCTCTATGGAATGCTTTTGTCGCCCTGAAAAAGGGGGCGTTTTTTGCTGGCGATGTTTGCAGTTGACGAGCGATGTATGTCTTCTCTCGGTCTTCTTGGGCAGCAGCACGGCCTGGACTGAATGTTGGGCAGGACGCCGCCTTGGGCAATGGTGACGCCAGACAGAAGCTTGTTCAGCTCCTCGTCGTTGCGGATGGCCAACTGCAGATGACGCGGAATGATCCTCGTTTTCTTATTGTCACGGGCAGCATTGCCGGCCAACTCGAGCACTTCGGCGGCCAGATATTCCATCACGGCGGCCAAATAGACAGGAGCTCCAGCGCCAACGCGTTCGGCGTAGTTCCCTTTGCGCAGCAGACGGTGGATACGTCCCACTGGGAACTGAAGCCCAGCACGGTTGGAACGTGTCTTCGCCTTTCCCTTAACTTTTCCTCCCTTTCCGCGTCCAGGACCATTTCGGCCAAGTTGTTTTACTTCGACAAGAACTGAAGTCACACGAAGTAAATCGAGCGAGCTCAAGAAGAGTAATGAAAAATGGCGGCCCATCCCGCTCCCATTTACTATACTGCAGCGCCCCGCGAATTACGGGACTGCCGTCGACATCGGATCGCCTCGGCGAGCAGCGCAGCAGCACGATGCTTTGCGCGTGCGAGAGCGAGACGGAGTGCGAGCGAGTGCGAAGAGCGACCGAAGCGTCCCTGTCCGTCTGGGGAAATCGTGCCCATAAAACCGAGAGACACCCATCAAACGGCACAGTTTCGATCGCAACTCCATCGGTTTCGCTCTGACACTATGGCGCCCAAGACAAGCGGAAAGGCTGCGAAGAAGGCCGGGAAGGCCCAGAAGAACATCTCGAAGTCGGACAAGAAGAAGAAGCGCAAGCGCAAGGAGAGCTACGCCATCTACATCTACAAGGTGCTGAAGCAGGTCCACCCGGACACGGGCATCAGCAGCAAGGCCATGAGCATCATGAACAGCTTCGTGAACGACATCTTCGAGCGCATCGCCGCCGAGGCGTCGCGTCTCGCTCACTACAACAAGCGCTCGACCATCACGAGTCGCGAGATCCAGACCGCCGTGCGCCTGCTGCTGCCCGGCGAGTTGGCCAAGCACGCCGTGAGTGAAGGCACGAAGGCCGTGACCAAGTACACCAGCTCCAAGTAGAGCGCTTCCTTCCTTCTTGTACGCACGCACGAGACCACAAAACGGCCCTTTTCAGGGCCACAAATCTCATTCGTAGAGAATTACTTGAAACTTTTTTGCCTAGCCTGAAAATCGTAAATAAATCGAGAGATATTTCCCCCTTAGTCGTCCCAAATTCGACGAAAGACGCTGTCCCACTTTCGTCCCACAGGCCAATAATTGTATTTCTTGCCGCTGTGACGTCGGCGCTGGCATCGCTCCACGTACAGTCCACGTTTGCGGTTCGTCAATATCGAGTCAGTAGAGTTTGCTCTCGCCGGAAAAATGGTTACACAGGCTGCGCCTAAGAGTTCGGGATTCACCAAGGAAGAGGAGCTGCTCCTGCAGGACTTCAGTCGCAATGTGAGCACAAAGTCTTCGGCGTTGTTCTACGGAAACGCCTTGATTATCTCTGCGATTCCCATTTGTGAGTATTGCGTGGATTCCGGGAGTTGGACAGCGGGCTGATTTCCTTGTCTTCCAGGGCTCTTCTGGCGAATCCACATGATTGATCTCATGGCCTCGGTCGTCTTCTTCGTCGCCGTGACTGGACTGACCACTTTCCTGATCGCCATGGCGTACAGGAACACGAAATTCGCACTGAAGCACAAATTCGCCGTGAAGCGCGAGGACGCAGTGACGCGGGAGATGACAAAACTCCTCGCCGATGACAAGAAGTTGAGCCGCAAGGACAAGGACGAGAGGATCCTGTGGAAGAAGAACGATGTGGCCGACTACGAGGCCACGACTTTCTCCATTTTCTACAACAACGCGCTATTCCTGGCCATCGTCGTCTTCGTGAGCTTCTACGTTCTGCGCACGGCTTCGCCCACGTTCAACTACATCGTGTCCGTGACCGGCGCCGGAGGCCTCCTGGCGCTGCTCTCCACCGGCAAGTCCTCATAAGCTGTCCAGGTGACCCTCCCTGCCCATTAAGACTTCGTCATCTCAGTTTATTTGTATTTAATTTCGAGAGATCAAGAAAGATTCCATGAATACTCGAACTTTGCACTTTTTCGGCTATTCAAGGCTCTGGAGCGGGCTTCGATCACCTGAAGAGATTGTTGAAGAACTTCCGATTCATTCCGTCCCTTTTCAACTGTAAGTTGGTGGGTTTGTGCATGTTGTGTCGTCTCATGCAGTCGGCGGCGAGTTGAGTCAGCCTCGGCGGCGCCCTCTGACCCTTCCGGATCAGGTAGAACTCATCGTTGCACCTGGTGATGATTAGGATGTTGTTGCTTGAGAGCCGATGTACGAGCTCGACGTACAGGCCCGTAATCTTGGTCATGAGAGTGGATTTGCGCGTGTAGATGTGATGCAGCCAAAGTTCCAGCTCTTGCGTGCGCTTGATGAACAGCAGATCTCCTCCACTCTCGGCCAGGAACGTCTTCTCCAGCGACGCGCACGGCGTATAGGTCTTCCGCCTGATGCGAAACGGGAAGAGTGTCCAGCTATTCCTCCTGACATCCAGGAGAGCCACTTTCTCCGAGTACGGCGGCGCCAGAGGCGTCTTCACGCCGAACAGGACAATCCCGGCTCGGTCGCTCTCAATGGCATCGAAGGTCACGTTGACGAATGCTCCGCGAGCGCGGTTCTCAGGCAGACGACTGATGCAGCGCAGCTTCCCTTTCTTCAGCAGATTGTATCGGTACACTTCGGCGTGGATCTTGCGGCAGTCGCTCTCCAGAACGACGCTGCGCACGAAGTAGAAGTAGTCACGCCACAGAACGGTGTTCTGGGGCGTCATCTCGCGCACGAAACCGCGCGTGTCCATGGACAGAGCCGGATGATAGGTGGTGAGGAAGGTGTTGAGGTCGTATTCCAGAAACACAAGCGACTCTCCCATGCCAGAGTCCACAATAGCCAGATTGAGGATGCAGTCGCGATAGAGGTGGAACAGTTGCAAATAGGTTCCGTTCTCCTGCCTCAACTTCCGATCAATGGGAATCTTCGACACGCGGAAGTTCAGCGTGGTCAGATCGATGATCCGGAAGCACACTTTCTCACCCTTTCCTGGAGCTAGCACCTTTCCCACCACATACTCATTCCTCCAGACACACCAGAATTGCCTGTCGTCGGACTTCATTTTGCGCCCGGAATTTTCCAGCTTCCCGCGGTAGATCACATCAGGGTCGACAGCCGTTACATCACGAATCCTCGATGAGCTCATTTTTAGCAGTGTAATCGATGACTTTTTGACAACAGCACACAGAAAATCGATGAAGTTGATGGTTTCAGCGAAAAGCAACACAGACGGAAGTTTGGACTGGAAAAGTGCAAAAATACCAGTGAAAATTTAGTTTTTCATCACAAATTGCGTGATTAGTGCTTAAGGAAGATCTCTGAATTGCAATCACATCATGGATTACGAGGATATTGTGAATACAGAGGAGGTTTCTGCTCAACCAGTGAGTTGAAGATTTTTCCTGCTTTTTCTCAATATTTGTCCAAATTTTCACTATCAAGCACGCTTTTGGGGGTGAAAAATGCATTATGAGAGCTTCTTGAACCGTTATCAATGCGAGGGTTGGGAAATCATTCATGGAAAATGCCCAAATTGGCGGAGAAAAACATCAAGGAAAACAATTGCGCATATATTTTCCTGTGTTTTTCGCATGCTGAATGTCAGGCCGCGAACAAAGCGCTCGAAGAGCCACAGAGTGAGGCAATTGAGGTGTTGAATGTCTTGCAGGAGCGCAAAGAGACGGGAAAGCGCGGTCGAAAGCCGGGAAGGAAAGCGTCCACGGAGAAAATTGACATGAAGGCGAAATTAGGTGAGTGAATTTTCACAGGACAAAAGAAAAACTCACCAAAATCACAAGACGAAGACACTAACAGAAGGATTTTAACATTGAGCAGAGAGAAGCCGTCAGAGCGCCAGGGAGTGCAGGGCCAGAAAGAAACTTCGTTATCAGTATCTGGAAGAGCTGGTGTCGGATCGGGAGAAGGCCGTGCTCACGCTCAGAAACGAATTGGAGAGGGTAAATTTGAGGACAAAAGGAGAGACCTTTTTGCCCACTTGACAAACTCGTTTGCTTGCAGTACCGTCAGCTGGCCCTGGATCTGGACGCTGGCCGAGTGCCGGACAATCTGCAGGCCATCCTGGAGGAGATGGGAGCCGTGAAGCACGAGTAGCGGGCGACGCTGACGAGGTATTTTTCCCCAAAAATGCATTGCTAAACTGCGCGCGTTCAAATGTGTGTCTATCCGATTGAATTATTGTAATTATTTTTGATATGTTCAACCTGAGAAGAGAGATAATATATTTTTATGGCTCTACTCCTTGACCTGCGATGCTCTCTGGCTTGAGTCTGAGCCTCGAGAATCTTCGAAATTCCCTGTTAGTCTTCTGTGATCCTTCCAGAAAGTATTTGTGTGGCATCATAAAAGGCATTTTCTTCAGTTTCTCTTTCAGTGCTTAAGATAATACTTTTGGCGACTACAAGAAAGAGAACAGCAAAGCTGAAAAATCCCTTCTGGATTATGTAAAAATCCTACAAAATCATGCATTTAAACCCCCTAGATTGGAATCAAGCAATTTATATGCGATAAAGATCGTGATTCAAAATCTTGAATAAAAATCCACGATTATAATCAACAATTTAATGAGCTTTTAGCCTCAATTTCTCCCTCTCGGGCGACTCAATTTGCTGAATTTGGCCAATTTGCAATCAATTGATTCTCAGGCGTGAGAATTGATGTGTGAACAGTAATGAAAGTACTCGAGATTAGTTTTTTATTGTAGGCGATCAAGAGGTATTTACAGGCATTTACAGGCTTGTAATTGTGGGAGAAATCTCTCGAGAGCGAGAGTCTTGTGGATTTTCTCACGTGAAGTCAGTGAGGGTGAAAATGATGGATTTTCTCCCAATTAACGCGCGCCCCGCAATTTGCGTGCGTTTGTCTGTGTTTGAAGATATGAAAGACTCTCGCTTTTGTAATTAAATATCTTTTTTATTTTGTATCTTTTTTTCAGCATTTTCTCATATATCACATTTACACGATTTTTCATACAATTTTTTGCGCCAGTTTTCCCCATTTTTCGCGCCCCAAAATTTCTCACTTCTTACTTTTATAATCAAGTTTTTCTTGGGGTGAGGGAAGATCGCTAAAGTATCCTCCCTGCTTCGTCGCTCTTTTTGCTTGTCCTTCCCAATCCTCAAAGAGACCCAATCTTGTGACCTTACCGTTAATCTATGGAACAGAGAGAGAAGAAGTGTTCGGTTGAGGGTGTTTTGTGTTGGTTTTAAATTACAAAATAACTCTGATATGAGCTAAACTAGCGTCGTGGCAGTCTCTCGTCTAAGTCTCTCACAAGTCCAATTCACTAAATCACTCCTGCACCAGCGAAAAGCCCGCGGCCTCGGGAGAGACGCCGTGGAAGTCGTCCATGTGCAGCGGCAGCAGGTGCATGGGCTGGTAGCCGGCGTCGCTGGCGGAGAAGGGCATGGACTCGGCCTGGCCGGGATCTGGCACGTTGATTTGGAAGCCCGACGCCTCGGCGGGCGGCGCCACGAACTGCTGGCTCATGTCGCTCGCCGACGTGTCCGCGTCCATCGACACGGGCTGAATGCGCGCCTCGCCGGTGTTGAAGAAGCTGTCCTGCTTCTGGTACTCGTTGGGGTACTGCGGCACCTGGTAGGCCGACTCCACGCTGAAGAGGTGCTCGTTGGGCGCCGTGGGCGGCTGGCTGTACTGCGTGAAGGTGTTCTCCGTGCCGTAGGGCGACTGGTCGCTCAGCTGCGGCCCCGTGGGCTGCGTGCTGTAGTACGCGTAGCTCTCGGCTTGGTAGTCGCTGGCCGTGGGCGCGTCCTTGATGTACTCCTTGGGATAGGTCTCCTTCGGGTAGGGGTCCTTGAGATAGGAGGGATCCTTGAAGTAGGAAGACTCCTTGTAGGACGGCTCCTTGTGGTACGAAGGCTCCTTGTGGTGGTAAGAAGATTCCTTTTGGTGGTAAGAGGGCTCCTTTTGGAGGTAAATAGGCTCCTTTTGATGATAAGAAGGCTCCTTTTGGTGGTAAGAAGGCTCCCTGTGGTAGGTGCTCTTGAAGGAGGAGGACACTGGAGGATAGTCTCTGACCTTCACCTCAACCTTCTTCTCCACTGGATACGGCTGCGGAATGAAGACCTTCACGGGCACCTTGACAGGATACGGCACAGGCACCTTCTTCTCCACCTCCACCTTGACAGGATAGGGAACAGGCACCTTGATCTTGCGCTCCACCTCCACGGGAACCTTGATCTTCCTCTCGACTGGCACCGGCACCGGTTTGTGCACCGGAACTGGCACCTTCACCTCCACGGGCACGTGGATGTGCTTGACAACAGGATAGGGCTTGGGAATTGGCACCTGCACCACCTTCTCCACGATCTTCTCCACCGGATAGGGCTTGGGGACGTGCACGAGTCTCTCCACGGGATACGGCACCTTCACTTCAACGGGCACCTTCCGCTCCTTCTCAATGATCTTGGGCACGTGCACGATCTTCTCCACGATCTTCTCGTAGGGCACGGGCTTCTCGATGATCTTGGGCACGGGAATGTGCACCACCTTCTCCACCACCTTCTCCACAGGTACTGGCTTCGGCACGTGCACGATCTTCTCCACTGGCACGTGCACCACCTTCTCCACGAGCTTCTCCACCGGATAGGGCTTCGGCACGTGCACCAGCTTCTCCACGGGCACATGCACGAGCTTCTCCACTGGAATCTCCACGGGCACCTTCTTCACCACCGTCTTGACGTGGTTGTGGTGGTGATGGTGGTGGTGGTGCTTGATCTTGATCCTCTCGCGCGGCGGCTCCTCCTTCCTGGTCTCCTGCGTCTCCGCGTCAGCGCTGATGATCTGGTACTTGGTCTGCGGGAAGACCAGCTGCTGCTCGGTGTGGCCGGCGAGGATCTCCTGCTCGGCGGGCAGGATGATCTCGTGAACCTCCTCGGAGTGGGTGTGACTATCGATACGATGACTACCCTTGCCTTTGGGGCTGTTTTGCGTGGGCGGTGCGGGTGTGGTCGTGAGTGTGCTCTTGCTCTGCTGCTGTGTCTTCTTCTGCGGCGACTTCGCTGCGCCTTTGGTGCTCTTCTTGGGGCCGCCGCCGCCGCCGCCACCCGTCTCCACGATGTGCACTGTGACGCGCTTCCCGCCGCCCGGCAGGGACTTCTTCACTGGCTTCACCTTCCACTGCCTCTCGACGCGATAGGACGCGGCCGGCACTTGGTCCTCCTGCACGACGGACTCGGCCCCATCGAGATCACCACCACTTGCTAACTCATCTGCACTTTCGATCTGTTTTTGACCATCCTCCACGGACGCAGCGATCGTCGCAGCTGATAGAACTAAGAGGAAGAGTCCCTGAAATGGGAAAAGAACACTCCTTCATCACTCGCACAAAACACACAAAGGGACACAGACACTTTATCACTTTCAATTATCCTTACCGTAAACTTCATTTCGATCTACCTAGCGCCAGCGAAACAAGTTTACTGTTGAGATTCCTCGCGAGACTCCCGCATTTATATAGCCTCAATGCTCCACTTGGCGCCCTTCTGTGGGGGAGGTGGCGAAATAATTAGCGATAATTGACTTTCGCCTCACTCCCAAACACGACCAGATGCACTGGAGTGCAAGTGCGCGCTTGCATGTGAAGCACACCAGAGCCGAAGAAGAAACGCTGTCTGCCTTCTTGCCATTGATCGGCGCGCGCGCGCGCGAGAGTCGCCCTCATGAGCTGGTATTGTTTTCAAAATCGCCACCAGCGCGCACATCCCACAATCATCTCTCATAGCCATTGTTGGAGGAATCACTGATGATGACCCGGGAGAAGAGTGTGTTTGTGCGTTCGCCATGTGAATCACCTTTCCGTTCAGCTGCATTTTCTTTTTGTCCAGAGCAAAAAAAGAGAAAAAGCACAGGTTTTCCATTTTGTTTTCTTCACCCAACATTAATTGAGACACGCCGCGATGATTCCTTTGGCATGAAAGTGAAAAAGAGAAGAAAGCTTCGCGGAGAAGAGATGTTTTTGGCCAGAGAACAACCGCGTCAGGCTGAAGAACTGGCGAGATCATTGACTCTGAGCCAGAGATTGTTTACCTTGATGATCCTCAAGAGTGATTTAACAAAAGCGATGAATTTAATTCATGGTTTTTGGCTTAGGAGGCTTAGGATCTTAACCAGCTTGAGTTTGAAAAAAAAACCTTATTTTGAGACTCTTTTTCACGACATTTGCAAGATAAAAACGTCTAAAATTGCATCTTGAATCCGTGAAAATGTCTCTGAACTTGAGGAAAACTCATTCTTTCAAAGTTCCTCTTGACTATCTTGACTCCAAAATGTTTCCGCAATGTTTTATATGCAAAGAGATTCTTGTCAGATGAACTCTTTCGTGAACTGGTGAAGCGATTCAATTGATATTAAAACAATACAATGTGCGCAAAGTTTGATCTTATAATAAATGTAAATGTGCGCGAAGTACAGGTATTAAAATTTTACGCAAATTGCGCTGCTATTTATTCATGAAATGTAAAACAAATTGCGTATCATGTTTAGAGTTCATGAAATGCATCAAAAATTGTTCACCAACACTTTTGGTAAAAATTTTTGTTGTTGCCTCGCTTCGCAGCACAAACACACAATCTTTTTCGCGAAGATGTATTTTTTTTCTAATACCTAAAATGTAACACAAAATATCGCACAATAAATACATTTCGAATCCCGAGTCGAATGAGAAGAATTCAATGCCAATTATTAATTTGACAAATATTGATCATAATTCCTAGGAATGTGTGGAAAAAATTATGCATTTTTAACATCGCTGGCAAAAAAGCAAAGTGAATTTCACACGCATTTGCACTTTCTCGCGCGGCGAGTTGAAAAATCCTATAAATTTACATATCGACGAGGTGAGGAAAAGGGTGAAAAAAAGTGCGCATTTGAAACACCAAAAGTTGGAAATTAAATAATTTATTGGAAAAAAAATTATAAGTTGTAAATGATATTTCAAGGAGGAGAGAAAATAATTAAATTAAATTCAAATAAAAGACTTTCTATGCTTGGTTTTTGCATGAGAGAGAAAAAGAGAGAATTTCATGGGTAAAAAGAGGAAAAAATAACTTCATGACTAATTTTTGTTTACAATGACAAAAATAAAGAAGGAGCAAAGATTATGACTAGTTGGACTAGTTTGGAAATTAATCATTATTTTGTTGTTTTTTAGTATTGTAAAGTTTTTGAGAATTTCATGGACAAAATGGCACAAATGTTGGAGGAGAGATGAAGAGATGCTGTTTGTGCTTCTTCTCCTCTCTCCACATTGCAGAGTGTTATATAAAATAATAAGTGCCGAAATTGATGGTCTTTCAATATTGAAATTCACTTTGAGACTTTGAAACTTTCGCTATCACTATGCAATAATTCATAATAAAAACTGTAAATATTACACACCTTTTTGTTCATCAGCACAGAATTGTACACACATCTACAAGATAATGAGGTTTTTCACTCGCCAATTTAACGCTCATTTGCTCTTGTGTTTCGCTCAGGAGCTATTTTCTTGCATTCCACGCAAGAAAATAGCTCATCATGTGAAGAAGAATAGCACAGAGAGAGAGAGAGAGAGAGGTTGATTTAAATGCCTTCAATCGCAAGTGAAACACGCCCGGCCGCATCACTTCGACGAGGGATAGTAGTACAGGACAGTGTTGCCGGGCAGCTGCCAGCGCGACGCCTGCAGCTCGATCAGCTGCAGCAGCGTCCGCCGGATGGCCGGCGACGAGGAGGCCGAGTTGAGGAAGGCGTCGCGCACGGACGCCAGCAGGGACTCCAGCTGAGGCGCCAGATGCATCTCCAGATCGCGTCCGATGCACGTGAGCACGTAGAACAGGCACTCGATCTGCAAAGGACGAAAAGCGTGTGATTCAGAGGTTCAGGATGTGGCTGGAAGGGCACACTTGCCTCCGAGAGGGATCTGATGGGCGGACGCACAGCGTCCTCGCAGCACTTGGACAGGAGCGTGAGCAGGACGAGCGTCGGAGGAGCGCCGTCACACTGCGTGCGCAGCTGCAATTGTCGCCTCTTCAGCTGGCAGAACATCTCCGTGAGGAAGGCCATGAAGGCAGTGAATCGTGGTCGTGAGTTGTTCCTGGTGTTTGGCGCCGGTCCCAGAATCTATCCAGGGAAGTGGAAAAGATGAATTGTTCTTAGTTTTCTTTCAATTCAACGTATTTCTTAGCATCATCAAGTCATTAAAGAATTTAGGAGAATGTCAAGAGATTCAAGGGGGAGATTTTGAGTTAGAAATAAAAAAGAAGATAATGAAAGGATTATGATCAAGAAAAATACGCAAAAGTACATTTTCAGCAGAAGAAAATCATAAAGTATTGTATGAAGATGTGAATTTTCAAGATGTCAGTTAGATTTCAGTTAGTTTTTGGTTAAATTCTGGTTATTCAAGTAATCTGAAGTCGTGTTCAGATTTTTAGCCCACATTTTGTGGGTAAAAATCTCTAAAAACCATTGAATGAAAGATAAATAGAATTCACAGAATTATTCCCCGCTTTCCGGCGATACAATGTAGGTTGAGAGCGTGACAAAATGCTGTTTTTTCCTAAGAAATGACTTCATTTCTCTTTTTGCGAACTTATATGAAAGTAATTCAATATATTCAAATCAATGGCCTTGTCTTAGGAGTTCCTCATTGAATAAAAGTTGATTAGGCGGAAAGGAAGTGTTGAATAAGTCCACACCTTGTCTCTCTCTTGGAACCACTGCCGACACGTGTTGAGCAGCGCTTCGAGGAACGTCTCTTTCCTCTCCTTGGCCACAATGGCGATGCACAAGCGGGAAATGGGAAGCGCATATCTGGACAAAGAAAAAGAGAATGGCGTTGTGTTGAAGCATTAAATGTGCGCCACAATATATCGCCTCATAAATCGCATACCGTCGAGCTTCCACGGCTCTCTGCATTACATGACAGGCCAGTTCCATCAGATTCCTCGCGTTCAGCTGGTTGGGATCTTCCGTGGCTTTGTCCACGAGTGACTGTATGTCTGGCGGAAAGCTGCCAATGTCTGTCGCTTCGTTTCCCAGCGCGAGGCCCAAGCCCGCGATGCCGCGCGCGATGGTGTCGGCGGACGAGAGGCTCTTCGATCGCTGCAGAGGATTGGGATTCGGGTAGTTCTGCTGCGTGCTGGCCTGACTCGCCGGCGTGTGGACAATCTGCGGCTCCGGTGCGAATTTAACCCTTGGGGCGGACTGCAAAGACACGGCAAATCAGGTGAAAATTCTCCGTGCCAAGTGTAATTACATCACTTGCACACACGCCAATTCGTATTTCAGTCACACCCTCGTCGCTTGACTATTCCACGCGTGTGTTTTCATATTTCCGCCTCAACACTCTGCTGAAAAATTGCACTTTTTTTTTCGACAGAATAATCATTTTTAGCATTGACGCTATTAACCTTGGGTGCAATTGCTCGTTGTGGTTTAAATAGAAATGCAGAGCTAAGCAAGGCTTAATTGGCTGAATGATTGATCGATTGAAGAAACTTTACGCACCAATTCAGAGGTAAACCAAATCTAAGATGCAAACGCGCAATTAAGCGATTTATCAGTTGGAATAGCTCAAACGAATAAGTTTTACTTTTTTTTTGCTTTTGGGAGATTTCGCCAATTCTTACATGCAAGATATTTCCGCTGGACTGGGAGTTGACGAGGGGCATCTGGGACGCCGGCATGGCCATGCCCATGCTGAGCTGCCCCATCTGCAGGGGATGCGACAGCAGGATGGCCGTCCTGTGGCCCGTGAGATTGTTCAGCGTCATCTGCGGGTGCGGCCTGGCGCCGAACGGCTGCTGCATGTTGCTGCTGGACTTGGAGTGCTGCAGGTTGTTCCCAGTCGGCGCGAACATATTCACGCCCGACCTGCAAAGTGGCGCATAAGTAATCTGTCTTTTTGGCTGTTTATGCTCTGCTATTTATGATCTTTGAGACTGAGAAACCAGAAAAGATCTCAGAAAGCTTTAAGGGGCGTTGCAACTTTACAGACTTCCTATTTCAGTTCGTAAAAGCTACGAATTCGCTCTGCAACTTTACGATTTCTATAGCTTATATTGTCAGCTGCCATTAATTAATTAATTTAATAAGAAGACGAACGAGAATGCGTCTCAAGGCGGAAACACTGAAATTATCTACCTGTTCATGGTGAATTCCTGCGCGTGCACGTTGAGTTTGTTCTGCGCGAGTCCATCGATGCGGACGTCTGCAATGCGATGGGGATCTTTCGTTAATGCGAGAGCGTTAGGCAAAGGGAGATCACGTGGCGGCGGCGGGTGAACTTACTCGGCGGCCTGTAGATCTCCAGCGCGGGCTTCATGCGCATCTGCTGTGCGTGCTGCTGCTGCGTCTGCTGCGGATGCAGCTGCATCAGGCTGCGCCGCTTCATCTGCTGCTGATGGTTGGGCGTGCGCACGAAGCTCCGCTCACGGATGATGCCCAGCCCGGCGGCGGCCGGTGACTTCTTCAGCTCCCCATTCTGACCAGCCCCAGTCGACTGATCGGCCATCGCTCAACATGTAACAACCAATCACTTCCCAATCTCTCTCTCTCGCGCACACTTAACTTATAACTTTCGCCTACAAACTCCAAAGTCAAAAATCACAATAAAAGTAGCGTGTATAGAATACTAGAGAAATATCACATTTGGGTCCTTTTCTTCTTCTTCCTTTGTCGGCACAGAGACTCTCTGCTCTCTATCACAAAACTCCACGCAGCAGCGATCTGTGGTGATCGTGAGGGAAGAGATGAGATACGAAATCATTTGATTTTCGCGCACTTTCGATGACGCAATTTTACAGCATGTGCCAGAGAAGTCACACAGTCATACAGTCTTCTCTATGCCTAATAATATTAGTTAATAGCTCCGTACATTATGTATCGCTGCGTACACACGAGAGAATCATATATTGTCAACTGTGGGCGTTGTCGTTCAATGCAATCAACCAAACTGGCAACTTCATTGTCTCCGCGACACTTTTTTTCTTCGCTCATTTTGCCGATTTTGCCCAATTTCAGATCGTCAGCGGTGAAAACCGCGTGCAAATCTTTCTCAGGTTCACATTTTCTCTTCACGCACAGAGAGAGATTCTCAAGCTCTTCTCAAGAGTGTGTGGGGCAGAAAAAATGGAACAAATCCTCATCGTCACAGAGATTTCTGTGCGCCCCTGATTGACGACTCTCGGCGAGAGAGAGACACTCTCGGGAAAAAATATCTTACAGCGCGTTTACAGTTCAATTTGGCTATACAAACTACACAAACGCACGTTTGAAAAGATATTACAGTTCTTATCAGAAATTAATAAACCACCGAAAGCAATTCAATGTGTCTGTTTTTTTTTTGCAAAATTGATTGCAATAAAACAGACAAAATAGAAAGAGAAGACTGAATAATAACAGTTAAGAATATTATAAAGTGAGAATTGACGATCTCTTTTGCATTCTTCCACTAGAAATCCATTGAAAAGACCTCCTGAAAAGGTAAATTAGAATAACACAATTGTCTCTGTGTGTCTGTATAATTTCCCAATGGAGTGTTCGTCACTTGCGTAGGTGCATTATAATGTGAGTGAACAGCAAAACTCTCATTCGGCCACCAAGAATCACCGAATTATTTGTTATTCAGCCGAGGGCAGAAATCATGTGAATCACACACTCTTTTCGGCGCAGTTGCGAGAGAAGTTCATATCCAGGAAGAGAACACATCAGAGGATCTCTTCTCAGTGGGAAAACCCACGAGGAAAGGCATTTTCACACTCTCTCTCTCTCCCTCTCTCGCTCGCTCACGACCACACTGGCACTGGGATGTGATTAGATGTAATTCTAAATTCATAATTATTCATCCACATCCAAAAATAGAGACACAATATTTTTAGCGAAAGGCACACACCACAAGACTTCAAGCATCTTTTCTCTTTGGCTTCATGAAATTTCCCATCGAGATTGCCTGAAGCAAATTGGAATGCTGTGACTGTGAAATCTCTTCCTTCCTGACTCACGATCACCACCCCGCGTGATCGCCACTCGCGCACCTCGTTTTTAAGTCAAAAACTAGGTGCACAAATCACATCTCTAAGTCGCAGAAATTAGCACTTTTCCCTCCCCCTCGCGTGTGTCTTCTAAGTGAGAAAAAACTCCACCAAAATCAGCTTTCTTTACCGCTTCTCACTTCTTCCTAAACGCTTCTCCTCTCTCTCTTTTTCCTTAATGGATAAATTCGGCGCTTGTTTCGTGTCGGATGCTTTTCGAGATACTGAAAATTGTCTCTCGCCTCGAAAACACTCTCGCGCACAGATCGCTCAGAATAGAGTCTCCACTGCTCTCTCAGCACACACTCTGGCGGAACTATAGGAGAGGCCTTTTCATTAGGCGTCGCGCAACTCTTCTGACTCACATTTTGCATTCAAGATTTATTTACAGCAAAAAAAAGGGGGGAAACAATTCCAAAGGAGACAAACTCAATATCTCTGGTTTTCACTCTTTTTCCCTATAATGATTCTCTTGTTTTTCATCTTGTATAAAATTAAATGTGTGTGACAAAATATATCTTTAATTGAAATGTCTGCCTTTTTCACCTATCTAACTAGCATTAATAATTTCACTCTACTAACACCTAAAATGCCCTGCTTTTTCACTCTTCAAACTTCCTCCCTTTCGTGCCGGACGCAAGAAGCTTCTCAGCTCTGTCAGCATTCATGCCCAGAGACATTGTCAGCAACCTCACCATACATTTCCGCTCCTCCTCCGGTGAATCCTCTGAAACAGGGAAGAAAATGAGATCAAAAAGCAACAAAACGCGGGGAAGAAAAACTCACCGTTCACACTGGTGACTTCCTGTTCCAGCTTCAGCTTGTCCTGCGCCACCATTTGCATGCCCTCCTCGATGGTCCCCTTCGAGATGAACTTGTAGATGTGCACCGGCTTCGTCTGGCCCATGCGGTGGCAGCGATCCTCAGCCTGCTTGTCATTGTAGGGATTGAAGTCGATGTCATGGATGATCACAGTGTCGGCCGCCGTGAGATTGATGCCCAGTCCGCCGGCGCGCGTGGACAGGAGGAAGACGAACACGTCATTGTTGGCATTGTAGCTGTCAATCAGATCCTGCCGATCGCTGACATTCGTGCTCCCATCGAGACGCAGACAGTCGATGTCGCGAATCTTCATGTACGCCTCCAGGATGTCCATCATGATGGTGAACTGGCTGAAGATGAGCACACGGTGTCCGTCCGCCTTCAGCTTCGGCAGCATCTTGTCCAGCACATGGAACTTCCCCGACTCCACAATCAACTCCATCGGCAAGCGATAGTCCGCAATGGTGCGATACTTGAGCGTCAGCTGGTGAATGTAGAAGTCCGAGCGCCACAGGAGGTCTTCGTAGATGTGGTCAGGATGGCTGGCCTTGAACTGCCCATCGATCGCCAGTCGCCTGGCAATGTCCCTGAGTTTGCCATCGGTGTAGTGATAGCGCAGGAGGAGCGGATGATTGGCCAGCTTCCGCATCTCCATCATGATCGACAGCCCATTCAGCTCCGCCGTGCCTCTCACCACGCCCGAGTCCAGCGTGTACATCTCCACCAGACGCCTGTACTTCTCCTCCTGAGCCTCTGTCATTGGAATGAGTTTCACCTCGTCAGTCTTTGGCGGCAAATACTTCAGCACATCCCGCTTCAGGCGTCGCAGCACGAACGGCTTCATGATCCTCTTCGCCTGCTCAATCTGGTTCTGTTTGAACGTCGTCTCGCTACCATTCCCATTCGCGCTGCCCTCCTCCTCGTCCTCCAGCTTCACCTGGTTCTTGGCATTGCGCGAGAAGAGATTGCGAATGTCCTCCTGGCGCTTGGCGAACAGCGACGGCATCACGAAGCACAGCAGCGACATCAGCTCCAGCAGATTGTTCTGCAGCGGCGTGCCAGTGAGCAGGATGCGCCGCTCGGAGTTGATCTTGTCCAAGTACTCGTAGCGCTGCGTCGTCATGTTCTTCAGCATGTGCGCCTCGTCGAACACCACATAGTGCAGCTGCGTCGTGCGGAACATCTTCCGCTCCTCTGGCAGCGACGCCACCATGTGATAAGTGGTCAGCACGACGTCAACGCCCTCGAGGCCACCGCGAGCCCAGCGGATGCGGAGATTCTTGCGCTCCTCCAGCGAGCCATAGTACTTCTCCATCACAATTGTGGGGCACCACCTGACGATCTCCTGCTCCCAGTTGTTGAGCGTGGACGAGGGCACCACGATCAAGTGGGTCCGCTTCGCCAGGCCGTTCTCCTTGAGGTAGGCCAGGAAGGCGATCACCTGGATGGTCTTCCCGAGGCCCATTTCGTCCGCCAGGATGCCATTCATCTTCTCATTGTGCATCACAGTGAGCCAGTTGAGGCCGATCATCTGATATTCCGCCAACTGCAGGGATTCATTGAGGATTGCGGGCTGCTTCATCAGCCCAGCGCCCTTGGACACCGCGTTCTCCAGTCTGTTCACCATCTTCGTGCACTTCTTCATGATGGTGGAGATGTTCTTGCGCCTCTTCAGCAGATCCTGGCAATTGTTGAGAATATCCGTGGACAAGTGACGATTGCTCTGCACGGTGTTCACGAGACTGGTCCAATTCACGTACGGACGGGACTCAACGAGCGCCTGCGCCTTCTTCAGCGAGCACGTCTTGATCACCACCAGCTGCTGCAGATTCGACTCGTTGATGTACTTGAGCACAGCCTTGCGATCTTTCGACATGTAATCCGGCGCCTCCTCGTCACTGTCCATATCACTGTCGAACACCTTGTCCGTGGGCTGATTGGCGTCCGGATCCTCACTGTCATCGCTCACCGACTCGTGGTGGTGCGTCTTCTTCGCGTGCGGCGTGGGAGCCGCCTTCTTCGTCGACGAGGAGCCGCTGGAAGAGTATCCGGAAGATGTCGATGAGGCGGATGACGTGGGCTGCAGAGGTCTCGCCGTCCGCCCACGCACCATCTGCCTGGCCCTCTCCAGGTCCCAGTTGGACTGCACGAGGCAGTCCTGGGACTCCAGGAGCGGCACTGTGGGCTCCAGACGACGGAAGGTCTGCAGCATAATCTCCTTCTCCTTGAGCGTCAGTGGCGCCGGCTTGGCCTTCTCAGGCGACACCAGAAGCCTCCGCTCCTTGCTCAGCATATGCTCCACGCCATCCTCCTCACTGAGCTTTCGCTTCCGCGCCGCACCGTCCGAAACTACAGCAGAAAAAGTGAGGTAAATGGCAATTTTCTCATCACGCCATTAGCCAAAGTGACTTTTCTCACCTGCGTTCACGGCTGGTTGGTGGAGATGTTTCTGGATGCGTACGTTTCGGAGAGACATTGTAGTGGCAGAATATGTTTACGCAGCAACTAAGGAGTAGTTTAGATGTGGCTCAAGATAGGAAATATTTCACAATAATACCAAAAATACGGATAAATACACTACACAATTTTGCCCGAAGAAACGCGTGTAGAGATCCAAAAAATCTAGAGCCGACTGCCGCCGAGTTGGGCGCGAAGCGATGCTCGCTCTTCGCCGCCATCAGCGCCTCTGGCGTAATCTCGGTGGACGATATTTTGGCAGTGCGCTGTCACCCGGATACGGAAAATATATTGTGCAAAAGGGCGAAAAAGTGTAAAAACTCGTGAAAATATCCATCGAGACAGCGTGAAAAGGGGTGAAAGGTATTGTGCGACAGCCACACTGTTGACAGATCGTGCGTGCGATGGCTATATCAAGCTGGATGCTGCGAAATAGAAGTATGCGGTCGAAAGGTAAAAATGCCCAGAGATGCGTAATTTGTGCCATTTCCCAATCACACTCACTTCCTGTCCACAGGACGACCGCCGGAGGATTGCTACAAGTTGAATGCCGCAAAGAGTGACGCAGAGAATGCCTTCGACATCTACCAGGCGCTCAGCTTCCGTGCCACCAGCGAGCACAAGCGTCTCAACCTCCTGAATGCCCTCGTGAAGCTGTTACAGCAAGTCAGGGAGCCACAATCCCTTGGCTTCTCCGTGGAGGACTTCCTCTACTGGTGAGTAGCTCTCTCCTGTGCTGCCCTCCCAATCACTAACGCCACTTGTGTGCTTGCAGCATTTCCCCCAGCCTCGTGCATCCGTTCACACAAGTCCGGGCAGCTGCGCTCAGAGCCGTGCGACACCTCATGTCCAGTCCGAAGGATGTCCAGTCCTTCAACGACCTGCAGCTGTCGCACCTCGTGTGCCGGAGTCTGGACATTGTGCTGAAGAACGAGGAGGAGCGCGTGCAGGCGCTGAAGCTGATCCGCCGGATGCTGAGCCTGGCGTCGCACCTCATCAGTCCCGTGATCGTGCGGTGTCTCGTGTCGCTGGTGGAGAGTGGCAGCGAGGATGGCGACCGGATGCTGCGCTCCTGTCTGGCCGTGCTGTGCGAGTTCGGAGTCCTCAATCCCGTGCTGCTGATCGTGTGCGGCGGCGTGAGCGCGATCACGCGCAACCTCCTCGAGTGCCACAGTCCGCGCATCGCGGAGAGCCTGTGCGGCGTGCTGCTGCACCTGCTCGAGTGGCCCCACACGCGCAACATCGCCGGCGTGCGCCTCGAGTGCCTGGCGGCGCCCTACTGTGACTTCACATACCGGCTGGGCATCATGGATAAGAACAAGTGAGTCGAAAATAGCCGCGCAATTTGCACGACTCTCGAATGCGGTCTTGTTTATTGTTTCCGCGGGTATTTTCAATGCGTATTTTTAGACTTTTACACTTCCGGACTCATTCCGGGGCAGTCTGTGGCTGTGTTTTGACACGCTTCTCTCTCTCTCTCTCTCTCTGTCGCGCTCTCTTTCAGAGATGCCCGAGATCTGCGGTTCACCTGCAGTCGCCTGGCACTCCTGTCTGTACTTAGAAGCTGGGCTGGCACCATTGAGTTCTGTGATCCGAGCAAACCGTCTGGCCTGAAGGCGATCGTGGATGTGTTGTATCTGAATCAGCTGGAGGTGAGGAAGTCCATTCTGGACTTGCTGTACGAATTGCTGGAGTTGCCGCAGCCTGTGTGGACGGATGAGTACTCTGTGGCGCTCTCCGTGGTGGATCCGGCGGACTTCCAGGACAGCTGGCGCCTCAGTGAGGGATTCGTGGCAATGGAGGGCAGGAGTGTGTTGCCCACACTCGCCAGTCGCGTGCCAAATCCGTGTGAGATTCATCTGGCTCTCCTGCTGTACTGCTTCCTGGAGGCGGGTCTGCTGGACGCTCTGGGCGAGGTGATTGTCTCCAGTGACACGTTCATCTCGGTGAGAGCGACAGTTCTCCTCGGGCGACTGCTGCATCTCATGCACACACTCTTGCCGGCGGACATCTGCAACACGAGTCCATCTCTGCCAACACTCATCACGCACGCCGCCCAGGGGAATCACCAGGCGACGGCGGCCGTGGCTGCTCTGCAGGATCTGCACCAGATCATGAAGAATCGGCCGGCCTCGTGTTCCCTCTTCCTGGACAGCATCATCCAGAGCGGAAGTATTGTGCACACGAAGCTGTTCAAGCGGGAGATAAGTGGCATGAGTGACAATCCGACGCTCCTGCTCACGAGTCGCTTCAGTGGGACGCTGGAGAGGAAGAGGCACGACTCGGTGGGATCGTCAAGCACTTCCGGAGCTGGAGATTTGGGTGGTGAGGGCAGTGTGAATGGCAGTGGAAGCAGCAAACTCGGCACCATTAAGAAGTCGGGAAGCTTTAAGCGCAGCAAATTGCTGCATTTATTTGACTCTGGCAAGGAAGTGAGTGATCGACTGCTGAAGGAGTCCAATGTGCTGCTGAACAAGGATGGAAATGTGTGGGATTGGGACATCATTGTGGCCATTCTCAAGTCGGACAGTCTGCTGAAGATGGACGACAATCAGTGTCGCTTCGTGAGGCGTCTTGTGCACTACTTCAAGCCCAGCAACAATCGGTTCTCGCATCAGGATCTCGGACATGGCAGGCATGTGCCGGCCACTGTGCTGGCGGGTGTGGAGCTGGTGGATTGGCTGCTGCGGTGTCAGGACGGCGGGACGCAGTTCAAGGTGCACAAGTACACGTACTCGCTGGAGTCGCTCAGGCACTTGACGGACCTCTTCGCGGACATCAATTCCCACCTGCAGGCCATCTCGACGTCACGCAGCGCTCACGATTGCCTGTTCAGTCCACAGCACATGGTCAGCACGATGTGCCAGCAGTATTTCCTCCTCATCGGACGCATGTGTCGCAGCGATCACGGGATAAACATTCTGAAGAACACGGACATCTTCAATCAGCTCAGGCACTTGGTCACCACGACGAATCACGTGTGCTACAACAAGCTCATCGTCTCGGGGCTCGACTACTCGCGCAGTCCCATGCCGAGGCAGATTCTGGAGAAGGCGCTCACGGAGGCGGTGAACAGGAGCGGCAGATTGTACGCCACGCAGTTCCTACTCGTGCTGATGCGTGCCAAGATACCGAACTTCGAGATGTGGGGACTGTCGATGCTGGTGAATCAGACAAAGGACACGGAGCAGAGTGTCGTGAATGCTGCTCTGGAGATCCTCGAAGAGGCTTGCCACGAACCGGTGAGACAATCAATTGATTAATGCGTTTCAAGAGTGGCTAATTAATGTGTTTTTCTTCTTTCAGCTCTACTTGAATGAACTCGTGAGCATGTGGCCACCATTGGCTAGTCTTGGAGATGCTGGGAAGCTGGTGAAAGTGAGATTCTACTCCACCATCAAGGGATTGAATCACATCAATGCCAATATTGTGGAGCAAACCAAATACTGGGCCAACAGTTACAACAAGAGGTGAGTTTTGAGTGATTAGTGAGATTTTCTGACACTTTTCCTCATGCACTGTTGCTGTTTCAGGTATGTTCTCCTCCTGGAGGCGGATATTCACTCAAGTCTCACGCTGCACACGAAGAACGAGGACGGAACGTACAGTCGACGGTGCTGTTCGACGCGTCCCACAACAATCCCGCCCAATGTCTTGCCACATCTCTATGGACAGCTGGTGCAGACGAGCGCCGGCATGGTGATTCTGCAGAAGCACGGCAATCTGCCGAAACTCATTGAGATCCTGTCGCAGGGCGTGTGTACGGATGAGATGGAGAGTTTGACGCTGAAGTCGGCCATCTGGGCGCTTGGGCATGTGTCAACGAGTGCCGAAGGTGTGGAGTATCTCAATGATCCCATATCGCGTGTGTACGAGAAGATCATCTTCCTGGCGAAGCACTGTGAAGTGTATTCAGTGAGGGCGACGGCACTGAATGTGCTGGGATTGATTGGCAGCACGAGTGCGGGTGCGAATATCCTGTTCAAGTTGGATTGGATGTGTGTGAGACACAATAGGAACACCATTTGGCCAGTGTGTGAGCCTGAAGATTGGTTCTCCAAGCACTTGACGCCGATAAGGCATCAAATTGGTGACATGCCGCCGTACAATTATCGTGGCATTGAGGAGAATGTGGTGGATTTTGGGACAACGGCCGAGACGTCGTTCTACTTTGATGAGGCCAATGAGAGCAAGCTGAAGTTCGATGAGTTCTATGACACCAGTATTCACATTTCGGAGGCGACGGACGAAGGAGTGACGCCCAAATCGAAGTCACGCACGTTGCCGGAGAGTCTGGCGACGCGTGCAAATGCCAAGCACATGAGATCACTGTCGGAGAGTAAGACTTCGGATGGACTGAGTCTCATCACGGTGACGAATAGGACGCGTTTCAACTCTGGCACGGATTCTAACACATCCGGCGTGAGCAGTTGTGACTCAATTGTGGGGAAGAATATCATTGGTGATCTGCAGCAAACACTCAGTCCCATTCCGTCGACATCGAATCTCCTGGACATTCGGAAGCCGAGTGAGAAGAGACTGAGGAAGATCTCCCTGACAGGCGTGCCTATTCGCGAGAATACCATCAGTCCGCAGGATTTGGAGGGTTATGCAAAGTTGCGCTCGCTCAGGCGACATCAGCGGCCGATGCTGTCGGAATCGGCGGCTGATGAGCTGGCCGAGATGATGGATGACGTGATTCTGCGGACGAATAAGTTGGAATTGAGTGATCAGCAGCGATCGCTGAAAGTGAGGAGTCTCGATAGACAAGGATTCAGTCTCACGCCGTCGTCAAGCTTTAAGAATGACGATCTTTCATCACCCAAATCGGTGTCCAGTTCCTTGAAGCTCATGTCATCGAATGACTGCAAAGGACCGTGTTATTCAGGTAGGATGTATTGTGTCATTTAAAGAAGCGCAAATTTGCTAATGACGCTGTTAAATTGTAGGCATCTGTCTTCCGCGAAACATCCTGGATTTGTTCCCGAAGCGCAACACGAGCACGACGTATGTGTCTCGGTGTACGCAAGATGTGGAAGTTGGTGAGATGAACAATTTGCTGGTGCTGAAGCAGCAATTCCTCGTGGATGGCATTGGTGAGGGTGATGAGAGTTCCGTGAGCAGTTTGTCTGACATTTCGACAAATAGCAAGCGATCGAAGTGGGCGGGAAAGCACAACAGGAGCAATTGTCTGCACTGCTGTCGATCGAAGATCAATCGCTTGCATCCGCGCACAGACAGTGACATCAATATCCGGCGCAAGAGTCAGCACAATTCGCTGCTGCAGCTGTCGGACATTAGCTTCCATTCGCCAGAGAGTGTGCTGAGTGAGGAGAGCATGCCGGATAGGATAACGGCGAGTATTCTGCGATATGTGCAGCGAATGGCGAATCCGCTGTGGAGCAAGCAGTCGAAGATTTCGCTGTTGGAGCTGAAGCAGAAGCATCCGTACTCGTTTCAGGACATTTGTCTGTACTCTGAGATCTGCAAGTCGATGGGCAGGAATACTTATCGGCAGAATGCGAGGAGATTCCTGCAGGAGCTCTTCCTGGATCTCGACTATGACAGTTTCTACAGTGAGGCTAATGAGATTGTGCAGCGACGAGAGCGAGAGGATGGCGATAGCGCCAAAGGGATTCGTCTGGAGTTGGAGATTGTGGAGCCTGATCGACCGGGTGTGGATGAAGTTGATGCTGCTGATGTGGCAAACACTTCGGCGGCGCAGAATTGGCCGGTGGCGTTCCAGAAGTCCACCAAATTGGGCCTCAAGTCGCCGCCTCTGGCCAGTGTGTATGAGACGAGTGTGGAGAATCTGCTGGACAATGGGAAGTCAACGAAGGTGGTGAAGGTGGATTGCCACGAGCCGCCGGAGAGTCAGAAGAGGGGCGATTGGGCGATGAGGCCGCGCTTCAACACGCTGGAACTAGATCTGACGTGCACCCACAACAAGTTCCCCATCACGGACAGGAACAGGAAGAAGGACTACTCGCCCACGTGGTATGTGGGCATCTTCGAGGACGGCCTGAAGGATCTGTCGTCCGCAGCCTTCAGCACGGGCAGCCTTTACTGCGAGAAACGCTTACAGACATACAAATCAGAGGCTTCGCTGCCGCGGCCCAGGCGAGAGGAGAAGAAGTAGCCGCAGGAAGTGTGCGCGTAATTTGAGAGATGTCTTTGGAAATGTGTTCCTCTCTTGCTGAGGAGGAGCCTTTCCACTGCATACACTTTCGATTCGAATTTATTTCACTTGAATTGTTACTTTATATGATTTTTTTTTCTAAATATGAATTAATATAATGATTATTTAAGTGCGCCAAGTTGCTCTCAAAGCTTTCGGCGTTTTATTGATTGGCCTCCTTGACAACATGCCGAGATGCAGAGGCGCCAAGAACAGTTCTTCATCTCTCTGCTGGCTTCTCGCGTTTCGACCTATTTGTTTACGTTTTAACGGCTCGCCGCTGAGTAGAGAGAGGACAGCGTTATGAGGTCACAGAGATTGAAAAGGCAAGACTGGATCTTAGTTCTTTTCCGCGTGCAAACCTTGTCGCGATCACTGAACCAACGTGCAAAAAAACAATGGAGATAAAGTCTTTTTCTACTCAAATATTGTTGTGCCAATAATACAGTCTTGCGAGTCTCACATTCATGACTCACAGCAGTGTTTTTGCCTGCGATTGAGTGCGCTAAACCTCTCGAAAATCGTCCAAATCTGAGAAGTCAAAATTCTGTCGGGTGCAAAAAACCACGCAAATCGGTGGAATATTTGAATTCGAAGAGTACATATGCAGAGGCGCCACCTGACAGATTGATCGGAAGCTGCGTGCGCATATAAAAGGAATCAAAGAAAGCGGCTTGGAAAGTAGTTTGCAGAGAAGCGTTCATTGTTTCAGTGTTTTTCACCGTGATATTCCCCGTAATTTGGCCCTGAATTGTAATTAATTCATCTGCACAGTACTTCTGGCATCCTGAGCAAATCCCGAGGGAAAGAGTTTCTGATTGCGACTGTTAATTGATTTGTGAAATCTCAGTTGCATTTGACAATTGCAGTGCGCGAGTGTGAAAATTTCCACACATTTTCACGGCTGTTTTTTTGCTGATACAAACGATACAGAGGTAAAGAAAAGTCTGCTATTCTCTCTTTGATTATCTGGACAAGAAGATTTGCCTGTAGTTTTGGGGAGAAGTGTGCAGAAGTGTCCTTTCTTTGTTCCTTTGTTTCTGGAAGGAGAATCCTAACTGTTTGTCGCGCACTCTTTCAGCGATCTTTTTGCTGTCCGGAAAGCTCCGCAGAGCCATGGAGGAGACCCAATTGAAGATTGCCGTGTCTGAGGCTGAGGGTGAGTTAATTCCAGTCAATTCTATCCATTCTATCAGTGGCAAAGAGGAGAAATTCCAATACAGAGCCGCCGAGTAGTCATAAATATCGGCGCAATTCATGTCTCATGTCACTGGCACTTGTGGGACGCTCGTGATTTGCGGGCTCAGCGCCCTGCCCTCCCTGTCCGGGGAGCGCACACAAAGAGAGCGTTTTGCAGAGGCGACGACACTGGAGCCAAATAATGGCACGAGAATTCCAACGTTGATTTGCATATCAACGGCTGAGAGAGACTCCAAGCGCAATTCGAATGCTTTGAGTCGCGTGCGATCGACGGGAAAGTTGCGCGCGAGATCCAGTTCGTCCCTCTTCGCGCGCCCACTTCCTTGGCTAATTAGACGGCAGTGTTGATCTTGATCTTGACTCGCGACGGGCTGAAAAGGAAATAGATGACTTTCTCCTCTTGGGCTCGTGCAATTTTGCACAGAGAGTGGCTTCTGCCTTCTTTGGGCACACGCGATTCCATCTCTGCGCCGATGCACTTTTGCTGATCATCAAATGCAAATCTCACTGCAATTTTTTTGTCAGTGACACAATTTTCCCATCGATTTCAGCGAAAGTACATCTCATAATCCACCTCAGATGGTGGTAATTTGATTCGCAGACAGAATCATTTGTATGCAAATATGACAAAGACTTAGAGAAGACACTATAATTTGAAGATGAGAAACGGAAAAAAGTAAATCACAAGCAAAACAATTTGCATAATAAAAGAATGAGAAGTTATAAAAAAGTGACAAACTAGAATTTTGTATAAAAGTTAATCAGAGTTTAACAGAGAGAGAGTGAACATTGAAAACGATATGAAACCGGTTTAAAATAGCTCATTACAGAAGAATTATTATGTTCTCTGTAACGATTTTGCAGATTCTTCCACATTATTATTTACTTGATTTTGCAATAAAAGCAGACAAGAATTCCAGATCGTTAATACAAAATATCACTTCAACGACAAAAATATCATTGAGAAAACATCAATCGCCGTTTATTGATTCACAGTGCAGAGTAGGAAAAAAAAGAAGAAATATTGGAATATAAATAAGTAAAAAGCAATGCTGAACTTTATTCGTGGGCATAGCATTGATCTATTTTCTAACTTGCAGAAATGTGAAAGACTTTCAAGCCATTCACACACGCTGTCCATATAAAAATTTACTCTGTACATCTGCGGTCGTTTGTCACAGAAAGAGGCATGAAAAATAGTTTTTCCATGTGCAAAAAATCTATTTTATATTCTACAGAATGGAAAAATACTGAAACTACATGAATTTGATTGTTTTTTTGCACATGGTTTTTTTTTCAATTAAATAATAGGTTGAGTTGGCGAGAACGCGAAGTTGGGTGAATCATAATTTCCAATTAGAAGAATTATTTCGGCTTTGTCGTGTTTGCGGTGAGATTTAGAGCTGTCTCTCCAGAGATTTACAGCTTGTGTGACTATTTTGGGTGTGGATTTAAAGATGTATTGTTGGCAAAAACTGTGCCATTTGCTGGCCTGATATTGAGGCGATGCATTGAGTGTCTCTCCATCGTTCAGATCGTGCGCCTCACGTCTGGGCGAAATTCTGTGTGGGATGAGAGAGATGATTTTTTGCGAATTAGCAGCAGAAAATGTATCCAATGAAGAGTGGGCTTTAAATTTCTCGCTCTTTCTCTCTGTGGCAGTCTGAAATTATATTGTATCATTAATACCATCTGCTGGAGGAGAATGTTGAACTGTGTTGGAGCATGAAGATGTTCTGGAAGTGCAAATTGTCGTGAAGACTCTGGCATTGAGTACAGAGCTTGTATATTAGATTTGTGTTAATGGACTTATATAACCAATAATCTAGATAGAATCTGCATGTTAAATTTGTCCAGATAACTCAATTGCAGATAAGTTTATAGGGTTTAAGATGCCTATTGGAAACTACTCTGGAAGGGTATTTATTTACTAGACGCTTCATGAGCAACTAATTTCATCAGAACACCTTTAAACTCACCCAGTGAGCCAAAAAGGTTTAAGAAAAGCAAGTATTTTAGCTGAAAAATACTCAGCGATCGCAGTGGAATATTTACGCTTCACTTAGCTAATTTTCCTACCGTTTTTCGCTTTGTATTTTACTGAATTTATTGCTTTTTCTGATCAGAATTGAGCAAAAAAGCAGAAAATTGACAATATTCTATTTATACAATACATTTGAGTGTTGCTATCACGAAGTATATTATCGAAATGGCATGGTTTTACATGGTGCGACATCTATGAATTTAGGTGTGCATCAGTACTTTGACTGTTTGCCGCTATGTTCGCTAGTGCATCAGCGCAATGGCTAAAATCTTAGCGAAAGAAAGCCGAACCAGAAGTTGAGATCTTAGCATTTTCTGCTCGCTGTGTAGATGGCAAAGAAATTCAGAAAAAAGACACCTTTAACGGGAATTCTGAGGAAGCGGATTTGTTGTGTGTGTAAGAAATGCAAATTAATTTTTCACATCCTAAAATGGGAGACAGAGATACAAATTTAACACTCTCAAGTCAATCAATCAGTGAATTAATAATAATGCTAAGAGGAAAATTTTTAGTGGAACGACGATGAGAAGCTGATGATTCACATGCGGATGTTTGGGTGATATGGATTATAATTGGGTTAGACCGCTACATGTTGAAGCGTAATTGGAGAGATTCTTGCTGAAGTTGGCACTTGCGTAGGTGCAGAAGCACCTTCAGGGCTTCTGATGGACGAACATGTTGGACGTGTACTGTCTCTCTGTGAAGACAAGAAGCTCCTCTGGATTGCTTCAGGGGGGAGCGGAGAAATATGGCAGAAAGGGCTATTTTTTCCCATAAAATAAGACATTCTGCCGAATATCAATTGAGAAATACAATCTCAACCTATCTATTGACAATGCCAAAGGTTACACAATGAGGGAAAGGGATGGGAAGTGGTGGTTTTTTTTGTGTGTGTTTTGCTGATTTTCCTTTTGAAACCATATGCAAAACTTAATAGGATTTTGGGCTATATATGTATTTGTCTAGACGAAAATCTCTCCCAATATTGTTGTACACATGTTTGCCATAGAATTGAGTATATATTTTGTATAATTGAAGGGTGAGTTTGAAATTTGATATCAATATTAGCCTTCTTGATTTCAATATGACCGCAGAGAATTTTATCTTAATCCGAGAATTGATATGTTTCCCGTCTGCATTTATCGAATTTTCCTTGTGTGTGTTGTTGTGAACATAAGCAACATTGGCTGAACATGTACCAGCAAAAGTGTACATAAGATTAATGTGTCTAATAAAAGCTCACTTTCGTATCCTTTTTCCTCCACTGAAAGAGTGATACATAAGATGCGCTCTCTCGTCTGCAGTGTGTATCGTTATAGAATTGAGAGACAGAAAACATGAGTTATAAACTTGGCGTTTTATTTAAGAATTTTATGATACTTATGTTTTATGTATAAATTTGCATGGTCTTCGGATATGTTTGCTGGCACGGAGAATTGTGAACTTTGCTCATTCTCTTTTTTGGGGGCATTAAAATTCGTGTGTTTGCGGAGGAAATGTGAGAGAAAAGGTGTTTCAGATATTTCAGTGTGTGTGTGTTTGTGTGTGGATTAAGGAAGGAAAAGGGAAGAGACAGTTTAATTATTAATGGCTTTTATATACAATTTCAATTACAAGGCAGTTGAGAAGAAAAAAAAGGTTCTTATGTACAAATAGGAAAATATACTTCAATGCCTTTTTCCCCGTTGCTTTATCGAATGTATACAGAAATTATTTGCTGTGCGAACGAAATGTGAATGGGTTGAAAAATTAATTTGTGCAAATTGAGGGGACATTTTTTGTGTGTTTGTGTGTAAAATTCGAGAGGGTGGCGATGAAATTGGCACAAATGGTGTTGATAATGCGATATAGCAAGCAAATGCATAACATATGAATTTGAAATGTGATTGCAATTTGCGTGTGCAAATCACTGTGTACAAATGCCTTAAGCGGCCTGATGTGCAATTATGAATTTTGGGGTGTGTGTGGTAATTTGGTTCAATGATTTGTCAATTAATCAAACTTGTGCGTTGTGTTTCCGGGAGGGAAATGTGCGATTTTCGTTCCGCATATAATCGGCAAAAAGTATCACATAATATCATTGGCATAAAACTCAAATGGCCCACTTAATCTCGGGAAAAATTCTTTTCTTTCCCATCTTCTACTCCTCAATATTTGAGGTGAATTCAAGGGGGAGATAATATAGTCAGAAGTGATGTATAGCTCAGTAAAATGTGGTGAAAAATTTACAAAATTCCTTTTCAAAATCATCTCTTAGTGATCATTTTGAGGTTATGATCGTAAAAAACGCTGAAAAAGCGGTTTGAAGTGGAAATATCGCATGTAACCTTAAGATATTTATTTTAATTTGTGAATTATTGCGGAAATAATCTAACAATTTGAAGTACTGAAAGTGTTAGGAAGTGATGTGCAGATTAAGATCATATTATCTCCCCCTTTGGGTGAATTGATGCTGAAGGATTTTTGGATATGTACGATTTTTCTCTATAAAAAAGAATGTGGCTGAGGAAGGAGAAAAGTGTGCGGTGTGTATATGATGGAAATCATGGTGAAGGCCATAAAAGTATCGAGGAAAAGACGGTTTCAGGAGCAAATTGTGGCCATCAGTCTTATATGTGCTGAAGATGTGAACTTTCCTGTGTGGGGGTCCATGAAAACGGGAAGACAGAGAGAAATAAGGATGTGAAAGCATAGGATTTTCCTTGAAACTCTGTGGTCGATGTAGCGAAAAAGGCTGTGTGGATGTGTGGAGAGTAAAATTGATTACTTTGGGATTGTATAAAAGGCAGAGAGAATGGCAAGACATGACCTCTGCTCTGTGACTCATTTTTATTGAAAGTGCTGCAGCGGTGTAATCGATAAAAATGTAAAGTTCTCGGTTAGCATGGAAAAGAGAGAGAGAGAGAGAGAGTCAATGATTCTTGAGGTGTGGAGAATTTGAAGTGAAATAATTGAGTATTCAATGAACTTTCAATGAAGATGAAGCATGATTTTAATAGTTTAAGCATTCTACTCTTTGACCTACTCATGAAATTTAAATTTGTGTCTCATTTGACTTTAAAGCTTCTCAATTTTCTTGCATCTCATATTTATGGAGCTTGAAGGACTTTATTTAATCCCAATTGAGACCCAACATTTGAATAAATATTTAGCAAGTCTTCAAACGTTGGAGAAAATGGAAATGTTATGAATACAAAATTCTTATTCTTCTTTACATGACAGAGAAACGCAATGTATATATAATTTTCTGTGTTTACTTTTCCCCTCTGGAAAAAGGAGTTTTGTGCCTGAGAATTTACCTGAATATTTATTTATCTGATTTTCTAAATTATCATCATATTGGCAATCATATTCATGAAGGCATTAATTATCATTTCTAATGGGAATCTTTATGAAATTATATGGAAATTTCTCGTTGAATTCACATCTTATCAATTTTCATTACTAAAATGTGAATATAAATTCTGTAATATTGCTTTATGGGGGGATAAATTCACTCTATTTTCACAAAAGTGCGTTGGTAAAATAGAGGGCAGAAGAAGATAATCTTTTAGAGATGGGGAGAAAGTAGTTGTTCAGTTCAAGAGGATCAGTGAAAAAAGTTGCCTAACGAGTTGGAACTTTGTAATGGAATTAAAAGAGTTTTCTTCTATCTCAACTCTGGCGTGTATCTCAAGATGTTTTACAGTTGCTTATCTCTTTTTTTCTCTCTGCACTCCGCATCGCATCATGATTCTTTGTCATTTGGGGGGGTTTTTGCTTCTTCTTTTTTTCACCACAACCACGTGATAAATGCAGATGAGTTTATGGAAAAATGCACAGTTGAAATACGTCTTTTTTTGTTGCTGTTGTGTGCAAGAAAAACCTTGAAAATGTGGTCTTTGATGACGGGAAAACACTGAGAATTTGTATGCACACAACAGAGAGGGTGTACATTGGCATTGTTAAAAGGTGATGTGGCGCCTCATAATTCTTTCATTAAATCCTCCCAACTAAAATGCACACAATGTACTCCATGTCGCCGCTTTTCCCGATGACTCATACTCGATGGATGCGGAAAATATCGGGCAGTCGCGTCTCTCTTTCACTCATGCTCTCTTTCTGCTGCTTCTGTCGCTTCGCGGCGAAGGGGTGGCGGCGTAGTTGGGGTGGCTTCGAGATGGGCACAGAGACTGGGTGGCGAGAGTTCAGCTCAATGCTGTCGTTGCTGCCTTTTAACCATGTGTGTTGAGGTCACAGAGGGTCAGAGTGTTTTTTCCCCGTGATTGCTATACCAGCGCATTTTTTACCCTTTACTCTTTTTTCGCCACTCTATGCCTCAATCTATGGTGTGTAATTGGCAAAAAACACTCGCTCATGTATTTAACGGTTGACTATTTAATTTGGAAATTGTTGATGTTGTTGCGCCGGTATTGCGGTGCCGGGGAGAGAATCATGGCTCAAAGGGCGAGGATTTGTTGGTTTTAATTCATGTACAAAATTCTGTGTGGAGTAATTTTCAACTTGAGGCTATTTGCTAAATTTTGAGGGTGGATTCTTCGTTTTTTTTTTTTTTGGTGGTGGAGTTTTGCTCTATGGAATTTTGGAATTATTTATGAAGACTGTGTGTGTTGTGCAGAACAGCATTTGGATTTGTGGGAGAAGTGAACAAAGCCAGCACTTTGTCGTGTGTTCACGAGAAGGACGTTTGGGGCATAGAATGAAATGTGACGTGGAATAGTTTTGGTTGTATTAGAATGGCGACCAAAGTGGGTGGTTTTTGGAGGCACTTTTCCACCCCTGTTTAGAGTATATTTTAAGTATAGATCTGCATATGTGTGTGTGTGCATGCCAAGAGGATGTGGAGAGAGCGAGAGAGGAAGGGAAAACATGGGGAGAAGATTGGTTTAACCACCCACTCTTGAGTCACAGCCCCTCATCGTGTTTTTTTCTCTCTCTGCATTGAACATGGTCAGAGAAGTAGGCAAAAAAGTGGTGAATTTTATTTGGCAAAACATTTTATTAATTGTATTTCCCACTGAAAACTATTTGCAATTTTCCGACATTTCCACTCTCTGGCTAGAAAGTCATGAACTTTTCACTTCTGCAACAGCTTTGGCGACCACTGATGGTAATGTGAAGGATGTTAGGCGTATGTATGTGTGTGTTTCGCTATCGATCCTGCTGTCGGGTGTGAATCGTTGGAAAATCGCACGGTGAATTTTCATCCAGTGAGAGCGTCACGACGCTTTCCGACGAGCTGATGTCGCTTCCTTTTTGGCGTCGTTTCCCCACTTCCTCGACCACATTTGAACATCACGACGCAACATAGGGAACGCATCAGGCTCTGAGCCTCACGAGTGTGTTGTTTCAGTTCTCAGTCCCTTCTGAACACGGAGAGCGTTCGCACGCTGAACTCGGGCACTTCTCACGGACGACAGAGTGTGTGTGGAGAAAGAGAGACTTTGAAATAAGCACAGAAAGACGGGCAGAGAAAGTCCTGACGGTGTGATTCACTCAGTTGGAGAAGCGTGTTCTGAGTGCCCCGCCCTTGAAAGATTTTTTCTCCATCACAGGGACACTTTTCCCCACGGATTTTTTATTACAATTCTCGTTTCAATTCTCACGAGAATATTGCATAGATTTTTCCCATCGACTTTTCTTTCTATTATTCCCAAAACCATTAGAGTATATATCTATTGGTCTGTGTGAAGAAAGTGAGGAAAAATCATAATTTTGAGACGTGATTTTTAATACACCGGGAAATTTTCCTATCCGAGAGTCGATAAGTTTATTTGCTGGAGGAAGAGAAGATTCGCATATTGGCAACATCATGTTGATTGGATTAGTTAGAGATTCAGTTCTTCAGTGCTTTTGTCACACGTGTCGAGCACCGGTTTTGCCGGCAGGTAAAGTGAAATATATAACACATAAAATGTAATGAAGAGAGAGAGCGAGTGAGTGAGAGAGAAAAGCACCAAATTATGTGCAATTTTGATGCAGTCAACTATTTTTCCCCAGTCATTTAATGTGAGAGGAATGAAGAGGAATTCTGGTCACAACATGCAAACATATTTTCCGTATGAATTTCTAATTTAAATACCATATGCTTTTCCACAAAAATACTCATCATTATGGGGGGCGGGGGGTGAAAAGGGAGAAGGGAAAATCCCTAGTGGAGAAAGTAGCACTACTGCAAATGTGGGGTGGGTTTTGGGGGGTGGAGAAGGGTGCAAAGGAGAAAAGGCTGGAGTGGCAATAAGAAAAAAATTCATTTCCTACGTGACAAATTGGAAATGGCAAAGAAAATACATTGTTTGTCTGAAAGGGAAAGAATGGTCAGAAGAGAGGCAAAATTCTGTGTGTTTGTTGGTAATTAAATTCAACTTTGTGAGGATTCTATTGAACAAAAAAAGAGGATCAAATTCTTATGAATATTTTATTATTTCCATCAATTTCTAGTCTCTTATTCAACATCAAAATCAATGTAATGAATCTGTTCCCCAGAAAACCAAAAAGGCACAGAACAGAAAAAGAGAGAGAGACATTCGATAAATGACTATTTTCTCAAATGTCTACCACAGATTTTCCCCTTCTATCCACTCTTCAGTTTCTGTGCCATTCAATAAATTCTCCGACGAGACGTATATTTAATTTATTGTTAAAGAATTGCCATGATATTTATCAGTGGCGTATATAGAGAAAAGGAATAAAAGTGGGATCTGGGATTGAGTGGATACATTTTGGGGGGTGAAATGAAAGGGTGGGTAATACAGAAAAAATATTTTTCTTCACTTCACTTGCCTCCGTATGTTTTCCATCAAAGCTTGTCGCAATATTATTGATGGAAAAGCAAAAGAAAGTGAAGAATCAAATGTACTGAAAAATGGGTTTTTTTTGCCCTTGCAAAGAAAATTGGGACTGTCGTTTTTATACAAGAGTTGATTGTTTGAAAAATGTATTGTCATCAATTTTTGTGTGTTGTTTCACTTCAGAAATAACTTAATAAATTTTAGTTTAAATAATTTTGACCATCAAATCAAATGAAATACGATCAAAGATGATTCTATTGTTTGAGAGACGAAGAAGACAAATTGCAAGGGTGGAAAAATCACACCATTAAATCTACCTTGAGTCGAATGATGTGATTTGTTGGAATGCTTTGTGGGGAGAGAGAAACATTGAAAGAAAAGGGTGTCAATAAGATATAAGAGGGTAAAATCAGCTTGAAAAGAGCTGAAGAAAGAAATTCATCCTAATCGGATTTTGATAATATCACAAAAGTTGAGCTTTTCACTTTCACACATTCATCATTGGCTTAATGTCATATTGAATGCGGCAGATGTATTTTTTCTTTCTCACTTTCTTCAAGGGGTTGAATTGTAAGACTCTGTGAGAGTGTTAGGAGAAAGAAAAGAAGGCAAGATTGTTCACACTGATGTTGTTCCATATCCGCTTTTCATTTGATGCAACAGGTGTCGAGTTTTAGTTACTCTCACTCTTCCTATTTTCACGCTGCCGGGATTGGGAATGAGTGTGACGATGCCAGGAAGAGAGGTGGCAAGATTTGTGTATATTTAAGCACACTTCGCCCCATGTTAGACTAGCACCTTAGTTAATGACACATTTATGGACACCCTGCTGTGTGGCGGGGCGAAGAAGCTGTTCGTGGGTGGAGTGGAATGGTAAACATTTGAAATAACTCAATGTAATGCCACTGGGACACATTAAGATTGGGACAGAAGATTCTTTATGCGTACTTTCGGCTCCCCTTCTGAAGATTCTCTACGCACTTGAATCAAATGATGTGATAATTTACGATGAAACCCTCAAAAGTTCCTTCATTCATGAGATAATGTGTTGTGTCTCATTGTAAGAAATTTACAATTATCATGATTAAGTGGGTGATTTCTGGGTGACTTTATTGACCGCTGTAAAAGCTCTATAAACCACCCTTGGTGCTTTTTTTGCCGCCCCTTGGCACAAGTTGACTTTCCACCCTCCAGCAGAGAGAGAGGGTGAGAGAAGGCACACTAAACACATTTGCATACCTCCTGACAAACATCATTTAATGGGCAGCACACTGACCACTTTGTGGTCTTGAGGACATTATTAAAACGGGAGATTATTGCTGGCGATAGGACACTTGGTCTCTCTCACTTGTTCATGCAACGAGACAGCCTATTTAATCCACCCGCAAAACACCCAATAACCAGAGAGAGAAACCATAGTGTTATTTGCTGAAGGATGAGAGTGAAAGAGGGATTGAAATGTCCTAACTAGATTCACACTGATAATTTTGGGAGTGGAACAATTAAAATATAATCAAATTCAAAAGTGGTGGAGGGTTTGTTGTTGTTGCCTTTGCAGAGAATGCCTGTGAATGTGGAGTGAAAAGCTCTCGGTAGGAACCAATTTTATTAATTGAATCATGGTGTGTAATTAAGTTTATGAGAAATACAGAGAGAGTTTTTGTATCAAATGGCAATTTGGCTTGTGTTACTATGGAAATTCATACTCTAAAGGGTTGGGAGGGTGAAGAAGAAAAAATAATCAATAACACCTCTTTTATGCCCTGCTAAAGTGAATTTTGTGTGCAGTTTTACACAAGAGTGTGTTAACTGCAATGCAATGCAATAAAAATGGGAGAAAATAAGGGGCAGATTGATGGCCAAGAGACTTAGTGTGTGAAAATGCTTTTAATATCATTAACAGATGACCAGAATTTATTTTCAACCCCATTAACTTTGACTTTTTACAACTCATATGAAAAATTTATGTCCTTTTTTCTGTTCCTCTGTTGTGTGTGGCGGAAAACAGAGCGTTGACTGTGTCTGAAATTGCTCATAATGTGAAAAGAGTGCTTTTCCGGTTGATGCGTAAAATTTGGAGAATATATGACGAGAAAATGCAATGTGTGTTTATCTTCCTCAACCATATGTCTGACTTCTGGATTATAAGCAGTCAATCGACATACGACTTTGACTAAGAAGGCGACAAAGGCGCGCACAAAACAACCAAAATCGTCAAAGAAAGTCAAATTTATTAGTAAGTATAACAAGAATGGAAGTTTGTGAGGAAGTTTACATAATCTATCAATATTAAATGTTATGTGTTTAAGTGATGTGTAGGTGGATAAACATCAAACTGGGGAGGGGTTAAAATTGAATAGATGGTGTGTAAACATGACTGGGGGGATATTGGGGGAAGAGAGGGTGGTTTGTTGGCAATTTTCGTGGTGAAGTTTTCATCATTGATAAAAATCGATTGCCCCATATATATGTATGTACACTTTTGCTGCGTATTTATCGTGAGGAAAACAATTTAATGGTTTCTCCGCAGTCAATGTAATGAGCAGAAGAACCCGAAGGAAAGCATAGCGATATGATGAAAGATGAGTGTGGAATAAATGTTTAACAATAATAATAATAAAGTTAGTCTGGGGATGGAGAGAGAGTGGAGTCAAAGTGAATCGCGTGACTAGACACTTTGACTAGACTTTTGTGCAGTTTTTGATATTAGTCATCATATTTTCTTCCTCTCTATTTATTACTAAGGGTTGGCATTGGCCAAGGGGTCAGTCATTCGCAAGTTGAGACCATTAACTTTATGATTATTCAATCATTTTTTTTTTATTTTTTGTGATTATTACTCAAAATTTTGATTATTTCACACAAAATTCTGATTTTTTTTTTATTATTCTCTGAATATTTTATTAAAAATTGATTTATTTCATACAAAATTTGATCATTTTTCAATTTTACTTGGAAAAATAATCATTTTTTGATTATTTAATTCAGAATTTGATTATTAGGATTTTTTGTAATGTTACTTGAGAAAATAATCATTTTTTATTATTATTTTATTCAAAATTTGATTATTTTGTGATTTTACTTTGGAAAATAATAATTTTTTGATTATTTCACTCAAATAATTGATTATTTGATTAGAGAACATTAAGTTTCCTCAAAAATCGCCTTGTGACTTGCCCCTTGTGGTTGGCATTGGCCATAATCCACCCATCATATATCGCATCGCATGGCATAAAATATTAATAGGAATCAATTAACTAAACCCCAAAAGTGTCACTTTTCATGGAATACAATAGTTCTTTTCCATGTTGTCAAACCTGATAAATAATATCGGCACATTTTTGCCTTAGACATTTTTTCACATATCGCACAATCCACATTTTCGATGGAGCGTCCATAAATAGGATTTTCTCCTTCCTCACTGGCTCGTGCTCGATATGGGGAGTTTTTGGGGGGTGAGTGTGTAACCAAGGAGGAATGTTTTGTTGTGTTAGGCTCACTATGGTGAGAGACGCCTTAAGTGGCGCCGAGTAGCTTGATTGTTAGATGGCAGCATAAGTGTTTCCTTCAACTCTTCTCCTGTCCTGAGGAGAGGCAATTGCGCCTCAAGTTGAGAGAAAGAGTGTTTCGATACGGGATAAGCTTCTTCTATGGTTTATTGTTTGCATGGATGTTAAAAAGTATACATCTTTACTAAACAAACAGGGAATATTTTGGCAAAAGGTAAAATTCCAGAGTAATATTTTATATTGAATAACATCAGAAATCCCATTAAGACTTGGAATGAATACTTTAGCACACAAGAGCTTTAGAGCTGAAGTTTGGGGGAGGCGGTGGAAAATGTGTACCATGAATGCCATGACAAGAAGAGGGTTGTTGAAGAATTCACGAAAAAAATAAATTAATTTTCTATATCAACATTCTATTTCCAAAGGATGTTGTACATATAATTCTATTTTCTATTTCATTCTGTTTTCCGTGTTTATCTTCCCTTCGTCTTTCGCTATGTTAAGTTTGAATTTGCAGAGAGCTTTTCTCTGTCTCTCCATTCATCCCTATATTGATTTTTATCAAACATTGTGATGTGTTTTCTGCTTGTGATGCGAATACAGTATTGCGCTGAGTAATATATGTTTTGATTAAAAACTTTTGTCTGTCTTTCGCTTTGAATCACAATGTGAGTGTTATCATTTCAAATTTCACTAATTCCCCCTCAGTTTCATTGGCAAATGCAATTTTCCCATTGACATGCACAACAATTCATAACATATATTGCTTTGGGGTTTTCTCTATATACAACTTTGGCTGTGAAATATGAGGCTAAATATCGTCTGGACGTCGTGGAAAACTCAGGTGGGCTGCTTTTCTCCCCTGAATGCCATAACTTTGCCATTTAGTAAACACAAATGATGACAAAGTTGCAAAGTTTAAAATTTTAATGCAATGCTTACATTGTGCGTCAAGTTTTAATTTTCACAATAATAAATAATAATTATCTGCAAAGTTGTTTTTAAATAAATTCACCACCATGTGAAATTTGACGATTGTTTTATTGGTTTATTTAGCGATTTCGAAAGGATCACTCAATGTGTCACTATTTTCCATCCTGTGCGCTTTTGTGTGTAGAACAATGAAGAGAATAATGGAATCTCCACTGAAAATGTTTATTATTGATCAAATATTCTATGTAAAAGACTTCCTTATGTAAAGCATAATGCTATTTATGCGCGGCACTGTTGGGGAGCATTTTGCTGAAAATGCAGCAGTGTTTTTGAAATTGCACCGGAAATGGTAAATGCTGCAGAAATATGTGGCGACAGCCCAGAGAGAGAGAGAGAGAGAGAGTTCAGCCTATCGCGTGTTGCGCTGCAATTGAATTTCATTGATTCTCCAACGTATTTTCTCCTTTATAACACTGATCCTCTTCCATGTGAGCTGCTTCGTTTGGCGGGGTTTAATGCACAAATTGGCGTGTTGGTCATGAATTCTATGTGCTCTGGTGTTGTTGTATATAAAGAAAGAGTTACAAAGGGGGGTTGGAAAACAAGGCAATTTAAGGTGCAGTGGTTGATCACTTATATCCTCTTTCGCCATCTATTCGAGAGGGAGGTTGAGAGAGAAGAAGAGAAGCGGAAGGAAAAGCTAGATTGCGGACAAGTGATTGAAAAACTTGTATGACGTCAAAAAGATGTTGAGGGAAAATTGAAGAAAATCCACCAATGCGAAAGAAAAGAGTGCAAAATCAATATTTTTTCTCATGATTCGTGTCTGCCTGCTTTTGGGGAGTTTATTGCGGTCGTTGAGATATCCAATGGCTTGCATCTTATGTTTGGGGAAGACGCTTTCACACCCAGTGTGAATTTGGGGTGTCGTCGTCTGGTTTGTGTGTGTGTGTATGTCTACAGAAATGCAGATGCTTCAGCAGACAAGCTCTCCCTTCACTTTATCAGCCCCCCTTGAAATGCATACGGTGTTATTTCAATGGGGGGATGATAATATCTCTCCTTCTCCCCATTATTGGTGTCGTATCATTGCTTGTCGTCTCGACATCCACACTGGGCGTCGAATTAAGTAGCGACAGCAACTAAACATCAAAGTTTTCCCCCTCAATATATTTGTGCTCTCACGGTGAGGATTTGTGGGGATTCTTTGCTTTTTCCTTCATTTGGGAGCCTTGACTAGAGCATCGGCCATGTTTGGCGGGGTGAAATACGATTCCGATGCGGTGAGACGTAAAATTAAGGTGACAGGACACAGAGAGAAGGACAGGAAGACGACTATTCCGTTGGAGTTTTTCGGCGAAAAGCTTCTGGTCAAAAATAGCCATCCATAAAAGTTGATGATGAGCACGAGGGATAAATACAGAAAACACTATGGGCTAATAATAGATAGCATACTTTTCATCCCCTTTAAGTTGGTGTCGATTGAATGGGAGTGAAAGAGGAGTGATAGAGAGGGATGAAGAGCATCCCTTTTGGCCACAATATCAGGGTAGTGACGGAATTGATGAGGGGATGCAAAGTGCGGAAAGGATATCGAAGAGCTTCAGCTTTCATGTTTACATCAAATAATCCTTACTCTCTTTCCACTTACACTGTGAGGAATTGTTGAGAGAGAAAAAGTTTTCAACTAACCAATAAATACCGCAAAGATTATAGCGTTTCATTTGAAATTGCGAATGAAAATGTGTGATAACGTCAAAGTCGATAATAACATGAATTTCATAACAATAAAATCTATTTAATCTCTGGTATTTGGGACAAAGCGATCCAAATTTACAATTAGAATTAAATTGAATCCAGAACATGACAATTTCACGATTAGTTTAATATTATATTTGATTATCTTTGACAATTTATTATTGTAGAGAATTTCAATTCAGGATTTTGGGGAAAATGTCAGTGAATTTCTCACTGTGTTTGAATGATGGAAGTGACGCGCTTGAGGGATGAAAAATAGAGGAAAACAGACGTTAGGGCGCCGTTCTTTTGTATCTTTGGTCCTTCTTCGTCCCTCAACGAGTGGCATTGAAATGAGAAAAAGGGAGAAACTTGAAGGCTTCATTACTTGGATTCTTTCATTCTTTCACTTGTTCCACTCTTTTTTCTTCCTTTTGTCTTCATGGAGAAATGTTGAAAATGTATTTTTAATATGAAAATCATCTTAATGCTTAATGGTTAACTCTCTGTGTAGCTTTGATAAGAAGGATTTCAATTGTCATCGTGATTAAAGCAGAATTTAAAGTGCAAAAAGATAGTTTATTCATGATTTATTGGGCGGTTTTTCATCTTTCCAATTCACATTGTGTATGAAAATCAATGGGATTTATTCATAAAAATTTAATGCTGATCTGTTTTTCCGGGGGAGTCAGCCAAGGAAAAGGCTGAAATAAGCACAAATTCAACAATAGTCATCGAAATCCGGAGTCTGGTGGAGAAATTTATTCCCATTTCGCTCTCCATAGGAAGAGATTTGTGTCTGAGGATAATAAAAATGAATGTGGTCGGCGGAATTAAATCGGCGATGCGAGACAAGAAGAGGGAAAAAGGATCGGAAATTAATTAAGCGAATAATTGCCAAATGACATCAATTTAATTAATTTAATGCTGAACAATTTGTCAAGTGTTGTGCGCGCGTGTGTTGTGTGTGTGAAAACGCACCAAGAGGAGGAAGATGAAACAATAAATTGCTTTGCTTTCGCAGCAATTTTTTTCTTCCTGTGCGTCTTGAGATTTCTTTCATTTTCATCTTGGGAGAAAAAGGGAAAACAAGAGGAGGAAAGGTTTTGTGTTAATGGATTTTCGTGTAATATTTAATGCTTGAGATTTTTTTTTCTCCACACAGATTTCATTCTCTCGCCTCTTGTTTTGTGTTTTATTGGGGATGAAGAAGAATAAACCCTTTTTCGCCATTCTCAGCCCCTTCATTGGCGAATTGTTCTCACAATTGTATTGGGATCGAGGGAGTTGTGTTCTTGGGTTTTTGGGCGATGAGCAGCGCTGAGAGAGAGAGAGAAGGGGATGAAGAGGGCTGTAATTAATTTGGCGTGTTAGATTTCAGTGGTGAGGCTCTCTCGTTTGCCACAACACTTAAATAATTTACCTCGATTAATTTCATCACAGAAGGGAAACTGTGTGGCGGATTTGCTGGAGAGCGAGAGTTGTTTGGGGGAGGAAATAATCCACTGGGAGATCCAATTATATTTCTCACGTGTCTATATAACACAGAGATAGTGGATGATTAAATTATAGAGTGTCTCTGACATGAAGGAGGATCTCTTTTGTGATCCGCTGATGAAGAGAAGCTTGTGAATTTCTCAAAATTCCCGTAAAAACAGATAGAAAAGACGTTTATATTGACTCGAAATATAATAATTAGTTGATTTTTAAGTACTCAATTGAAGTATCTCTAATGAACTTCTCGCTTTTCTGCGCTTTGCAGCAACTGAAATCCGATGCCAAGAAAAGTCCAAGGGTGGCCTCAGCTATGAAGTGATTCTGGCTGAGCCCTCGCTCACGTCTTCTGTCCAGGTCACCAAGCGTCCAACCACGCCCGGCAAGAAGGAGCTGTCGGTGGATGAGATTGAGAAGAAGCTGAAGGCGGCCGAGGAGAGAAGACTGGTAAATGAAATATGATTTTGCAAGTGAAATGTGTTTATATAAACACGCAAAAATCAATGGCATTTGCAGTCGATGGAGGCGAAGAAGATGGCCGATTGGAATGAGAAGATGGCAAAGATTGAGGAGGCTTCGAGGAAGAAGGATGAGTTGAACAATGAGTTCATGGTGCAGACCAAAGAGGCTCTCGAGGCCAAAATGGAGCACCACGTTGAGAAGCGTGAAGCTATTATAAATGACAAGAAGGAGAAATTGAAGGTAAATTCGCTGTGTGTGTGTGTGTGACTTAATTCTACATTAATGAGATTCCCTTTCATCTCTTCTCTGTCACTTGATGGGGATTTGTTGATTTAGAATTCTGCCAAATTTCCCAAATTATCTTTGCCTTGGAATCTCCTTTCATTTATGTACATATAAATGCAGGAAATGAAGAGACACAGAAGAGAGTTCTATTATCCCTTTTTCCTCATCGACATATGAATCATCATAGACATAAAAGTAATTTGATATATATAATTCAGAGACAAATTTCTCAGGGTCTTGAGACGAATGAATCATAGCAATGCAGAAGGAGCATTTTTAATTCAATCCTATTGATTTATTCCGTGTGTTTTCTCATTGTGCGGCTGCTCAGGTGCACTCGCAGGAGATTGAGAAGACACGAACGTCTCTGGAGATGCAAAAGTCAGTGGAATTGAATGCAATTGAGGAGAAACTTCGCACCGCGGCCACTCTTCGTGATGAAAATATGAAGAAGATGCTGGAGCGACTCAAGGAGCATGTAAGTTTTGAGAATCTCTTTTCTTTTTCTGTTGTTGTCAGAAGTGAGAAATCATCTCTTGTTCATCAACTCACTGGATTATTCATATTAATTTTTTAATTATTATGCTGGTTTGTATTTATGTGTCCTCATCCATTTATTTGTAAAACATTCTTTTTTCTCCATTATTTGTATGTTTATATGGTGTCTCGCTCGCTCGCTCTGTCTGTTGAATTGTGATCCAAATCCACAAATTGCTGCTCAGAATACGATTAAAGTGGCGGAGGTGAAGAATAAAATTGAGCAGGGCAACAATCAGGCTGAAATTCAAGTCATCGAAAATAAGTTGTATGCAGCTGAGATGAATCGTGAGAAGGAGATTCAAAAGAAGCTTGATTTATTACGAAAACATGTAGGTTTTTTCGCCATTATTTAATTGTTTGATATTTTAACATGTGTGATTGTGTGTGTGTGTCTTTTGTTGCTTAATGTTTTTGTCTCAAAACAGCGCCCAGTAAAAACGTCCCCGGTGAAATACTGTGGGATTCATACCGACCTGTCCGTTATGTTCACTGTGGAGTTTTGTAGGAAAATCCTGCGAGATGAAAGCGATATAAAAACGACGGATTTTCAATCCGTCGTCCTTATAAATCCTGTATAAAGTGAATGTGTAGTTTAAATATAGAGCGCTTCGGGCTAATTATGCGAGATGGCGCTGTGATTGTCAAAGAGAAGGGGAATTTTACAACATTATGAATAAATGGAGACTGCTAATTCACCAAGACATTATTTTCTACACGTAAAAACAAGTCCTTTTTCACACTTATTGTACTATAGAGCACGATGCAAGGATGCTTCTACGATATAGAATGATTAGAAAGAGGGAAAAAGTACTTTCCGCACTGAAAATACGTGGATTTTTGGAAAATATTTTTCACAAAATAAATTTCTATTGTGGAAATTCTCATTTCTGACTAATGACAACAGTATAAAGTTCACGGAAAACTCAAAATATACGCTTACCAGAGGCTAATTTCTACAATTGAACAAAAAACTCCGAAATATAAGCAGCATAGTCAGTGCAGAATGCTCTGTGGAATTCCTGTGGAACAATGGAAAAATTGTGGATAAACGACGGACAGTGGATTGTGTTTTTACTGGGCGTGTAACATGTATGATTGCAAAATTTGTACAAAAGCGTTTTGTACGTTGTAATTCCATTTGTATTCTATGTTATTTTCTAATTTTCATACCTCATATTCATCAATTTAGTGCAAAATATGCTGAGAATTGTGCAATTTTCCATCTAATATCAAAGTTTGTATGTGTACAAAACTCAATTAAAATTCTCTCAACACACAAAAGAGAAGACAGAAGAAGAACATTGAGCCGTTGCAAGGAAGAGAAGAGAAGACATTCTAAAGTGGGGCAAAAATTTAATTTATCCTTTCAGGAGCGCCGTGCAGAAGTTGTGCGTCAGAATAAGGCTGCTCTGTGTAATCAGAGTGAGAATAATGCAGCATTATCTGGCTAAATCACATGAAAGAAAATTCCACCAAGCAAAGCATAACCCCAGCGAGACACAGAGAATTTTTGAAGTTCATCAGTCAAGGAGAGAGAGAGAAAAGAGGAAGAAAATGCAGCAGAAAAGTGGGGAAAATATGAATTTTCTGCTGCACAGCAAGTAATTGCCATTCGTGTTTAACACATTTCGCTTTTTCCATTCTTGTTTAACATTTAATCCTCTGTGTTTTTCTTTTTAACTAATCTCTTATGTTGTGCTCTCTCATGTTGAATGGTGGAAAAATGATAAGGGAAAAACTGAATAGAGCAACAGAGAATTGAGAGAGAAAACTAGCAGTGGAGAATTTTAATTTATCATCCATTATCCTTTTATAACTTGTATGAAATTTCACGCGAAATACTTTGTTAATTGGTTTCTTTAAATGATTATGTTATATTTTCTCTATTATTAATTAAAACTGTGAAATATGATATCGAATAATAAAAATAATACTAATTAATAGTGGAGAATTTCCGGAAAAGAAAGCACAGTGTAAATTTGGTGTTGTTAAAGTGTTTTTTGCAATGGATGAAGAAGAGAAGCTAAGAAAAAGAAAGATTGGTAATGATTTCTTGGGGAGGACAGATAAAAAAAAGTATTACATTCGATGAGAAAATCCTGCGTAGATTTATTCTGAGAAAAAGGAATTGAAGAAGAAGTTGTATTGCATCTTTTAGTAATTATTAATTAATCATATTGAATGAAAAATTGTTGTCGCTCTGCTGCCTTTTTAACACACCTTAATATTGATATTTATTGTGAGAAATGACAAAAAGAAAAGTAATCTCAGAAGGAAAACAGTCTCAAGATGACCACAAAGGAAGTATTATTGATGAAATTGACTGTTTTCAGAGAGATTTGTGGCATTTTGCAACAGTGAGAAGCAATCACTGTCGCTGCAGTGAAAGAAGTCGAGCATGATTAATGGCCATTGAGAGACTTTTTACCCTGCAAAATGTCTTGCAAAGAGGGAGAAAATTGATATGCTTGATAAGATTGAAGGGGAAAGACGTAATAATGCCAGGCTAAATTATCACTTTCTTACCAAATTGCGATGCACCCGAAGAGGAGGAAATTATTGATGGGTTTTTAGAGACAAGAAGTGGCGGAGAAAGAAGAACACGTAGACAAGAATTAGTGGTAAAGAGAGTAGAAGTAGTGGAAATTATTTTTTATACAGATATTTTTAAAGCTCAATATTGCATTTGATGTCTTTTTGGAGGGATGAAAAAGTGGTGTAAAAGATTGTAGGGAAGAAATGGTTGCGATTTTGCGTCGCAACTGAGAAAAAAACATTTTTTTAAGAAATTGTAGTGAAAAAGTAGTGTTTTACGTAATGTTTGAGAGAAACTTGTGGTTTTTCTACGCTTTTCTCCTCTTTTAACATGATTTTTCTCTTCATGCCTAGCATTTTGTAAAGTGTTTCTATTGGTTTAATTTTATATTTCGATGGTTGAATTGAAAACTATGAAAAGTCAAAATCGCCCCTTTTTCAGGAGAGAAAATTGAAAATTTCGCTTCTATATTGCTGAGAAAGTTTGTCTGTAATAAATTATTCTGTAAATATTTCAGTTGATTTTTATTGAAATTTGTCAAAATTAGTTTTCGAGTTACATTTTATTCAATTAAGTTCTAAAAAAATCAACTTTTCGTTTTTTAATGTGCGTTTCTTTCAAGTTTTTGAGTGAAAAAAATCAAAAATATGACAAATATTAATGAAAATTTATTCAAAATCTAGGAAATCTCCAAATTTCTTTTAGTAAATATTAGAAGAGAAAAAAATCGACTTTTTATAGTTTTTCAATTCAGCCGTCGATTTGTTCTTTGTCAAAAACATTCTTTTTAAAAGAATAAATTGCGTATTGAGAGAAACATATGGAAAAAAGCTCTTCATATCAAAAAAAGAGAGATAAATTTGCCATTCAATGGATAAAAAAAAATGAGAAGATTGAGTGTAAAACGAAGAGAAAATCTCAAAAAATAATTAACTGCCACACACTTTTGAAGGTAAATAAATAATAAAGGATTATAAAAAAAAAGATGCATTCTTAGTAATAATCATATCGTTATTAATTGTCACAACACTTAACAAAACAAATCTTATTCCATAACAAATATAGTATATACTGAAGGAATTTCTATCATTATTATCAATAAATTGTGTAGTAGTTTGTAGTGAAAATTTCAGATAATCAGCTTTTTGCTCTGTTTATAACAACAAACAAAAAAAGAAGGGAAGAAAGAGGAGAAAATATACCCATTTGATAAAAGAATAATCTTAAAAGAAAAAAATTAGTGAGATACAATCTTAGGAATAAGAGAAGGGAAGACGAAGAAAAAAGCTTATAACAGCTTTGCCTCAATTGTTTCCGGTTTTCGTGAAGATGAATATATATATAATGAGAATGGTAATAAAAATTGATAGAAAACAGTGTAATTTAACAACTATCAATTTTTAGAACAAGTCCTTTAGACAAGAGCATTGAAGAATTGCACATAGATATTAAAAGAAAGAAAGACACAAAAAAAACATAAAAATGCTTCTTGCAAACAATTTAATTAAGAGACAATTAGATTATATTCATAGTGAACGTAAAGAAATTCTAAGCAAATAATCAAATCCCCTTTTCTGTGTAAGTGTTTATAATTCCTTAACCGTCACTCAAGCAGGACAACAAATTTCCAGCATTTCGAGAGAAAAAAAAATAGCAAAGAAAAATGATTAATATTTCTATCTCTACAAATTCACTGTCTTTGTAATCCAACTTTGAGAAGAAGAAATGAAGAAAAACTGTTGCAAAATCAAACTATATATCCTTGTTCTAATGTAATTGACTAAAATTCCCAAAAATAATCCACTAATTTATCACTGAGTAGTAAGAAAAAAAAAAGAGTCAAAGTATGATAACGGCACAAGCTTCTGTGATTGGTTCTTCTCGTTTTGTGGTGTGTGAAAAGAAAAAGAAAAACTTGAAGAAGCCAAAGTATTAGAGGAAAGCGGTGTTTTTATGTTCTTATTATGTTCTTTTTTTTGTGAGAAAATGCTCGTGCTAAAGCGAATCAAGTACATGAAAGTGAAACACACTAATCAACAATCTGCGTTTTAAGACATTTATACATAATATAAACAGACAAGAAAAAAAATCCATTTATAAAAACCTGTATGACTAATAAAATGTACCCAAAAAATGCATCTTTTTTCATTATTTCTCATCATATATTTCATTAAATTCCTCTTCCACTGCATCGCGTGAAAGAATAAATTTCATTACAATGGTTTTCCTTCTGTTATGTACACAGAATAATATTCATATTACACACTGCTTTTTTTCTTCTTCTTCTTTTACTCCTTCAACATCCTACAATTACGTGAGAAAGTCCAACAGACTCTTGATGGCGATCTTCTCGCCAATCTCCACAACATGTTCACTGCTGATGAAGATGTTGGTGTCCTTGGCGGCACACTTGCGTCGCAGGAAGTCACTCTGATGCGTCTTCAGCAGCAGAATGTCACCATTGGCGAATGCGGCCACGAACACACCATTCGCCACGGCACAGCTGCTCAGCGTCTCAATGGTCAGATTCACGTTCTCGTGCGTGTGCAGAATCTTGTACTGAAAGTCCAGCAGATTTATGGCCACATTGTTGATTGAATTGCCGTGCAGTTGCGCCAGCAGCAGATAAATCTGCTTGTTCTCCTGCACGAGACACGTGAAGATATTGTCACCCAACTCCAGCGGCGTGAGATCGATGTTGGTCAAGAGGTTGCCATTTGTGTAATTCCACACATTCACGTGCTGCTCACCCACGCCAATGATGCGCCACTCAGACGCCACACTCAGCGACCGCACGCGATTGTCCACAAAGCTGAACTCCCAGATGCTGGCCAGCGTCTCCAGGTCGGGCGTCAGCGAGTATCGGCAGATGCCAGTGCGCCTCTTGGTCGACGACACGTGCTCGTACCACGTCACGACGAAGGACAGCGCGCCGGGCAGAGTGCTGTAGCACATTTCTCTGGTCCTCCTGCAAGCGCACAAGAGAGAGAGAGAAACAGTCAGAATCAGCTGAAATCCTTGAATTCCACACATTAAAAATTAGCTAAAATCGCTAAAATGCTGTGAAACATCCAGAAGTTCTTCTCTAAGGACGATTCATCTATGCACACAATCAGGACAAAAGATGAATGAGAGTTCCAGGAAGAGAAAAGAGCAGGTAAAATCAAAGAATTCTCATTATTTGGGTAAAATATTCTGAAGAAATAAACCTTAAGAAGTATTATTGTGTGAAAAAGAGTGTCTGCAAAGACCCAACAATCCTATTTTGTGTCCTTAAAGTTGTCTGAAAAGAGTTTTTGCCTTCCTAAGAGACTGAAAGACATCGAAAATTGCCCAAAAATTCATACTTTGAGTCTCTCTTCTTTGAAGAATATTCTTCTTTGTCATTTCGATTGACTTGCGAGAATTCTACGCGAAATATAACAAAGATATCCGCCCAATAACCGCGCTTATCATCACTCCTTATCAGCAAACACGCAATCTAATCCCGCTCATGACACAACACAGAGTTTCTCTTCTTCTTCTTCTCTCTTACCCACAAATTCTGTCCAGCGCAATTGAGTGGATTGTCGCCTCGGCGCCCTTCAGGAAGTGAACATTGACGAAGGACGCAACGTAGTCCGCTTCCTGACTGGCGATCTTCTGCAACTCCTGTCCCTTCAGCTCAATGTAGGCGCAGCCGAACTTCTCCGCATGCAGAATTCTCTTGGCAATGGCAGCCGGAATGTCCAAATCCAGATTCCTCCGCTTCACCTCGCCGACCTTCTGCCAATTCTGCTGGCCGTCGAGAATGCTGGCAATCTCTGAGCATCGCCAGAAGGAGACAACTTGCTGCTGGACAATCAGCAGACACGGCCAGTACAAGTGGACGCCGATCACCTGCTCAAGAGCCTTGCTGACCACCTTGGGCGGCGGCGGCGGCGGCGATTTCTGCAGCGACTCGACAATCTCCACAATGTCCTCGTCGTCCGTCAGCACAATCACATCCTTCACCTTCACGTCACTCCTCTCGGCGGTGGATTTCTCAACTTCCGGCTCCTCCTTGTCCTTCCTGTCGCGCTTCTGGAGCTTCTTGCGACGGTCGCTGGTGTTGCGCACTTTGCCACTTCGCAGCACGCAATTCCGCACGGACGAGCGAATGAAGTACGTGGTTTTGAAGATCTTCTTGTGCATCCTCTTCCTGCTCTTCAGTCGGCTCTTGCGCTCCTTGTCCCTCACACGCTTGACAGTCTTTTCAGTAATACTTGCCGCCTCGGGCGACGCTCCGTCGAGCGGCTGGTGGCTGAGATCGCAGACTCTGTGCCTCACCTCAGCTTCCGCCTCTTCTGCGGCCGCATTGGCGACTTGGATGTAGTTCCGGCGCTCCACGATCGTCGCACTCGAGTCTGGCGGCGTCGGGGAGCACGTGGACGTTGGGATGGAGTCTTTGGCTGTGACGGGAGACGCTGGAGACTTGAGCACCTCGTCGGCAGCCTGCTTCTCCAGCTCGCTCATCTTATTCTTGTGCTCCTTCAGCTTCTTGATGAAGCACACGCGCAGCGATCGCCTGTTGAAGAGCTCCGGACCCCTGTCCACCACCTTCGCGAACGGGGGCTTCGAGTAGATGCCCAAGTAGTTGTAGAACTCCTCCTTTCCGGCCACGGCGGCTTTGGGAGACGACGGAACTTGGAATATTCTGTACGGCGCCTTCTTGCCATAGTCGCGCCGCAGCATGTTGATTGACTTGCCGTTCTGCACTGACCAGCACTCCGTGGGCGACTGTGCGCCGTCCTCCTTCTGCTCCAGGGCGCTCGGCAAGGGATTCAGTGTCATGTTTGCCTCTTCTTCCGTCTCACTGGAACTGGAGATTTCGATGACATTCCACGCGGATTTCGGCACGCCACCCTTCTTGGCACGACCAGAATTTCTCCATTCCATCGCATCACGCACTAAAATCCACCCCCAAGTCCAGAATTAGTGGGGAAAAACAACAAAAATTGCACCCAAACTCACCGTTTTCAGGACTTCCTGCGCTCTTGTGACCGTTGATACTCATATTACACGCTATTCCAGGGACATTTCTACCGTTCAGCATTGTTCTCTCATTAAGCACTGCGTTGTGCTCAAATTCACACACTTTTTGCACACTTATCGCCAGTCAAATCACCGAAAAAACACAAAATATTACACAGAATCATCGAAGAGATTTTTCCTCTGACGGCCTTGCACTGAAAATATCCCAAGATGGCCGACCGGTTGTCATAATTTCCCTTTCCGAAGCCCAGCCGAAGATCGATTGGAGTTGCCCGATGGTGTTTGCCTTCCCGGCTGAATCAAATTCACAATGAGAGAATGTTATATTCAATGATTTCTCTGCATTTTTACTAGACTTTTCAATAGGAAATCACATTTTTATTGAGAATTGAATCATTTGTGATGTTCTTCACCTCAATTCGGGGGATTTTGGAGGAGGGAAAGGAAGATTTGTGCAGTCGGTGAGACATCTTGACTGGTTCGTTGTGTGCTGTCAAAACAGAATACAAATATTTACCTGTGTATCTGCGGATGCTTGTTTTCTGTTTATTAGCAAATAAGTGATAGAATAATCATTTAGTGGAGCAGAAAATCAAAGAGATTTGTGTGATTGTGAGATTTCCGACGCGATAAGGTATGAATCTCACCTTGAAGTGTCTCTAAAAGCATCGCTACAGTGAAGCAATTGCTGATAACCAGTATCAATTCCAGAGATCATCTCAAAAGTCCACCAGTCATTGCGGGAGTGGCTTCGCAGAATGGCGCTGAAATGGGGCATCGTGACCACCGGATTCATTGCTCACGACTTCGTGAATGCCGTGTCAACGCTGCCGGCGGATGATCACGAAGTTGTGGCCGTCGCGGCACGAGACAAGAGCAAAGCCGAGGAGTTCGCCGCCACTCATGGCATCCCGAGGGCATATGGAGGTTACGAGGCGATTGCGAAAGATCCGGAAGTGGGTAAGAGAAGTAACTGTCTCATTTGCGTCCCTCTGTGGCTGATTTGGATGTGTTTTGCGTGTCGTTTCAGAGGCCGTTTACGTGGCAGCCCTGAATCCGGCTCACTATGAGATCTCGATGATGATGCTGGAGCACGGGAAGCACGTGCTGTGCGAGAAGCCGCTGTGCATGAACGAGCGAGAGGCCAGGAAACTTATCACCTTTGCAGAGTCGAAGAAGCTCTTCCTCATGGAAGCCATCTGGTCGCGCTTCTTCCCCAGCTATCAGTACTTGAAGCGCCAGATAGATTCCGGCACTCTGGGTGAGATTCAGGAAGTCAACGTGACTTTTGGCTTCCACATCCCCTCCGAGAGGGTGCAGCTGAAGAAGCTGGGCGGCGGAACAGTGCTGGATCTGGGCGTGTACACCATCCAGGTGAGCCAGTGGGCGTTCAGAGAGCCTCCCAAGGAGATCAAGGCCACGGGCGAGCTGAACGCGGACGGAGTGGACATCGGTGTGAAGGCAGAGCTGATCTACAGCCGCGGAGTGGCCAGAATTCAGACGAGTGCCTCGACAAAGCTGAAGAATGAGGCGGTGATCGTGGGAACTAAGGGCCAAATCACGGTAAGAAGAGCTTCTCTCTGGAGAATCTCACTTTATCTGTCTCTATTCCTCAGCTGAACGACACCTTCTGGTGCCCGATTTCGCTCACGGACATCGACGGCAGCGTGAAGACTTGGCCTCTGCCGCCGGGTCGCCATCCGCACTTCAACTTCCCCAACAGCTGCGGCTTGCGCTATGAGGCCGAGGAGGTGAGGAAGTGCATCAGAGGCGGCCTTCTGCAGAGCGACGTTGTGTCCCACAACGAAAGTCTGGTCATTGCTAAGATTCAGGACGAGATTCGCCGCCAAATTGGCGTGAAATACGATGCAGATGATCAGTGAAAGCCTTCAAGTGTCTTCCTTTTCCAACAACTTGGTGCTGAACACATGCTGAATTTCAACAAATAAAGCGAAACACTTTTTTTTGCACAGAAATGAATAAAAGAGCGTTTTTTAAGGCCTGAGATTGGATTTTCCGCAATGTTTTCCGTTTCATCCGTTTGAATTTCCCACCAAGACTCACTGGAAGTGTCGTTGGAATGCTGGAAAAGGCATTCCTTAACCTTATTTTTGTTTATCTTTTTTTGCCTTCCCTGCAATTCACGCTGAGGAGTTTCTATTATCTCACGGTGTTGCTTTTACTCCATCAATTATACAAGACTGTTTAATTGGGCGCACTTTATAGTGACATAAGGAAAGTTTATTGCGTCGGCAGATTAAACAATCAGAGATTAAGAACGTGAGTGACAGTTATTCAGTGCCAAAGTCCAGACTAGAGAAGTTCATCTTCACCTTTTGCCTCTGCAGAATGTTCCTGTCCAAAGTCGCCAGGAGATTCCCTCCCCTGCTGAGGGCCGGCTCGTGTAGATTCGCCTCCACGGAGCTGGTGCGAACGCAGGTGGACGACAAGACCGGGATTGCCGTGGTCACGATGAACAGACCTCCGGTGAACAGCTTGAATCTAGATTTGCTGCGCGAACTTTCATCGGCTCTGGATGATGTGGAGAAGAACAAGTCTGCCGGCTTGATCCTCAGCTCCTCGTCGGACACCGTCTTTTGCGCCGGTCTGGACATCATGGAGATGTACAAGCCGGATCCGGAGCGTCTGAAGGACTTCTGGACTGCGGTGCAGGACGTGTGGCTGAAGCTGTTCGGATCGCCCTTCCCCACGGCGGCGGCGATCAACGGACACGCGCCGGCCGGTGGCTGTCTGCTGGCCATGTGCTGTGAGTATCGCGTGATGAGGCCCAACTTCACGATCGGCCTGAACGAGACGCAGCTGGGAATCGTGGCGCCGTCCTGGTTCATGGACACCATGCTGAACATCCTGCCGCGCCGCGAAGCGGAGATGGCGCTGACGATGGGCAAGATGTTCAGCACGGAGAAGGCGCTGGAGATCGGGCTGGTGGATCAGGTGGTGGACACGAAGGAGGAGACGATCGCCAAGTGCACGGAATTCATCCAGCTGTTCGCGAAAGTGCCCAAAGTGGCGCGCTCCATCACGAAGCAGGCCTTCAGGAGCCAGGCTCTCGGGAGTCTGGACAGAGAGCAGGATCTGCAGCTCTTTCTGTACTCCGTCCAGCAGCCGCAAGTGCAGAAGGGCCTGGGATTGTACATTGAGAGCCTGAAGAAGAGGAAGTGAGAAAACAGAAGCATTTTCTTGAGATTTTCAATAAATTTTTATATTTGGGAGATTTTAAGACACTCGAGATCCGGAAATTTCCCTTTCGCAGTCCAGGAAGTAGTTGATTTCGATGATTTTGGCGCGATTCCTCTGCACTTCCTGCTCATGGAGCTCCGCAATGAACTCCTTCACATACGCCTTGCCTTTCTCCACGAGAATCCTCTTGATCTCGTCAATCTTCAGCCTCTGTCTCTGTCCCATCTGGATGATTCTGTTGGCAATCGAGTCCGTGTCCTTCAGTCCTCCCGGAATCTCATTCTCCTTCGACGACGTGATCTTCAGCATGATGAACTCCGTCACGCTCTCCTCCAGGAAGTCCAGATACTGCGAATCCGCCTCCCTGATCTTGTTCAGGCAAGTCTGCGCCCTGTGGAAGAATTCCTCAATCATGTGCTCAATGTTGAGGCGAAAATCCTCAATTCCCGCCTCGATGTTCTCGAACAGGAGCACTTCTGCCTCCATCAGCGTCTTCCACATCTGATTGAGACGCTCATCAGGAGTCAAGGACGGATCCAGGCAGTTGTCTTGCTTCTCTTGCAAGTAGTTTTCAATCAAACTGGAAGGAAAATGAGTGAAAAACACCGAAAAGTTGCATTCTTCATGCGGATTTTTTTTCTACCTTTGAGCCTTGCCTTGAGTTTCCTTCTGAGCATCTTCAATGCATTCCCTGAAAGCTCTGATTTCCTCCTGACGCCTCTCGTGTTCGCTCACGGCGACATCCCTCAATTCCTTGGCGATGATCAAGTAGCGCTTCTTGAATCCCTCGCGCAGTTCTGCACTTTTCTCATCCACATTCAGCACGGAATCCGAGGCGTCGAAGAGCGAGTGAAAGAGCGCCTCGCGATTCAGGAACTCCACGAAGCAAAGCTTAAGAAGTGCCTCTTCCTTGGCCTCCTTGTGCATTCTGTCACGCAGCATTGTCTCCTCGCTCTCGACTTCCTCCAGCTTTCGCAGCTCGCGCCTTTTGCCGAAGGCCGTGAAAGAAAGAGAGGAAGAAAAATTGCCCAGAGGAAGATTAATCAAGCAACAGTTTGTCTGCGTCGCAGGATAATTAGCAGCCTTACGAGTATTTCTCTCTGGCACTTGCACGCGTCTCATCGGCAATTAGTGTGTAATTGTAGTACTTAATTTGAGGCAGGAAGGCTGCCACGAACTCGCTGGTGGGATTATGCGGATCGCGCGCTATTGGATTGTCCTCCAAGTTGATGACAGAGAGTCTCGCCAAGAGTCTCAGCTTCGCCACGCCGTCATACGTCTTAATGCGATTCTTGGCCAAGCTCAGCATCTGCAGACGCTCCAGATGGTGGAGATTCTCAATCTTCTCCACGCGATTCGAGTAGAGACTCAACACTTCCAATTGCGCGAGCTTCTCTATATTCTCAATCTTCTCAATGTAGTTGAATGAGAGATCCAAATCTGTGAGCTTCGTCAGCATGTGCAAATTCTCAATTTTATCTATCTTATTGTAATTGAGCGATAATTTCGTGAGATTTGTGAGCACCCACAAGTGGTCAATCTTCAGAATATCTGCACAAAGTGAGAGAAGAGACAGAGTAAATTCAACACAAGGGGGAGATAATACAGTCAGAAGTAGTGTACAGTTTCAGCAGAAGTCAGTAAAAGTGTTCAAAAATCTACAATATTTCTTTCCTCAATGCATCTTTAATTGACAAATTGTCCCGTTTCATTCGATTTCTTTTGATTTTTACGTTGAAACAATAATAATAATCTTTTTTTTTATAGGTTATGTAACGAATCAAGGATAGATTTAATGAAGAATTCGCATTCTAGCACATCAATTCTTATGCTAAAGTCTCCAAGATTGCTAGTCATTGGCGGAAACAAGCATTTTCATGCAATAAACATTGCTATTCAGACCTTAAAATGCCAAGAAACACTGCAAATTGTGTAAAGGTGCAACATAACCTCAAAAAGATTAAGATAAACTTGAAAATTGTTTGATTTTGAAAACTTTCTTCACGATTTTGACTTCATTGCTAAATTATATGAGATGATTCGGTTATCTAGAAGGCTTCCAAACGGAGTTTTTGTAGATCTTTTAGTGCTATTTTAAGGTTATGGTCGGAAAAGACGCCCAAAAAGAGTGAATTTAAGTGGATTCTTATAGAAATATCGGATGGAAACTTAAGAGATTTATTACAATGTGGGAAATCATGTAGGAAAGAGACTGCAAATTTCAAGTTTTTTAAGGTTAGTCATATTATCTCCCCCTTGATTCAACACAATTTGTACAGACAACAAATTTCTGCTAAACTCTGCACCACTTCAGATGATTTTCCTCCCCTTGATCCATCATTAAAATGTATTGCATTCTCATAAATTTTGTATTTCATTTGGAATCGCACCGAAGTTCACAAAAGACAATGATTAATTTTCTCTCGAAGACCTTCGCGAAATTGTCTTTTCTCCACCAGAAGTGCCTCTAAATAAATTGCAACTTTCCCTTGGGAAATTGAATTATACCGCATAAAAACTTTTTCCCACCCCTTTTTGCATGGCAGAGAATTTCGCGTGGTGAAAATGTAAAAGTCTAATAAGAAGATGAAAACTCCAAGATAACAAGCTACACTTGATGCTTTTTCGGGGGAGGCTGGGGGTTGTTTTATAGTAGGAAAAAGCACCCTGTTTCTCCCATTAAAGAGGACTTAAATAGAGAGACAGTTTGCGCTTCATTCGCGAAGTCGCTGGGAAAGGTCAAAGGACACGGAATTTAATGAGTCACGGTGAAAAGAATGACTGGAAATAATGCAATTAGACAAATAGTTTGAGCATTTTACGGTTTGATCTCATTTTCTGACAAAAATTGATTAATTCATGTTGCGTACAAATGGAATGTTGTACGCTTTTATTTCCACTTTAACCCTGATTTTTGTCGATTGGACGAGAATGAAAATTACTACATAATTGATGGAGTAAAAGTGGCTCTCAAAACTTTTCCATTGATTTTAAAATCTCTTTGTGTGCTTTGTATTCGACAGTCAGACACCAAAATAGGGCCAATCGTGGCTTTAAGAAATAATGATTTGCTCCAATTTAAGAACGAAAAAAAAATCCCTGTTTTTCCCTCTGAACGACACAATAAAGTTTTGCACAGTATTTTATCATCGATGAAGTAGATATTTGAATAGCCACATCGACTATCACATCAATGACCATCAAGAGATGAAGTTGGATATTTTCCGCGAATGAAAAGAGTGAACGAGGAAACCAATAAAGTACTTTATAATCCTCATTGAAATTCAAGTTTCATCCATTTTTCGAATCACTACAAACAATTGAGTTAAAGTTTCAGTTCCGCAAAACCTCATAATGGACTTTCTTGCGAGTGAATAATCAAAAAGCGCTGAAAAGCACTCCGAACTGCATGCAGAAAACCCACCCTGAATGGAACAATTTTCCCCCAGATTACATAAGTTCCAGTGTAATTGATGAGAGATTGTGTATAAATAGCAGTGGAAAATATGGTCAATTTATATATCCTGCGTGTTCAGCGAGTTTTCTCCTAATGTCAAAGCCAATCTAAGCGCCAATATGAATGATTAAAAATGAGTGGCGAAAGGTAAAAGTGCATCGTTGGAATGGATTAAGGGTCTTAACAATTCAATTGTGGGTTGCGCTGCAGAATAATTCACATTGTGCAAACTCCCAATTAAGACTTATATTTCTGGGTGGGAAACAATGGAATCTCCTTTCAACGAGAGCCCTTTTGTGTGTAATACTTTTTAAAGTTAAGAGCGAAAACATCATCAATCCATTGTGGATTTCCAAAGTGTTCTCTAGTATCATTGTTTCAAGATATTCATAACAGAGTTACACTGTAATGAATTGGATTGACCAAGGGGCAGATGTTGTGGTCAGAGGTGGTGTACAGCTTAGCAGGAGTCTTAGAAAATGTTCAAGCATTTATAATATTCATTTTCTAAGCGTATTTCCTTACAATTTAGCGTTTTACAGCATTTGAACGCAATACAAAAGTTACTTTAGAGGTTTTTTGAGGTTAAGAAACACCACAAATTATTCTAAGATCTGACCTAACCTCAAAAATTGTAGTTGTTCTTCGGAAAATGACTATTTAGAAAGGTTTTCAAGTGATTTTAAGCTTGAAAACGCCAGTTTTGAGTTCATTAATCAGTCAATTGGAGGACAAAATCTGTTAGCTTACATTATTTATAGGTTATGGTCGAAAAAGGTGCCTAGAAAAAGGGGTTGTAAGTGAATTCTTGAAGCAATATTGAATGGCAATGTGAGAAACAACCTTAGAAGATAAAGTGCTGATTTGTTAGTGATTCGCAGGCAAATTTGGTAAAGTCAGGAAACAATGTACAGATTTCATCCACTTTATTTCTCCCTTGGGATCGATTCAACAATAAATCCTCCACATTCCGCTCGTGTGCAATTCCTTTTTCAATTGAAGGGAAATGCAAGAGAGACGACTGATATATTTCTATTTTCCGCAATTCTATGGTGTTAAAGTGATTTTGCCACACAATCGTTAGTAATCTAATTCATGGCATATTATCTGCTTTACAGCAATTTCGCGACAGGAAATCCAATTCTATCGTCTCCACTTTATAATAATGTTAAAATCTCACAGCACTTGTGGTGAGACATTCATGAGTCTGCCGGAAAGTTTTGCCGGTGTGTTTGAGAAGAGAAGTTTTGCATACTTAGAAATTCTAGTCGAATGCTTGTAATTTTGGCGTAATTAATGGGCTCCAACTGTGACAATCGCTGCGCTTCGCCGCGATATCCTTGCTCCTCAATGGCACTCTTCAGCATCTTCTCATTGATAACACCTGGATCAATGGCTGTGGACTCCATTGTGACGATTGCGGTGTGATTGTGTGGAATTTTGCCGGCCAGGAAATCGATGTGACACACAATTTCAAACACTCGTTTATGGCCTTTTCTCTCTTTCTCTGTTGCCGGCGTGAGAAGGTGGGAAATTGTGGAGGAAAGGAAAAAAAGAGCCACGAAACGAAGAAGGACAGAATTTCCCCTTATGTTTAATTCACAAGCCACCGCTGGACTCAATTGGGCCACAACACAACTCACGATGGGGGTGTTTTCATGTATGAAAAGTCACTGAAGGCATTAGCGGCTCCGTGGATTGTGCCTCACTCACAAATACCCCAGTATTTTGGGAGCGTTTGTTCAATAAACAGCCACCGCTTTCACCATAGTGACTGCCTTTGTGGCCACCCCCGTCCTCGCCGTGTGATTTGCCATTATTTCAAACTTAAATGTGCGAGTCACGAGCGAGGTGCCCCACTATTTACATTAACCCCTAATTCCAATTTTCATGCTCCCTCCGCCGCGACAGGAGTGCGCTCGTCCCAGAAGTCACTCCTCGCCAATATATTCCCAGTGAATTCTAATGAGTGCCCCCGAAAGCGCCCAGTGAGATTCGCCCCCCCCTTCGCAAAAGCACCGGGAAAAAGAAGTGTATTGAGTAAAAGCTCTCTTATAGTTGGGAGAGTCAAATGTGAGTGTTTGCCTTTCAAATTGGAATAATTATGATTCGCGAGACATTCGTGCAGTGATTACCAATTGTATGGTGTGACAATGTGGAAATTATATACCCCAGCCTAGGATTTTTCATGTTATCTGCCATTGAATATTCATTCTATCTTCACTTCAACACTGGATTTTCACCATTTTCACCGTGTCAGCGAGTCTTTTTTACCCCCTCAGTGCACGTTATGCACTTTGTGTCCACGCCAAAACTCCTCTCTGCTCTTTTTTATATACCTTCGGTGCTGCGCGAATGTATGGAAAAATGTGCAAACTAATCCCTCGAGGATGATTTACTGGGGCAAAACGCGGTGGAAATCAATAGAATTGGGGAGGAAAACAATTGGCTTCGTGAAACACCCACTGGATATCGCGTATGATAGATCAACCAGAGGAATTTACCTCTTCTTCTGCTAGTAATAGCACTCCGTATTGATTCATTTCCCCCAATGCTTCACCAAGGGTGCGATAATGTGGCTGAAATCTGTACACCACTTCTGGACTTTTTCAAATTGGCCTGCAAATGAATTTATAAAGATGTTTGCCTTTTAATTCTCTGCTTCGCAATGATAATTTTCTCAGTTTCCATTTGATTTTTCTTGGATTTCTCATCATTTTCAACCCATAACCTAAAAATAACCATTAGAAGATCTTTAAAACTCAATTTAAAACCTCTTTAGGACAATATCACCTGGTATGATTTGATAATGAAACTGAAAATGTTGATTTCACATTCTAAATTGGTGTAAAAAGTCTTCTAAATCAACATTTTTCCAGTCTGAAGTGCTGTTTTTGAGGTTATGTTGGATCGAATTGGGTAAAATTTCACGAAATAAGCTGATCCTAAGACTGAGAGCTGTACATCAGATCCAATCATAGTATTTCGCCTTGGTTTTGGACTTGTGAAGCTCAAGAACAAGAAATCAACCTAAGAATTTCAGTGCTCAATAAATTCAATGCCTCAGTTTGCAATGAAAGACTATGAAAATACTTCCACAACACTTTATTGGGGATTTCGGAGTTCTCCAGTGTTCGCATGCATTGTTCAACACACAGCAGGATTTTGTCGATAAGTGCAAAGGAACATGATAAACAATTTGTAGGAAATTTACAAGCTCTGGTGGGCGGAAAGCCACACAGCAGTTCAGCAGCACCGCAACGCCTTGCTCCTGATGATGTAAACATCTGTAAAGTCGCAAGTCCAATTGTCTCAGCCGGAGATTTACGGCGGTGCGGTTGGCGGCCAGCTGTGAGCCGCTGAGTGTATCGATTGCTTGAAGTCTTGGGCGCACGTGAAGGCTTAATTGCACGAAATTGTATTTGTCGGCCACCTTGAGGGAGAGAATTGTTGCTGTTAAAAATTTCACCTCACGTCATTAATTAAGGATTTCCCCGATGGAGGCTGTGTAAAAGGGAAGGAGGATGAATATGTGGTGGCAAATAACTCTCTGTCCGCATAAATTATGCATTCTCGGCCCCATGAGAAAGATGAGGGAGCCTCGCAGGGTGTGTTGTGTGCGGTGACTCCTTCCCATGGCACATAACAATGAATACCATTTCTTTGGGCATGCGTCAGTCAGTGTAATTTACAGATTGTGTTGAAGTCAGTTACTTAGGAACGGCCTGTGGCACAACCAAATGCTTCCTTAGTGGGAGACCTCACAATATTGGCCAACGTCCACCAGACACTAGATCATATCTAGTGTAATGTGCCCCTCGTCAGTATATTCTGCGCCGCATATAAACTCTTATGTTGTGTCTTCTCGCCCAGCATTAATTACTCCCATCAGCTGCCCTCCTTCCGCCCTGCAGCGCACAGTGCAAAGTGTTCTGTGTTACATTTCTTTTTTGCCCCCCGTCATATCTCACCTTCTTCCCCTAAATTCGCCCACTTTCTCTCGCCCACGTAGAAATTGGTACACCTTTTTTTTGCCTTAACGAGTGGCGAGGAAAAAGTCAGTGAAATACAACTACTGGTCCGTGCAGATGCCAAAGAGGCGAGAGGTCAGGTATATTTGCTTGCGATTTAATTCAATTTCGCATCTCAACATTGCACAGCACGGGAAAAATTGGCTCCGCATGCAAATAATTTTCGTACTCACCATTTGGGGAATATTTTTCAACATTGAACAATTTTTATTTTCAATCTGATTGCAAGAGGCACTCAAGCGGCACATTTTGTTACCGGAAAAGAACCCCTTTTGGAAATTAGTCACATCGATTTCTGCTCATGCTATACTTTTATTGATTTATTTAAGACATATTTGAAGTATTTCTTGTTGGAATCATTTGTATTATTTGACCAGATTCTCCGCATAATTTGTGATCATGATCAAAAAGCGCGAAAAGCTTCGCAGAAATTCATACAAAGTGATAGATTGTTTCCAATTTGAACGTGGGGAAAAAGCAGGTGTTTTAGCTCGCTTACATTCCTCAGAGCCTCTTTTTCTTGTGTCCTGAAAAGTCACCTGTAAATTCCCATTGAAGGGATCGCGGCGAAGAGGGATAACTACGGCAGGTGGCACACAAAATTGCCATGAATTATCAATGACTTTCCGTCTGGAGAGCGCAATTCGCGGCACTTGAACACCTCTTTCTGTTTTCCCACTTCAGTAACCAAGCATTTTCATGTTGTGCAATTCAATTCCTCGCCACGTTATAAAGAATTACATACACAATCGAGAGAAAATTTCCACTACTCAGGTGTGTGTTTTTTTTTCCTTCTTCTTCGGCAGAACATCGCACTTTCACCCCCCACCCAACAATTTCCCACCCACTTTCAGCCACGGATGAGTGGTTTGGTTTTCGACTGAAAGTGGCTTCATGGAAAATTCATTAAACTTTTCTTTAGCGCCACGATTGAGGCTGAATTCTCGGGGTTTCGATTGACGAGGATGGGATTTTCTTATAATCAACAATCTGTAAAATTTGAAGAGATTTTCCCTGTTCTTATCCATAATATTGGGGCTATGTTGGGAGTGATGGTGTGATTTTGGTGGCGCGCGGTGTAAATCTCAATTTGGCAACTAATTTAAAACTTAAGCATAATTTATGTTCTACGTGGCGACCCGCTTTTTTTTCCTACGTACGCAAAGCATTTGGGGATTCAAACTTGATTCTCCAGCAATTTTGCGGATGAAGCCATAAAGCATAAATCCATGGGAAGACACAGTGAATCTGCGGGAATCTTTGGTATTTGCGCGCCCCCCACTTGTTTTTCCTCCCTCTCAACCCTCATCGAGATGCTCAATATATGTGTTTTTCCACCCCCTCGCGCGCGCCTCATCGCAGTCGGAGCTACAAATTTTAATGGTGAGACGGTGAAATGGACACTCCTATGAGAGACATAAAATAATGGTGAAGAAGCGCGGCGGTGTGAGAAAAAGCAATATAGTGAAAAGATGAATCGGTACATAACACTAAATCAACTTGGGGATGGAACTTATGGAACTGTTGTCCTCGCACAGCGAAAGGACACGGGCGAGAAGGTGGCCATTAAGCGAATGAAGCGAAAGTACTACTCGTGGGAGGAGGCGATGAATTTGCGAGAGGTCAAGGTATGTTTATTGATAGGCACGCAATGGCGGAAGGCAAATATTTGACAACGCACTCCAATTACTCACGCACAGTCGCTCAAGAAGCTCTCGCATGCAAATGTGGTGAAATTGCGCGAGGTGATCCGCGAGAACGACATTCTCTACTTCGTGTTCGAGTACATGAAGGAGAACCTGTATCAGCTCATCAAGGATCGCGAGACGCACTTCCCCGAGGCCGCCATTCGCAATATGCTGTACCAGGTGCTGAATGGGCTGGCCTTCATGCATCGCCACGGGTTCTTCCATCGGGACCTCAAGCCCGAGAATCTGCTGTGCTCCGGACCGGAGCTGGTGAAGATTGCAGACTTTGGCCTCGCGCGCGAGATCCGATCGCGTCCGCCCTTCACGGACTACGTGTCCACGCGATGGTACCGCGCGCCCGAAGTCCTTCTGCACTCCACCAAGTACGGCGCGTCCATCGATCTGTGGGCAGTCGGATGCATCATGTCGGAGCTCTACACCTTCCGGCCCCTGTTCCCGGGCACCAGCGAAGTGGACCAGTTGTTCAAGATTTGTTCCGTTTTGGGAACACCGGAAAAGGTAAATTATCATCACATTTCTTACAAGGAATTTTCAAAAATTCTGATTCTTTTTCTAAAAATTCTCTGTGCCGAATCTTTAGCACTTCAAACACTTCTTAGAAAAATTCTTACCAATTTGTGAGGTTATGAAAACTACCTTTAAAACCGTCTCAAATTAATTTAAAACCTTTCAAACGTGGAAATTGAGCAAATTTAGGGAATATCACAATGTTAAAAAATCAAATAACTAAGCAAAGCGCCATTCATCTAGGCTAACATTACATTTTTGAGGTTATGTTTGATTCTAAAGCTATTTTTACGTCCAAAATTTAGCCAATCTTAAGTTTTTCAAGCATAAATGCTCAACTGTGACAAGAAAAAGAGAAATATTCTCAGTTTAAACACAATTTTGATGATTTTTAGGGTTATTTTAACACCAGAAGCGATTTTAAATCAATCACATAATCTATAAAAGCAATAAAATTGATTTTTTCTAAGCAAACTAATTTAGAAAATGCCTTTATTTGTTGATAGTGTAGCTTTAAAGCTTTACACCACTTCCAACAATAAAATCTGTCCCTGAAAAATACAACTTCAATGAAAATCTAAAAATTTCCTGGCCAGTATTTCAGTGGCGCATTAGCATTTCATAACTCTGTGTAGTTTGTGTGGATGGAAAAATGTGGGATTTCATTGATTGTGATTTTTTAGTTCGAAAAGCGCCGCTTCCAAAATTAACTCACAACCATTTTGAATTATTGATGGTTCAATCATGCGTTTGCTCCGCTGTTTTTCAGGATGACTGGCCCGAGGGTCATCGATTGGCGGCCGCCATCCACTTTCAATTCCCAGCATGCTCAAAAATTCCCATTGACTCCATTGTCAGTCGTGCCACAGATCCAGGCTTGCAGGTGCTGGAGGATTTCCTCCGGTGGGACGCAGAGAAGCGACCCACGGCCCAGCAATCGCTAAAGTACGCGTACTTTGAGCTGGCCAAGCCCCGGCCGGCGAGTCCTGTGCTGTCCAACTATCGCACAGTGCCGTCCTCCACCGTCTCCCATGGAGACCAATCCCTCGAGAACTGCATGAATGTCACACAGCTGCTGCCGAAGCATCCCAACAACAACCACGAGGAGCTGAACAACCACAGAATGTTCTATCTGAACAACGAGCCGAAGAAGGTGGTGAAAGTGGCGCCGAATGTCACGGCGACGAAGGAGCACGCCGGATCGACGGTGCAGCTGAAGAATAGTGTCAACAGCGTGAATGGCTTCGGCCCGACCATTGGGCACAATGGTGAGATTAATCTTCTCGGGAATTACAGTCAGCGCAAGAATTTGCAGCATGCGAATGCCGGTGGCAACAAGTACACCTTCAACAATGCCTATTCTGGCATCATTGTGAACACGAAAGCCACCCCGGGTGGTTTTTACCTCCATCAGCAGCCAATTGACGCCATCCTTGACGCAGACACCGGCGATGCTCCACGTGTGTACAATGCCTTCTCCAAGCAGCGCAATGTGATGCCACTGGTGAATGGCGACGCAGTAAATCATCATCCTGTTGTGACTTTCAAGTCCAAAGGGGTCATTCCGACAAATAAGTGGAACATCGCCGTGGGCCAAGACGAAGGGGTGGATGACGATGATGAATTGGACAGGATTCTCGGGTGAGTTCACTTTTCATCACCTCCGCAGTGAGATGAATATTAATTCCCTCCTTTGCTCGGTGGTGTCCTTTGAAGGCTTCGCCAAGAGAGAGACAGAGAAATCGGACTGAAATTGGTCAATGAGAAATGTCAAAACTTCAATTTATGACTCTCGAGAAGCTTAATATTATATTCTGATTGGTTTCATCACTTTGTTTTTCTCAGCAAAGAAGGATTTTTATCCTCCAAACATGTAAAAAGATCTTTGAAATAAGAATCTATTGGCTTTGTGAGTGACTTTCGCTCGGAATATCTTGAAATTTCATCCCAAATTGCTGGTTATAATCCAATATTTCTCTTCTTCACTTTCCCAAATACTTTCGCCCACACACCATTCATCGGATGCTTTCCGGGAGCGATAATTGAAATGGAATGCAAGTGGTTTCGGAGTCTATTAAGTATATAAACTGAAATTAATGAGGGTGTGGAATTTTCACCTTTGCCAGAAGGTGTGGATAAAATAGCGGACAGGAGTTTAGTTTCGGGGATGTGCTGAAATCAATGGTGTGTAAATTGGGGGAAATTTTTCACAATTCAATATAAATGCTTCCGGAAGGCTTGACTTCATTGATCCTGCTGAAATATTCGGGATAGATTTTTCAGTGGCCCGGCGGAGCGCCGTGAGAAATGGCTCAAATTGATAGGTGAAAAATCTGCACGGAAATTCTCTCTCGCTTATCTATAGAGATAAAATGGGATATTTTCTCTCTCTCGCTCACCCTTCGTGGGTGGAATTTATTATAATTTCGACTGGGAGAGAGAGAGGATATTGGGCCAGTGCTGAAAGGACAAATTTGCCAGGCCAGAGCGAGATTCTCAATGGTCTTCGCCAGATGATAGCATAGCTGAGGCCCAGACGCTGCTCACGAGATTTATTGCAAGTTCCTCGTATCGTGCATTACACGAAGAGAGATACTTGAATTGATCGTCATAAATTAAAGTCAGTTCCTGGTCTATCTCGCTCTTCACATGTGAAAGTCATAAATATTTTCTCAGTAAAATTCTTCCGACCCAAGAAATGTTACACTTATACGCCCAAGGAAGCCCTTTTCTCACACTTCCAAGCACAGCTTCCGCTGCGAGGCCACGAAAAGGGGGTTGCAACATCCCTTGCAGTGCGCGAGTAATTCCTCAATGCTGTGACATTGAGACGCGTAATTCTTATGGAATTGGAGATAAATCAATATTTTGGATTATATCGTGTTGAATAGCTTTTCATGTTGGGCCATTCAAAGAGTCATTAGGCTGAATAAATAATGAAACATTATACATCCCCAGTCTTTATCAATTCCTATTTCCAAGATAATGTGTCTGTAAGGTCTGAAACTTTACATTATATACATTGACTTAGAGAAAAATGTAAGAGAAAATGGAGAAGAGGAAGATGAAAGTGTTGTTTTCAGAAGAGATAATTCCATCTTTACGTGGCACATGAAAATAAAAACTCATAGATAACGCGAGTACTCAGTGACCTTTTGATTTAATACAAAAGAGTAAGTAAGAATTCCTTATAATTTCTCCACTCCAGAAGATGAGGGAAATGTTTATGAAATTTCGTGCACTTTAAAACAACATGAAATGGAATAACAAAAGTGATTAAAGCTGCCCCTTAAGGCGGTTCTGTGTGACCCTAAATGTTAAATATCATATTTATACACAACATATTCACGCATACATATGTGTGTGTCGTGATTAAGTGCCCTGAAATCTGAGCATATGAAAACATAGGGTAATTGTGCTTGGCGTACATGCACATTCTTTCAGGTCAAGGTGCTTCCAGTGTAATTTTCCTCCGAATTTTCGCATGACTCTTCATGTGCTAAAATCACAGAATGCTGACCATGTTTCAGCGGGGGTGAATTTGGGAAAATTGATGCAGCTGCTCACCCCTTGAACGGGTCATTTCGCAGATATTAGCAAGAGGAAATCGATACGGGAATCTCGGTGGGGTGTGAGGCGAAGTGCACGAAGTGAAAAGGAGAGAATTCCTGGATACACTTGCAATGTGGGGCTGATTTTAAACGGAAAAGCACAGCAGGATGTTATAATTGGCCTTTATACGGCAATTATTGATTGACAGCGTGAATGGAAAAGGACGTAATTGGTCCTTTCCTGCCTCCACACATCCTGCTCAAGAGCTTGCGAAAGGTGGCTAATGTTTGGGTTATATGTGTTTCTAATTCCATGCTTTTTCGGGGGGTCCACCGAAAAAACACACACACCGCAGGAGCAAGATAAACACGAAGAGAGTTCGAGGGGATTATCAGCAGAAACCTCTGTCGTCGATTAAGCTGGAGGATTTATTTGGGACGGTCTCTTTGGGGAAGGACAGCAGTACCTCCAAGTATCCCAACACCGTTCCACTGGCCAAATCCAACAGCTATCGCAATAATCTCATGCTGAATGGACTATTTGAGGACGATGATGGACGTAGTGTGTCGAAAAGGAGTCACTATTCCAATCATCACCAGGAATTTGTGGTCAACAATCGAAACAAGTGGGAGAGAATACCTTCTGTGTGGCCACTCTTGCTGGTCCACTTCCACCGCCTGGACGAGCCTATCAAATTAATTCTTATCTCATTTCCAGGTCCTTCTTGAGTCATCAACCTTTCCGAGCGAATGTGTCCAATGAATACCATATCAATGGGGGCGGCGGAAAGACTTTCCCGTGGGAGGAGAGCGGCCGCATAAGCGATGGTAAAGGTCTAAGTTGGATTGTTCGTGATATAAGTATTAGCATGATTTATCACTTATCACCCTTGCATTCATACTAATTCGCACAAATCTCTTCCCCACCCACCCCGTGGACAGCTTTCGAGGGCGGCGCGGCCAAGAGCAACAACATAAGGACAGACTGGACAGCAAAGTACCTGAATAACTGAAGGTGGATTGTTGCAAATTGACGAAAATCTGTGATAAAGCTCATTCTATAATTTTGTAACTTTAGGGCATTAGCTTCGAGGGGGGTTGGGCGGGAAATGCGAAGACCCACAATGAGTTGTAATTAATCATTTGTATTGTCGAAGTGTATGTGGTTGATTTTCTCTTTGGGATAAGGCATCACAAATAGACAAAATACACACACTCGCTCTGAGCTCTTATTCGTCCCTTTTGTGCTGCTTTTGATGAAGACACTCAAGCTTCTTGTGCAGAACTTCGCGGCGGTGCTTCTTCTCCGCATCCTGATGTGCCTTGGGGGCGCCATCAATGTCATCGGCTCCCTGTTGGTCCTTCATCTGTCGAATCTCCCGCTTCAGTGCCTCAATTTCATCCTCCATTCGCTCGTGCTCTGCTTCGAGGAAGTCTAAACTCTCCAATTCGAATTCCAACCCCTCAATTACATCGTACGCCTCGTCGAGCTTCTCCTCCAGGCTGTGCATCTCCTCACGCACGTGCTCAAGGTCCGCCGCCGTGGAATGACGCGCGAGACCGCCTGGAACGTCCGCCAGACCGCGGATAACTTCAGGCCGCGACTTGAGCGCCCGCAACTCGTGCGACTGAGCCCTGATTGTGCTGGTCTGACTCTTAATCATGTGCTCCATCTTCGCAATCTTCTCCGCCTGATCTCGCGATCGCTCAGACAAGCGATTCACGTTGAGCTTGAGCTTCTGATTCGCCTCGTACAGATCATCTCGCTGACTCGTCACGGCGTCCAAGTCCAGTCGCAGCTGAAGATTAATCGTGGAATTTTCCATATTCTCCCGCCTCAGATTCACACACTCCGCGTTGAGCAGCCTATTTTCGTTCAGCAACTCACTATTCTGCCTGCTGGCTAACATCAAAGTAGGTCAAAGATGGCCTGCTGAGATGACTTTTGGATTATTACCTTTCTCAACTGTGGCGAACAATTGCTTGATTTTCACATTCAGTCTGTAGATCTCCTCCTCATGCTTATCACTGCTCATTGCTCACTTTTTCACGCGCCACCGACAATGTATACCTGATTTTGTGTTCAATCACCTGTTAACTTGAGTGTTTTGGGTGCCTCTTCATCATTACCTATCTTATCACCTGCCATTTATCAGTTGCTCAGCGATATGGTTTGCTGTTGCGATAGCGATATCGACGAATTTGTGTCGTTTGGAGACTTAGTCGGGGCTCAAAGAACGTGAGAACAGCGATGAGTTGGACGGATTTTCTGCGAGCCAGGACACAAAATCCCGCCTAATGCCATTATCCAAGGAGGTGGGGGAGTTCGAAAGTGTCCTGGCAGCCTTCGAAGATTGCCTCAAGCGTGGACACAGTGCGAGAAAATGTGCAGAAACTCACCTCGTCTAAGGATATCAGCGGATGTTGAAGGACATATTTGCTGCAAATGATTATTTAAAATTATATTAACACGTGATAAAGGTAAAATGGGGAGTATTTATTTGAAAAACCTGAATTTTAGTGGGGAAATGTAATAATTAGCTAATTAATGTGGTTGAGGAGAGGCAATTTGGAACTTCCAGGGACATTTTCACTCCCACCCGTCGCTTTTGGGAGGGGATGCGAGGAGTGCGCGAGGGCGCGCGCGCGCGGAAAGTCTACAAAGGTCTTGCGCACCGTGTCCTTCCCCCACCGCTCGCGGCTGCATTTGTGTACAGGCAAGGGTGGGTTCAGCAACAGCTACGTAGAGTGAAATAGTGATGTATAGACTCTTGACTTCACGACGAGCAGCATAATTTAGCTGACAGTCACTTGATGTTCCGCATCTCGCCTGGACAATAGTCGTGACGCGGAGGCGCACATTGCCAAATGGTGCACAATGTGCGAGGGAGATTCTTTACACCACCCCCAGGCAGCATATCCTGCGGGGGGTTTGGGGGGTGGTTTATGCAATATCACTTTACAGCAACTTGACATTCCAGATAATGATGAAGCCATCAACAGGCTACAACTATAATTCCGTGCAAACATAATAACGAAAATGCACGCTAATGGAATAATATTTGTTTAGGACAAACACACTTCTCTCCTTTGGGTATACCTCGTGCCCGAATCCTCTACCTTTCTTCCTTCGGGGCGGCCTTCCAATAGACACTTGAAATTCGAGTGTGTGCCACTTAAAATAATTAATTTATTTTCATTACAGCATTTGAACAATGTTCAATCTTTGCCATCATCTTTTCCCAATTGCGCTGCCGATGTTTCTCCTCTGTCGTGGCGGAAATCGCGGCGGTCACAAGGGTGAGACAATGTGATCTGAGGTGGTGTACAGCAATTTTACTGCTTTTCCCAAGTGCTTCAGAATTCTTCAAGATGTTTTACAAAACACTGTTTTTCGGTATTTTCAAACAGAGTTTCTTCTTCATAGCCTTGCGATTTATTGAAAATTCCTTCAATGAAATGTTGAGCTCAAGAAGTGTAAAAAGTGCTGAAAATGCTGCGAAGCGTAAGGTTTCAGGCACTGTCGAAGTGGTGAAAGTGCTGATGATGAGTGGTGTACAGACTTCAGGCGGACTATCTGCCCATTGGGTGGGCATGGAAAAGAGTCCTGCGGAGCAGCCATGAAGAAGATAATATAGGGGTAATCGATTATATCACCTCACACTCGCGGTCGCCGCAATTGCCATTCTCTCGCCAGACCCATTCATCGGGCCACCCGTCTCACTTACACATCCCACCCACATTAAGAGCAGAGATGTGCAGAGAGAGACACTTCAATATAGCAGCGCGCCCACCTATAACCCGAAAATAGTGCACCAAGTGCACAAAGAGACTTAAATATCCCCACCCACACTCCACCACCATTTGGGGCACATAAAAGTGGCAATTAATTCCTACATTTGAGTCCCAGGTGAACACCATTCTGGGAGCGGAGCACAATTTCCGCAATTATTCGTGGCTCCGGTCCACAGGGCAGCAATTCAAAGTGACTCAGCACCTTCGAGAGCATACTCTTAATCTCCAGCATCGCGAACTTCTGGCCAATGCAATTTCGCGGTCCTGCAGAAAATGGCACATAAGCAAATGGATTAGTGATCTCTGTGGTGTTCTCCAGGCTGAATCGCTCAGGCTTAAATTGCTCTGGCTCTGGATATAAATTGGGATCGCGTCCCATGAAGTAAATTCCCATCGTGTAATTGCAATAGGCAGGAATGATTTTTCCATCTGAAACGAAAAAAAAGCAAAGAGAAAGAAGTCCGTGAGAGAGAGAGCTAGTCCAAAAACCACGCTGAATCCTTTTAGTGAAATTGTTTTTTCGTGGCAAACTCGCCAGATATCAAATTGAGTCGCATGCAATTCGCCGGGCAAGAGCGCGCGCGTTTATTGTGTGCACCGCAGTTGTGTTAGGAGTGGCGGCGTGTGATCTGGTGGGTGGTGTGATTCTTCTGTATAATCACGCTAATTGCGCACCTCACGTGTGTCATTACTTCTCAGATGCCCGAATCGATCCATCGCATTCGGAATTGTTAATCCCAAGGGGGAGATATTAAGCTTTAAAGTGTTTAACAGCTCTGCAAGAAGTCTTAAGCTGGGATAAAATATTCCGAATATTTGCCTTGCAAAAGCTTCATTTCAACAATTTTCCTTTCGATTTCTCTTGGTTTTATACACAGAAAAAATCACACAAAACGTTTTTATAGGTTATGCAACAAAAAAGGACGGATTTAGTGAATAATTTGCATTATAAGTACATCAATTCATGCTTAAATCCGAGTTATTGACAGAATTAAGTATTTGATTGCAAAAAACATCGCTATTATGAACTTTTGATGCTCAGAAATACTACAAATTGTGTTGAGATCTCACATAACCTCAAAAATAGTCATTTTGAGGTAGAAAATGGTTATTTAGGCAACTTTCTGCAGGATTTGGACTCTGAATTATTAATTTTGAGTTTAATTTTGAGGCTCTAAAGATCTTTCAGTAATATTTTGAGGTTATGGTCAGGAAAGATGATCAAAACAGTGTATATTCTTGCAAAAATATCGGGTAAAAGATTTATTACAATTTAGGAATGAATGTAGAAGCAACAAATTTCAATTTCTAAAAGTGACAGGCAAATTTGGAAGTGGTGTACAGGCATATCATCTCCCCCTTGGTGGATAATTAAAAAGGCATTTTTCGTCACTCTTTTGCACACTAATTGCAATGTCTAATCACAAAGCTCGGCTTTCCTTCCTTGCCAGTCGCACAGAAGAGAAGTGAAGATAAGTATGAAATAACTTTAAGTGTGAAAAATCATATGAATTTCCCTCCCGGAGTTGAGAATTTGAGGCATTTGCATATTTTACGAAAACAAATATTTTCTCAAGTGCGCATTTTCTTCGCGATATTCTTCCAGTTCATGAACTTCTATTTGGATTTGATTATCTCTCCCTTTTCTTCCACATAATTTTCCACTTCCTGCCAATATTTTCCGCTTCTGTCACGTCTTTGCTCGCTACCAAAAGCTGTGCCCATCTGACAATGCACAAGCAAACCGCGATAGGAGATGCTTTTGTGTTTGGTGGTTATTTTTTCGGGGAGAAATTGTCGTCTATGCGAACAATCAAATCCCAGAATACACTTATTCAATTTTTGAGTTTTTCACCCGGGAAAAATGTTTTAAAATTGCCCCCAAGCAAGTTTCGATTGTTTTTTTTTCTCTCTCCCAGCACTGCAATTGCCACCGAAAGCATAAAAGTTACCCTCAAGTAAACTTTTACTATTCCCGGAGAGTATTTTATCCAAAGTGCGGCGAGAAAAAGAGAAGGACTCGCACTTGCTGAGTGAGTGAAATTCAGTGACATGGACACATAAATTTTCAATAATAGCACACCTCGGCGGAATAATGGCTGCAGAAATCATTCTTACAGCGCGCCAAATTTCTGCCCTCTGGCTCGCCGTGGTGCGAGTGTGGAAAATTTTAAATGAAAAATATGGAAATTTTCGCACATTTATCACCTAATCCCATTCACAGACACACAATGTCCCTGAGATTTTCCCTCGCGATGGTGCAAAGGCGCTTGATGACTTCATTTGTGAGTCGAATCGGTCGCCAGGAGGAGTCATTAGAGAGATTGATGGGATCAATGAATGATTCCTTCCACTCCCCATCATTTTTTTCCCTCTTGCTCCAGCCCAAAAGCTTCCAGGCAAAGTGGGTGGAATGATTTTCTAAATTTTCCCCTTGATCGAGCGCCTTTGTCAAAATATAGAGTTTATAATCAAAATATTATACTTTAAGCTTAGCAAACTGAGGGAAAATCCTCTCTTTGATTTGCAATAAAAAGCGAGAATGGAATTTTTATTTTATTCCCCATGACATAAAACACATCGTAAAACTATCTTTTGATAGCCAAGAAGATGGTAAGAATTTCTGTATGATTTCCTCCCGACTTGAGATACAAATACGATAAATTTACTAATTATTCTGTGCACGATTGGCTTAAATTCACTGATATTTTTTTCCTTCTTTTTAAAGCTAAATGTCGACAAAAAGCTCCATAATCTCTTATTCCATATTAAATTCATTTGCTCAAGCTGAATTATCGTTCGTCTGTGGCCAAAGTTAAAATAGTCTGCAAATTTTCTCTTTCATCATGTTTTGTTGCAGTGTTAATTTCTATCGTTCACTAAAGTTGCACGAAAAATTGAAAGTCAAAAAGTTTAATTAACACTCTTGCTATTTGTAGTAGTTTTTTTTAGGTCATGAGAAGCATTTTATAGTGAATTTGTTCCTCATTTCGGATGGATGCATTTTAGAGTTCAATTAGATGAATTTCGCACTGTCTTGTGCAACATAAGAAAGAGAGCATAATGTCAATTTTTGGTTGGTATTAAAGCTCTACACATTGACGAGATTTGATAGATTAGCGCCCATTTATGTGTTAACTTCATCTCCAATGAGGAAGTAAATAATAATTCCTCCTCTGCTAAAGTATCACATTTCGCAAAATATCACACAAAACTTTCCACATATACGAAACTTTTCCCCTTTCTTGGCAAGTGAGAAGATGCAATTTGTATTCGTGAATTCCCTTCGACTTTTGAGTTGCAAATTAGAAGCAGTTGCAGAAGAAAAATCATGGTAAATTAATTTCTGAATTATGCAATGCACTATTCTCAGGGAATTCTCTACATCATCATCGATATGGTGAGCCAATAAATTGATTTTCCCTGTATGAAAAGGATCCTTTGGCAGATAATGCACACAACAATAGAGAATTCTATCGCTAAATTTCACCACAAACTCCGTTGTCTGTGGCAGATATAATGGAACTCTTGGGAGGAAATTCAAATATCCTCCCTAATTAGAATGCTACATTTTGCATCAATTAATCAGGACATTTCCCGGAAACTCAACAATACATCTAATTACTATATTGATCGCCATGAAAGTATCGAAGAGAATTTCCGTTTGGTGCTTTACACTGATAAAACTGTATAATAACTAAAACCAAGGGGAGGATAATATACCCTAAATATGTACACCGCTGCATTTATAATCATTTTCTTATGTTTCAATCTGTTATTTCTACAAATATCCTCATAAAACCGCTTGTTTCGGCATCTTTTCTAATCATTACCTCAAAATATTACCAAAAAATCTTCAAAAACTCAATTTGGAAGCTTTCCAGATTACAAAATCATATGATCTGATTCGCCAATGAACCTTTAAATTGCTGATTTGGAGTTAAAATCGTCGAGAAAGTGTTATACAGAAAGATATTCCAAGTCAAAATCAATATTTTTGAGGTTATGTTCAATATGTGCACAATGTGCTGTGTTCTTTTGACATCCAAATGCCTTGCAAATGCCTAATTCAGTTAATGACTAGTCCATTATTTAATAAAGTAGTCTTTGATTTATTACATAACCTAGAAAATGATTTCTGCGATTGTTTCCATTGCAAAATTGAAGAGAAATTCAAAGAATCGGGACAATTTGTCAAGAAAAGAAGCACGCAGGAAAGGACTGCTGTAGGTTTTTGAGCACTTCCACTTCTGTACACCACTTCTGACTATATTATCTCCCCCTTGACTAAAGAAATCGTTCGTATTTTTGCTGTTAATTCATTACTTTACAGTTTTTTTTTCAATATCACCGAATATGAGAGTTTCGAGGCGGGCGTAATTCCTGTGAGTATGACGAAAAGCGCACAGCCTGAGTGTATTATAATTCAGAAAAGTTTCATCTCGTCCTTCGACAGGAGAACACAGAGAGAGGCGGAGAGTGTCGAATGTGCCGAGAGAGGTGAGAAATGTTTTGGCACAAGTGTAAGACATAATTTTTCCGTGCGAGACTTATGGAATGGATGTGCATAAAGTGGGGATGATTTGAGTGCTTTTCCGGGCGAGCGGCAAATCAACTCTCCATGATTGATTGCATAGATACATCAGCGCGTGTTTGAATGCTTTATCGATGTGCCAGACACTCACTAATTTCCATGTCCTCCTCAATGCGGCGCCCGTAGATGGGGACAGGTGGGTAGAGCCGCAGTGTCTCCTTAATCACCAGCTCCATGTATTTGAGATTCTGGAGGTGGCGATACGTCACAGGTGCGTTCCTGTCGGCGCCCAGCACTTCCTGCAGCTCCTGCTGGAGTCGCTTCTGGACGTCCGGGTGGCGGGAGATGGCGTACAGGGCGAAGGTCATGGCGGCAGTTGTGGTGTCGTGACCCTCGAACATAAAAGTATCCACTTCCTCCCGGATATCCTCATTAGACAGAGGCTTTCCGTCAACTGTCGCCTGCAGCAGCACATCGAGCAGCGCCAATCGCTTCTTCTCGTAGAACTCACTCTCCTCCTCATCCTCACCCTTCGTCGCCACCCCGGCGTCCCTCTCATCCTTCGACAGCATCTCAATCAACTTCTCCCGGCGCTGCCGGATGATGTTCTCGGTGAAGTTGTGCATCACTCGTATGCATCGATCATGATCCTTCTTGGTCGACACGAAATTATTGAACAGGAAGTCAATCCTCTGCCACACCTTAATGAATCTCGTGCTCATTATCTGGGATATCTCAGAGACCGCCCTCACGTATTCAGAGCCCGAGTCTGTCTGCGAGTTCAGCTCAATTCCCATCGCTGACTCGGAGATGACGTCGAGGGCGTACAGATTAATGAATGGATAAATATTGAAGCTCTCGCCGGTGCTGTGCTTCTGCAGCAGCCTCACGAGGGTGCTTCCTTGGCGATTAAACACCTCCGTGAATTGCTCCAGAATTTTGAAGTGGAACGTCGGCGTAATTATCTTCCGGCGAGTGTGCCACTTCTGTCCCGTGCTGATCAGCAGACCCGTGCCGAGCCAGGGCTTCAGGAAGTTGTACAGATTGTTCTTCGTGATGTGCTTCGTGCTGCTGAGCATGACCTCCAGATCCTTGGGATCCGTGGAGAAGAAGGCCACCTGGTAGGGACCAATCCACACCCTGAACAGCTTTCCGTACACATTAATCATGCTTTGTACGAAGTTCAGCACATCCTCGGGCTTCTTGTTGAAGTACATCAGGGCATTGCCGAAGAGTGGCACCGTTGGCGGTCCTGGGAACTTCCTCACCAGCTCATACCGTCGCCAGTGTCTCAGGCGAAAGTAAACAGTGCTGAGAGCAACAAATGCCGCGATGTATATTAGGAAAAACATGCTAATCGAGCAGACCCCAAATCGCCGCGCCGCGCAAACATCCACGAATTGTCCTCACCCTTTCGGCCACTATCAGCGCACATTCACCAGCAGTTGCCCAGCGACAGAGTTTGGCTTTCGGCGTGCTAGCTTGAGCGAAAGATAAATGTTAGGCTGAGCATGGGAAAATGCATTTGCAACAATAATGGCCAATTAAACGCCGTTTACCTCTATTATTGCCTATGCAATTTTGACAACAGCACTGTGCGCGCGCTCTTTCAGCAATAAATATTTTGGGTTCACAAACAAAAAGATCCACACCGTGAAATGCTCAGCCTCAACTGACTCCCAACCAGAGACTTCAATGTGAACTGGGCGCCCCTTCCCAGCCTCGAGTGTCGCACGGCGTATCTCGAGGGGCGCACAATTCACGCGAATAATTGCTCAATGAATCGAATTTCACGCTGTGACGTTCAAATGTGCCACTCGACGTCTGAGGATGATTGAACACAAACATGTTCCGCCAGAAAGCAATTGGATTACATTGGAAATTGTGCTCTGGGAATGCAATAATCCATAAGCAGTCATTATCACATTTGCAAAGAGATTCAACATTAAAGACGCTCAGCTTTAATGTCTCAGCATTGACTTTGTGACGTTGAAGAGGAAGTATTATGAATGAAATATTAAGCATAACTCTTTTCCTATCGCAAAAAGTTGCCTTCTTATTGCAAACACAACAATGAGAAACACTGTGAGATGCTGCCAAAATGATAAAATTTACGCGGCAGGAAATGTTCATTCGCTACGTTGCAATAAAAATGGCAATAAATGGTGTTCAGTGTTAATTTAACACATTTTTTTGCAATAAGTGCATCTCCATTATCGCTTGAAGGCATGATAAACTAACATAAATGCGTTATTTCTGCTTTATTTCTGCCTTCTTGCTGTTCCAATTCTGGTTCTTGTTAATTGTCGTCAAGTAGACCAGAAAACCAGAAACTCATTAAAATATTTGTCTGAGCCAAAATACACTAAAGATAAGCGACGGAAATGTCAGGAAAGGTGTTGTAACCAATTTTTCCCGCGAATCGCAAGACACCACGTAGAATATTTGCATAAAGTAGATCAAGTTGATCGAATTGTGACTGAAAATCGCATTATTTCCCAACGTGGAGGCCGTGAATACACAAGTGTGAATTAGTGCTTTGAAGTAATTCAATACTGCATATTTTCAAGGGTTTTCGGCTGCCCAAAATTGTGAAATTCAATGAAATAAGGTGAGCAATTGAGGCGAGATTTTCCATCACATTCGCGATCACCTCAGATCCGAACATCTGGGAGATTCCGCTCGAACACTGATAGATTGTTTGCCTCTTGACTTATGACTTGAACAATCTTAGTATTGTCCGCTAGTCTCAGGAAAGACCTGCTTGAGATCTCTCCCAATACAGCTGTTTTGTACATGTGTGAATGATTGTGAAAAATGAATACGCGCGTTTTCCCAACGTTTATTGCCACGAAATTATACTGCGAGTTGAGGGGCAGCAAAAAACAGTGAGATGTAGCGATAAGTATAAAGTCTGTCATGCACAACTAGTGTAAAGAATTGAGAATGTGATGTTGGTGTGTTTGAACACAAACCAATAAACGATGGTGTTTCGTATAAAATTTATACTGTACGGAGTGTGTGAATAAAACACTGATGGTAACGTGTGTTTCGCACAATTATCTCTCTCCTCGCCTCGTTATGCACACGATACGAAATAAATTGGAACCATAAATGACCGTTGATTACGAGTCCTCCGCATGGACGATGGTGCTCTTTGACCCGCTGCGAGGACGAGTTTGTGGGCGGGAGAAAAAGGAGGAAAATCTTCATCGCTGTTGCACACACACACACCTCACAGATAATCAAGTCAATAATTACATTTCGAATAAAAACCGAAGATTCATTCCAACTTGTTGAAGAGGAGCTTAATTTCTTTCATTCCTCTTTCTCTATATCTCGTTTTTTTTTTACCCCCAGTTCGATCAGTTCCAAGTCCAGAGTGTGTATCTAATCTTTGTGGCCGATATTGATTCATCGAGTTGAATTGGTGAATTGCACAAGTTAAAGTCCGCAGAAGAATTTGTTATCAGCTACTTTGAGCGCGATTGATTGTAGCAAAATAGATTAAGTGAGGTTTTAAATGGGTTATTGCAAACCTCTTGAACTATGATCAAAAGAGTGATCTATTTATTGTTTAATTCTGCCTCGCGATTAGCATATATTTAACATATTTTATCCCGCATTCTTGTGTGCAGTAGATTTATTGAATGATCATGTGTTTCTTGAATTGAACACATCTCATAACCCAGCGAGCCTGGAAGAGCTAAAAAAAACAGTTAATTTAACTGAAAAGTGCTAAGAACCAAAAGAGAAATTAAATAGCTTTTTTCTTAGAAATCTCCAGAACTTTCTAAATTTTTCTGCTGTTTTTTGCTAATTAATTTGCTAAATTCATTGCTTTTTCCTGATGAAAACTTCCCAAGAAAACAGAAATTCAATTTTTATGGACTTCCTTTATCCGGTTTTTTGTATTTGTAGCCTTAGAACCTGTTAATCTCTCAATTTTGAGGTTATTTGCTTAGCGTTATTTATACAATAAACTTGAGTGTTGTAATCACGAAGTATATTATTAAAATTGCATGGTTTTACATGTCGCGATATCTGTGCATTTAAGTGCGCATCAGTACTTTGACTGTTTGCCGCTATGTTCGCTAATGCATCAATCGAATGGCTAAAATCTTAGCGAAAGAAAGCCAAACAATTAGCTTTTTACGTCTTAACGTTGAGATCTCAGCATTTTGTGCACGCTGGGAATACTCGAAGGTGTATTTTCAATTAATTCACCAGCTTTGTTTGCCAAAGAGAAACTTGAGAAGTTTTGTTCATTTGAAAATATTGAGCTCCATAAAATCAATTAAATAAAAATGAACAATTTAAATATATTCTACTTTTATAAAGTTAAGCGCTTTGTGCATTACAAAAAGCCATAACATTGTGCGAATTAAACTAATATCATTTGACTGGCTTAATGGCTTTTTGAAATTAAATTTATGCTCTTTATCAAAGTGCGCATTGTATCAAAATTTTATGTCATTTTGCCATGGCAGGAAATTTTCATGCAGAAAGTGGACAACAAAGGACACAAAGACAGTTTTTCCACTCCGCAAAATTACTCATTTGAGCCATTTTTTGGGGAATATTTTGCAGAATGGCTGATGAATGAAAAAGTGCCGCTTCTGCACTATCACTTTTGCATATATGAGCCAGACAAGGAACAGACAGCAAATCGCGAAAAATGGGACAGACTGCCACGTGATGTGGAGCATCATCGCCAGGACGCGTTGATAAGATGTGCAAAGAGTTGATTTTGAAGTGCAACTCAGCGAAAAAGTTGAATCATTTTAGACAAAATGACGGTGAGTAATTGTGGAGGAATTTCGCCTTGATGGCGTTGTGTGGAAAATTTCATGAATATATTGTGTTACTTTTTTGCCATGATGACATTAAGAAAGTGAATTTATTCCGAAAGTAGTTATTTATTCTCTACATTTCCGTTTTAATGCACTTTTGCATAAGCCAGGATTAAAGTTTCACGGCATCAATTTGCTTCCTCGCTTTCTCATGGCGAGGATTCTGGTCCAAATGGAAAGTGTCGAGAATTTTGCAGATTAGCCCAAAAGCGAAGAAATGCTATTTGGTTTAAGTATCATAAGAAAATATTTCTAGTAGTGTTAATTGGATTTGAATATGGAAACGTATTTTGGTGAAATAAAATGATCAATTTATTTGGTTAAGAAATGCAAGAGACAAATTGCATGAAAAATAGATTGAAATTGAATACACTAATTATGAAAATATGCGAGTGGGCGAGTGTGCTTGTTGCCAATTGAGATGGTAATTAAATTTAAATGAATTTATTAAAAATAAATTAATTTAAATTTCTGCAATATATTTTGATACTTCAACACAATATAGTAATTCAGTGAGAGATGTGAATAATTAATGATTCTAGAAGCTAAATTTTGACTATCAATTGTGCATCGGATTTAGCTTTTTAGCTTTACACTTTTCATACGAGATTTGATCATTAAATAAAGAGAAAAGAATCCATTGAACCCTCTAAAGGGGATTTTCCTGTTCTCTCGGCAAATCGCAAATGGTCCTTAAATATTTAAACTCAACAATAACCATTCGCTGCCACTTATTGTGCTTTTCGTCCGTGAAAATAAGTTCGATTTGGTATTATTTGTGCAGTACAAATCAATTATATTCGCACTCTCTGTACAACTTTAGTCCCTGCAGCGTTAATTGCGAAATTTCACAACGGATGGTGGTTGCAAAAAAATGAACACGATTTATAGAATATTCCAATTATGAATTTAACTCTCATGCTGGTGGAATCGCGCGATATATTGGGAGTCTTTTCAGCACAAAAAAAAATATTTCACGTGTTTTCCATTGAAAAGTTCTCTGTATTTTATCGATTTTGGGGAATTTTCTGTATGCCCGGGTGAAAAGGGTGAAAGAGTATCGCACTCAGTAGCAATATAATTGAATTTTATGGAAAACCTGAAAATAAATATTGATGCTTTCTCCGTGGAAATTAACAAATATCTCACTGAGTTTTTCCCGCCTCGCAAACACTTTTGCAAACATACATAGAAATTAAACTCCGCCTGTGAATCCCATCGTGGACGACATTCTCTTATTCACTCCTTTGAAGTGGGTGGAAAACAAGGTGGAAAATAATGAAGGTATTTCGGAGGAAAGGACAATTTCCTTTAATATGCAAAATCAAGGGTTTGCTAATATTGGGAATACAGCGTCACTTGACTCAATACAACAAAAAAACAGAAATTTTATCTTATTATTTCTTCAAAATTCATTTAGAAAATTATTGTACATAATTTTGAAAGAGTGGAAAACGAATTTCTCAGCTGAAAAGCTGTCAAATACCGCAATGAATAGACAATATTGCTTAGATACTTAATTTTCAATCTGATATTTACGGTTTTACACAAGGTTTTAAGTTGAAAACATTTGTGACACTGGAAAAACTTCATAATTTTTGCAAAATCGAGAATTTGTCACAATCCTAAAGCCGTAAAGTGTCCTTTAATCGTTCAGTATTAATAAGTTCTTCTTAAAGTTTACTACAATTTTCATTTTACACCAACAAAATACATTTTTCTTACAAAATCTTTTCCCAATCATTGTATTTTACACAGATTTTTCTCTTTAGTCACAGAATTTCTCTATGATTTTTCATCTTTTCTCTAAATTCCACACAGAATTCTCCGGTTCGTCATTTGGATCCTATGAAATTTTCTTCGAAATGACGAATTGAATCACTCAAAATCTATATTAGACAAACCTCTAATATAATAAATGTAATTAATATGTGAATTTCTCTCACAAAAGTTTATCTACTGTCTTCTTTTCTTCTTCTGATAAGTAAAATTTGCCTAAGAAGGTTATGTTTTACCCTTTTGTACGGAAATTTTGTTGGAAAAATAGTGTAATTAGTGATTTTTTGAAAGAAAAAAAATCTGGACTTTTGCTGAAAAGGTGAAACATGTTTCACGCAATTTAGCCCTACAAATTCAGCGCCATCTCTTGCATGCTGCGGGAGCAGGAAATGTCTTTTCAATCACACTATATTTTCCACCCACCCCAAAAGCGGGTTGAATGGGAAAATGACGCCGCCGAAGGGGGTTTACGTGGAGTTTGGGGAAAAAGCACTAATTGCAAATGTTGGGTAATTGGTCATTGGGTGGAAAGCGTGCGAAATTCGGTCTTCGTCTCGGTGGCGCTCTTCAAAATAAATAGCCCCAGAGAGCGAAGACTTATTTGCCAAATGTATTTATTGAATCGATTTGGACACTGTGTGCTCTTCACTGAAAATAATTTCAATTGGTCGGAGTCCTGGACGAAATGAGGTGTTTTGTATTCATTAGGCTTAACTCTCGTGATCCTGCACTGTGCCGCCCTGTGACGACTTTTCGCCGGGAGGGAATTAAAGAATAATAATTAAATTGTGAAGGAAGAAAGTTTTACCCGCCATGACAACAATGTGAAAAAGGATTTTCGTGCGGAGGAACATCTGCGGTATTGTCTTATCAGTCTCCTTTCTGTTTATCTAGAGTCTTCGACGGTGAACATCCCACCCCCTCGTGGCTCCTCAGCGATTCGCGGGGGAAGAATAAACATGACGAATATTTTTTTAATTCATTTTCCCTGCCCTTTTTATCGCACAATCTCGCTCAATTCGCCAGAGAGCGCGCGTATCTGCAAGTGATATCCTTCGAGCCTGTCCACAAATGCGTAAAAGCGAATTACTTCACTGTTCTCTTGAAATCCAATTATACTAATATTTCCCAATCAACATTCCGAATTTTTTTTCGAACACTGGACGTTTTTTTTGTGTGTTTGAAGCAAAGAGATAATCCAAATTGTGCATTTGGAAATTGGCAAATATTGACAAATTACATTTATACTTTTTTCATATACGAAAAATCTATATTCACTTTCATACAATAATCTCATATAATCCCTGATTTATCAGCAAAGAACATTAATTTTATAAATTAGCACGGAAGAGATCAAAAACACGAGTATTTAATTTATTAGCATGCTTTTACCGTGATATTTAGTAATTCAATTAAAAGTCAATGGAATGTAAAATGGATAAACAATTATCGGGCAAATGTTTCAACTAATATATTCTAGAAACGGGGAAAAAAAGGGGTTAAAGTCACCCCCAGTGTTCTGTAGAGTCCCCAAAGGCTTGGCTGTATTGTTATAATCTTTGCATAATGAAAAATTCGGCACAATATTTTCATTCCGATGAATAAAAATTAAATTCATGAGCGAAGCATTCTAAACATTCGCCTTGAGCTATGAGCATGAAAAAAATATATGAATGAGCAGCATTAAAGCCATGATTAAAGCCAATTTCATTTCAGTTTTGGAGTCTAAGCTCATGCACGATGGGAAATATATAATTTTGATAAAATATAGCATGAAATTTTTAAGTAGATTTTGACAATCATGAAGTCAATTCTGCACATTTTATGCTTGGTTTTTGGCACATTTCCCTCTGGAAGCGGCCAAAGCGCGCAGCGAGATGAGATTTCGGGTGTTTGAATAATGCATTGAGAGCAATTATCAGCATAAGTTGGTCTAAGGCTTTAGGATAAAGTTCTGGCGCAAATCGCGTGAAAAGCTCCGCGAGTTGAAACATTTAAAGGCGCGCAGAGAAGAAGAAAAAGGTGTGAAATTTTAATGAAATATCGCCTGCAATATAGTTTCAAATTGTGACACTCTTTGTGCAGTGTTTTGCCTCCTGGCAGGATGTGCGCATGCCTCGTCCTTCCGCATCCTTCAGACGTCTGGTCGGTGTCAAAAACATGGCCGCAAGAGGAGTGAAGTCCACTCGTCGCCACGACAAAAAGGCCCCAAATAAACCATTGCAGTTACAAGTGAAATTAATTGAATCCAAATAATGCTCTCCTGCAATCTCTGCCCTTTTTAGCGCCGCGCCCGTTCGCCAGGAGTCGCCGCGACGGTGTGATTTGCTGCTTTGACAGGAAGTTCCATGAATATCGTGGTGATTGTGAAAAGTTTTCCACTGCCAGAGTGTGTTGGAGGTGTTTGATTTCACAGTGAAGTTGGGAATCGTGACGAGTGGCGTGCTTGGCGAAAGAATTCAATAAGGACTCCTCATCCAAGTCTCTGGCTCCTGTCAATTCGTGCACATCCACACAAAGTGGGTGGGAATCAGTGCAGTTCACGATAGTTTTTTTTTCCCCGAGAATAGCTGCGACTCCCACTGACAGCCTGCCATGGCAGATTGCGTGAATTCCGTGTGACTTGACTTGGAAAATCACAAGTGAAAATAATGTACGTGAGCTCGAGTCCGCCGGGGCGAAAGAAACGCATCATCAAGAGGACGACATGGGGCTCCAGGGATCGTGCTGGCATGAGCTTTCTCATTGTCGTCGCCTTCTTTGCCATCTTCGGCATCATCATACTCACAGAGGTAACATCTCAACACACTGAGGCAAATGGCAATGAGCAATCTCAATTCTCACTTCAGGTATTCATGATTGACGACAGGAGTCGAACAGGTGGCTCTCTCCTGCGCCACGTAAGCCTGTCCAATCGATTAGGGGAGTCCATACCTGATTATGAGGACACAAAGGTAAATGAAATATTCATGCACAAGTTTTCTCTCTAAAATGTGACACAGTCATTTTCCACCAATTTCCTTCACGTCCGATCTCCTTTCACAATGTCATTCCCGGTGGGATTTGTCATGTGTCGAGTCCTTTTGTCCTCACGTGACGACTATTTTTAGCTTCTGCACGAGAGGGCAGGGAATTTTCTAAAATTGCACACAAGCAAGGGGGAGATAATGTGGCTCTGAAGATCCGCAATCTTGAGCTTGAAACCGTTCTAATCGATCTCCTTTGAGATACTTTTATTGCTATTTAATGACCATTAAGGTGACTTTTGATGTGTTGTACTGATTTTAGCCATATTATCTCTCCCTTGGAACACACTGGTTGAAATGGAAATTCTCGGGAAACTTTCCTGCAACAATTGGATAATAACATCTTGCTGTTTGTCAAATACAATTTGCTAATTTCATGCTTTCTTATCAGATACAGAAGTTGTGTGTTTGTGGGACAAATCTAACACACATTGTGAGTCACTTGAGGAGTTCATGTAACTTTGAGGCAATCTGCCAGATAACAGATAAGACTGCATGATAAGGAAACTTGTTTGTTTTCATGGCTTTTAATAGGGGGCAAAAATAACAGAATTAGTCTAGACGCCTTTTTGTAAAACGACACAGAGATCGATAAATTATGGAGTTGCATTTGAAGTTAATCTCTTTCGCGGAAGATTCAAGGAAGCAACAAATGCGGATAAAATTACAAAGCACGCTTTAGCAAAGAAAACTCACTTGCAATTACTTTGGCAAAGAAAGAAAAGTTAGTTCTGCGTGAATTTCTCGGAAGTCGTTTTGATTTAATTTAACGCAGAGATAGAAACATATTCTGGAGAAAGTTTCCCGTGCAATTTGTGCACTCGCTGTGAGTCTTGTGAGTTCCTTTAAAGGATTTATCACGGTATCTTGTTCCTATTAAGCTTGACTACAACTTCGAGGAGGCGTCGCTCTTCATGCGTGACAAGTTCGTGCGAGATCACTCGGGTGGGTTCCGCCTCAACGATCCCATCCTCTTTGACTCGGCCAACATCCAAGTGCCCATCCCTGTGGCGCCTGACGGCGAGGCGCGCGGCCACAACGCCGCCGCCGGCATCCACGCCATTCCCTGGGGTCAGCTGCTGGATCCCAAGATCGAGAAGACGCTGCCGCCGTATCCGCACGTCGGCAACGTCACCAGGACTCCTACGGATGGATCCTGGCAGGTGGTCAACGGCACGCGCTTCAAGTTCTTCGTCTTCTCTGCCTTCTACGACCGTCGCGATGCGCGCATGGTTCGCGTCGTGGGCGCCACGAAGACGCGCGGCCCGGAGAGGGTGTGGTGTCGCTTCTGGTATCCCACGGCGAACGGGACGCACCACTATTCGGCGACTGTGATGGCGCGCGTGAAGGTGATCCGGGAGAATTGGAATCTCAAGTACAGCGCCTGCTTCGTCATCTGCCCTCTGCGCGCCGCCAAGCTCAACGTGCCCCACGCCGTGAGCATCGTGGCGCGCCTGCGTCTTCCACCAGGCAATGTCCTGCTGCTGCGGAACACGGATCGCGACATTGACGCCAATCGCACGGCGACCAACGCAACGGAACTGGGCGTTTGCGTGAAGCCGCTGCACTTTAGCTACGACAAGGCTCTGTATCTGCTGGAGTTCCTCGAGCTCAACTCCATTCTGGGCGTGAGCCACTTCACCTTCTACAACCACACCATCGGACCAAAGGCCGCCTGCATCCTGAAGCACTACATGAACGGCGACATCCATCGGCTGCACGTGCGGAACAACCAAACGGTCGAGCGGCAGGTGACTGTGTCTCTCCTGCCGTGGAACCTGAAGATGCAGTCGCAGAAGGAGATCCGCACCGAGGGTCTCTTCGCGGCGCTCAACGACTGTCTCTACCGCAGCATGTACAGGCACACCCACGTGGCGCTCATCGACCTGGACGAGTACATCATCCCGCGGCACAACTACACGCTGACAGAATTGCTCGCTTGGCTCGCGAAGCGCATCAACGCTCGCAACACTGGAGCTTACTCATTCCAAAATGCCTTCTTCTACCTTCAATTCGCCGACGACGCCGTCGTCTATGACACCGAGACGCCCAACGCTGACTTCCGCGCCAGCTTGCTCACGCAGCGCAAGACGCGGCGGAGATCCAAGCTGCATCCGCAGAAGCAGCGCTCCAAGTACATCTGCCGCCCGGAGGTGGTGATTGAGGCGGGCAATCACTTCGTGTGGGAGTTCGTTCCGGGCCGCGGCACCCTCAACGTGCCCGCGGACTCCGCCATTCTGCAGCACTATCGCGTGTGCGAATTCGGCGGCGACGACTGCATCAAGACGCCCTCGATTGCTGACCGCACGGCGCACAAGTACAGTGCCAATCTTATCGATCGCGTCGCGTCGACTTACGCTCACCTCAAGGACACTTGCCACCTGTCCGACCTAGCGCCGCCACCCACTCGCCCACCGCCCACCAAGAAGCACACGCTCACGCTGAACAACGCGCCGCGAAACTCAACGAAGGGAAGCAAACCGCACTAAACGAACATGATCAGCGAGAGGACGAATTTCGAGGGGTACCTAATGACTTATCATTGAATGATAATCAAAATATTGCTTAGATTACTTGATGCTTAAAGTATTTTCATTGGGATTTTCATGTTCTGCAGGGAGATAGACGTTCGTGGTGTTTGGGTACCGCCTTTGAATTCAATCAAGGACATTTGGCACAATTTAGCATGAAATTAAGGGGGAGACAATATGGCTCAATAAGTGGTGTACAGCTTAGCAGGAGTGTTTGCAATTCTCCTTTCTTAAACACTGGATTTGTTTAGAGTTCAAGAAATCTACTTCCTGAATTCTACTTCCAGATTAAGCCATATTGTCTCCGCCTTGAGTGAAATCCAGTGCCCTTTTCACGCAGAGATATTAATAAAATAACATTGAATTGTATACCTTCGTAGGAAGAATTCAAGTGGACAGAACAATGATGATACCAAGGATGAAAGTGTCAAAGGGAATCGCCTAAAATGTTAAGGGTTGAAAGTGACTGGCAAAAGGCGAGGGAGGAAGAGTGGAGAAGGAGCAAGAAAATTGCTGTATCAAATACAATTCCCACCCACAGAAATGCCGTGCGAGAACGTTTTTGAGGGAATTGAATAAATTGGTAATAAATTGGAGTGCCAAAGAAAATTGAATGAGTGAGAGAGAGAGTGATCTTCTTCCCGTGCTCATTTTCACATCAGAATTTGTGGGTTCAGAGTTTGAGTGGGAAAATTCTGGTGAAAATCACATAAATGGATGAACACAGAAAATCCCCATTTTGCCTCCCAAACCCCCAAAAAATAAAAACAACACAGAAAACTGAGTGAGCGGAGTGGAAAAACAATGGCTTTTCTGGCTCAAAAATGGCTTAATAAAATTGAAAATCTCTCCTTGTTCAGTGGAAGAAGAAGCAGAAAAAAAGAGTTGATTTAGTTTAGGAGAAAACATAGCTGATGAAATGAAAATAAGTAGATTCGCCATTCATGTTGGTTGGAATGCAAAACTTCCAAAATAATCACATGGAGGAAAATTAGCGTGAAAATTGCTTGAATAGACCGCTCTCGACTATTCCAAAGGAGAGATGAAAATAACAATTCTCCGAGTAAAATCATCTGTTCCCATTGAAGATGAAATTAGACATTTAACAATTATGATATTATTTTGTGGAATTCAACAGGAATAATTATTATTATGCTTTAGAGTGACCAAAAGGAGCATTAAACATAGCGGCGCATGTTTGTTTATTTGACTTCCCCAAACCTATTTTTTAAATACGGAAACCATATCAGAATAAAGAGCGAATAAAGGAAATGATTTTCTTACTTTACCTTTACACACACACACACACACAGACATTTTTCCTCTTCTGTAAATTCACACAGTGATTTATAGATCTTTAATAAATAAAGTGATTTTATTTTCATTAATAACTCTCGTCTGTTTCTCTGCTTTTGTCCAGGTGATTGATTTGATTTTTTTTCTCTGTGTTGGGAAACGAAGGAGCAATTATTTTTAATTAGGCGGGAAGTCTTTGAATAAAATTGACACGTCTTGATATATGACATTAACTCAATCAGCTCTGCGAGGGTGGATTTTTCGGGCAGAAGAGAAGAGAATAAAAAGAGTGTGATGCCACAAAAGCGAGTAAGTATTATTGAGATTCATCAGGAAAATGAAGAAGTTAGTTAATTTGACTTAATAGAATTTTCCTTGTTCCCTCTTTTCCTGATCCCTCTTCGACACACGCCGCCTTCTGTTTCCCAAATTAGCACACGCAGAACATTCGGCAGATGCCATGAGAATCAAGGGGTGAACAAATCCCTCAATAAAGCCACATCTTCGCCAATAAATGTCAAAATCATCCCACAACACGAGAATTAGTTAACACGCAGAGAAAATGGACAAAGATGGTCATTATTTCATGATTTGACTTCCCAAGAAAGTGAAGAAATAATTGTTCTTCCACAGAAGATTAAACAATTCTTTCCGATTTGCAAGAAGATTGCCAAAATATCTATTGAGGTGATCTGGCCAATTATTTTCCTATACATATCTTTCTATTTCTACATAATATACAGAGAATAATGCAAACTTTTGACTTTCTATGACACTAGAGAGAAAACTATTCCAATTTTTAGTCCATTAGGTATAGTTTCATTATAAGAAGAAAAAACACCGGAGAACTGAAAATGACTTTATTGCACAAGTTATTCTGCTTCCCAGAAACCTCGTGAACAAGAAACTCCGACATTCTGAAAATATCTTCGTAGATTCTGTTGATAATTTGTTGACAAATTGCAATTTAACACAAGTTTCATGAGTAAAATATCGCTGCACATGAGAAGAAATCAATATTTTATCCTGATATCTCTTCAAAATTTAATTATAGAATTATTGTGGACAATTTTTTCAACAGCGAAAAGTGAATTTCTCAGATGAAAAGCTTGTAAACTTAATGTTTAATCGGATATTAAACGTTTTACGCAAGGTATTATGATAAAAACGAAAGTGGAACTAGAAAAACCGCCCAGTTTATCTAAAAAAAAGAACTAAAAATGCCCTTTAATTGTTCAATATTAATAAGTTCTTCTTAAACTGTACCTCAAAATTTTTCTTCCACGCACAAAATACATTGTGCGGAGACACAAGATGCTGGTGTCATTCAAAATCTATATTAGCAACCCCTTGATAAGTATTTAATATAGATTTTATGAAGGGTTGGCGAATGCAGAATCTCTCATTGGAATTTTTACCTACAAATGCGTTTAACAATAATCCAAATTTCCATTTATACAGCAGTTTCCGGCCAAAATTGAACAATGCAGCAAAAATGTTACAATTTCGCATGCAATATTCTGTAATTTGAGTTGCCAATAAATAAGATTCCTCTGGCAAGTGTAAGCGAAAACTTTGAGAATGGATGGGAAAGTGAATTTTCTTCCCTGCCGCACAACTATTTGCAAAGACAAATTTGGGGAAATTGGGTCAGTGTGGCTCGTTTGGCTTCCCCAAGCTATTCAACTTTCGGAATTCCATTCAGGGAATTCTGTGTCATAATTGAGTGAATTTGCAGTTGGAATCTAACATTGAAATCCTTGCAATGTTTCTCTCTATCGCTCCTGTGCTATCAATAATTCAGTGTGAAAGGCTCTTTTGCCCAAAATCTGTCCTCTGTAAATTTCCAATGGCCCTCAATTGTCATCGTGATGGGCAGAATGGGAAATCAATAATCAATTGATGCGATGCTACAAGACAAGAACGCCGCACAATCGATTATTAAAATCACTTTTATAGACAAAAGACTTGTGCGTGATTGAAAAGTTGGGTAAAAGCTGGTGCTTTTCAACGCCAAATACAGCTGAGTTTATAATGCAGAAGACACAATATGTTGTTCTTCTGTTAACTTTTTAGGATACACAGTAACTTTAAACAAAGACATTCCCCGGAAAGGCACGAAAAATAAGCAGAATAGCGACAAACGGAGGCATAAAGAGACGTGCAGCAATGGGGCGAACAAATAACACTTAAAGCGACTCATGAATCTCTGAATATCAACACAAAAGGAGTTTTGCTTTGAGAACAAGAATTCTGAACAATTCATTCACAATCAAGGCCAAGAACCAGGAATTTTCTCACCTTTTCTTGCTGAAGATGGCAAAGAATAGAAGAACTATTAAATATTATTTAGCCAATAAAAGGTTTGCATTACTAAAAAGACTCCTCGAAAGCTTTCTTATGTTTATTTCTAACTTATCTCAATCTGATCCGAGTTTTTCCGTCTCAAGAGGTTAAAGCTTTTAAATTTCTTAGATTTAAGATCTAAAAAGTGATCGTAATGTCCCAGGATTTGATTATGAACAATTTCTGTCTTGATTTTCTATTTTTGGCTTCGGAAAATGCTTAGAAAACTTCTGATCAAATTGTGAGATTATGAAACAGGCTTAGAAAAAATAGCAACATGAAGTTTTTGAACTTTCTGCACTTTAATTAAATAATAAAAAAAATGCTTTTGCTTTAAGTTTCAGCTCAATTGAGCGCAAAAAGCACCCAATAATTGCACTGAGCCACCCTTAAAATAGAGACAAATGCACGTCACAATATAGAATTGTGCTCTCGACGTCTTTCGTGTTTGCAAGCAAAAAGGCAATTTTCCCCCTTCGGTCACCCTTTCTCTGCCATAAAAGAATTTGTGGCTTATTCTTGGGAAGCTCTTCGGCGTCCGCTTTTTTGTCCACATTCCTGACCCGGAATATGCACAATGAAATACGATAGTTCTCCTGGTTGCTGCTCTTCCATTCGCCAACCCGGAAGTGGCACAGGAAATTTTTGCCACTTAATAGCACCTCGTGTTCCCACTTAAATGGATATTTATTTGATTAGTTCTCCGTGTGTGTGTGTGAATTTTGACTGTGATTCTAATGTAGCACGGAAAGTTTGCACCTGAGCTTTCAAACTTGCCCACTTGTAAACACACAGCATATAATTTCGGCTGCAGGAATTTTAATCTGCCGCGGGAAGAGAGATGTAAAAGGAAATTTATAGCGCTGTCGTTGTGGTGAAAAATGAAAAGAATTAGCTCTCTGTTTGGGGGATCAGAGAGAGAGAGAGAGAGCGAAAAAAAAGTTGCAACATAACTTGGGAAAGGAGGGTGGCGGAAATTTCGCGGATACCATTCTTTTGCCTCCCCTTTTCTTCACCCACGCGCGCGTCAATGTGAGAGTATCGGGGGATAAATTATTCCAATCCTCTCTCTCGCATGGAAGTAAAGTTTCCAAAGTTATAAATTTATTATTAACGCGATACTTTTAATGCATTTACTACGGCTTACAACTTGGCAGGATTTAAAACGTGGTCGAAATAAATAAAATATGCACTGTCACGAAGAGTTGCAAGACCCTTTTTTCCCACATAAATTATAGCGATATTTTCTTTTAATACTTTTAGATTAAAAGAAAATATCATAACATTAGAGATCCTTCTAATCTCTCCCATAATTATATTGCCTCTCCTTAAACGATTCAAACACATTTCTCAGAATCTCAAGAGCTATTAAACGTGGCATGAAAGCATTTGAAGCGTTTTGGATATGAAAACAGCACTAAAATCAAGCTGAAATCTCAAAACTTAGGTTCACAACTGCAATTTTGAACTAAAATACATTAAGAACGTTAAATGAATTCAAAAATATCAGTAAGAAAAGATATTTAATTTAGCATTTTTACGCAAGATAACATTTCTGAAAAAGATATTCAACAGAATTCATTTTTTAGAAAGAATGTTAACACAGAACAATTTCCCAGCTTTTTACCTGACCTTTCTTCACATGAGGCTGAAGATGTTTTTTGAACCTTGTTTTGAACTGTCTAGAATTTTAAGTGTCCTGCAGCTCTAGATGTTAAGGAGGAGAGTCTAAGGATGGCTTCTCTGGGCCGTGAATGACACAGTTTGCTTACCCTTTTGCGTATTAAGGTAAAAGGTTTATGACAATTGACCTTATGCCATAAAACTCCTCCCCAGAAGAATCCCCAAAGGCGTTCTGGGCAATATAAAAAATTGGAAAATGATTGCCTTTGACAAAAATGTAGGGAAACCCGTCTGACGATGTGGCCTCACACCCCTAACACCCCGAACAGACTGGGCTTTTTACATTGATTACACAGACCCGGGACTTTTTTACGCCCTTACGGGACCTTTTTTCCCAAAATGCCTATTTCGGCCAATTTTTGCTCGGGAAGATCGCGGAAAACGATCAGATCACCTTCGCTCTGCACTTATTTAACGTTTCATAGGAATTTTTACCGTGAAAATTCTCATTTTCGTGAAAAACATGTTAATATACTCAGCTGTGTGGCAGAGTGAAAAAGAGAATCGACACTGTAGGGTGCCTTTTTCAAGTGTCGTCACAGCTCGGGTGATTAGCACAGCCGCTCGGCACTCGTCGGACTGTTCTACTCTTGTGCCAATGTGTTTGAACGTCACTCCGAGGCCAATATTTTGGAAATTGGCAAGAAATATTTAGTTTTTCGTGAAATGTGTGAGCAAGACGTGAAGAATATAGCAGAGAAGTGAGAGTGGAAGATGTTTCCGGATAAAAAGCTGCATCTTCTGCGAAGGATTAGTGATAAAGGCCGGTCAACTGCAAGGCGAGTTGCAGAAGATGAGCTCAGAGAGAAATTGCCGAAGAATGTCTTCTGTGCGCATATTCTTCAGCATTACGCCAATGAATTGTTGACAAACTGAAATAGGACGATTTCTGGAGGAAAAGAATCACTGTGAACTGATTTAGAAACAACACGAGAACACGCGGTAGACGCTGAGCGAGCCATCAGATATTGAGAGCGAGCCTAATCATCAGTTTTTATCAGGAAATCCTTCGTCCCGAATTAAAATTTACGGTGAGTAATTAAAATCAAATTAAATCATGATTAGAAGTTAATGATTATGATATTTTCAGGGGATTTCTTCCAAGATCTATCCAGAATATTGCAGTACCAGTTCACCTTCTGTACTTTCCTGGACCAAAAGACGCCGCGAATAAAGATCAACGCTTTTTGATTGAGTTTAATTCAACCTGATTCCCGGCTCTAGATCTCGCTGACGCTCTCGCTAGCGTTTACTCGGAATATTCACCATTCGTGGTATTAAATACGGAACTAACAATGCAATGAGTCGCGACCTTTATATTTTTTTAGCGAAATTATCTCAAAAATTTGGTAAGAATTGACACCAAAAACTTCCATATAAAATAATGCTTATGATTTTGAATAATTTTAATTTTGTGGGAAAAGAGAGAAATAAAAACCTTGCATAAAATGCACTTTAAATTTGTGTTTTTTTGGGCTATGACGGAGAATGAAATAGTTAATTTGAGATATTTTATGTCGATTTCCGCGATACTTTGCTGTCTGCAAAGTATAACTGAGTAATTGCCGATAGCGCCGCGTTTAGCATTAAAATCGGCGCTGTCTGCTTAACTGTAGCACAGAAGCACGGAAGCTCAAAAGCGTTAGAGCAAAAAAGGGTCTTAGAGCGAGTGCCCTAGAGAGAAGTCCCCGCTCGAAAAAAGTCCCTCAACTGTTATAAAGGTTGAGTCTGTTCGGCGTGTAAAGAGAACGCATCCAGAGTGAATCCTCAGTGGCTTTGTACAATTCACCCTCCGGAGGAATGATTCCTGTCACCGAAATATTGACCCATGAACTCGATAACAGATCGATTACTGGCTACAAGTCAAAGGACCTCTTCTCATGTCCAACATCCAAACCCTTATCTTCGTGTGTTCTGGAGGGTGGAACAGGAGGGATGGTTTGCTTAGCATTAAATATTGATTTCTTTTGTCTCTTGACTTCTCTCTGGTCAGCGATGAGGAAAAAAAGGAGTTGTTTACAAAATTTCTCCGCATTCATTTCAACTCCTTTTCTGCCGTGCGCCAAGAGGAGGAGGAATTAGCAAAATCCCTGGGATCGCTGGTGAGTTGTGGGCGAAGAACCCCATTTGAAATTGAGAGAGAGAAAAAAGTTCAATGAGGAGCACTTTTTGCAAGGGTTTTGGAGAAAAAGAGAGAGAATTTATTGAAGAGAACGTAATTGAAATTGTCATTCTCTTTAGTGCATAATTTAAATGTAAATCCAAGCATTTTAGTTGTGATTTCTCTTCACAATTTACATTCAGATTTAATAATCATTTGTTGGACTTTCATCTTTGTCTCCTCAATCTTGTGCTCGCCTTCATCCCCCCGTCTTTCATCGCGACAGCAGCAGAAGGACGAAAAAAAATCCATCACATCGTGAAAAGCTCTGGTAAGTAGAATATTGTGAAACAAACATGTCTTTGTCTTCTTTATTCCCTGACATTTTTTTTATCATTGCAATATCACATGGAAATAAATTAAATTCACCCTAGAATCTCTTTACTTTTTGCTTCCTCTTCCACCTCTTGTCGCTCGACCGTGGCTTTATAAGAAATTGTAAGCAAAGAAAGAGTTTTGATGTTGTTTCATTCTCTAAATGACTGAATTTTGATTGCCTCTGATAGCTTCTCGGAATTGTATGAAAAATGTATAAGGCTCAGATAATGCGGAATGCCTTTTCAGACATGAACTCTGTCTTCATTGTGGAAGCAACAATTCATCATCTCAGCGATAATAAAATTCATGATCCCGACTTTCTCCGATAAAATATCATTAGAAGACAATTTTTCAAACTATCAATTGACGTCAGTGAAGTAAAACCGGTGAATTCTTACGAAATTTTGCCAATTTACCAAGGAAATTAAGGTAAGTCATCGTCAAATGAAGGAACTAAAGGTCTAAGATAATTGTATGATTGAATATTGAGATTATGACAATCGAGAAACTCCAGAAAGGAAGCAGAATGTCCATCCAGCAATGAACGGGCTTTAAAGAACGTCTGGGCGCATTTATATACTACATTCTTGGACAGATTTTGGGCCAGAAAAGACGATTTTTGTGCCGATTTGAGGCTTCGAATAAGCGCTTCCGACATCCAGAAACTTCCAGATTCAGGACAGACGGCGCTGCAGAGATCATCTTGGCATATCTGGACAATGAGACTTCGGAAGAAGCTTTGGAAGCAACCGTGAAGCCCTTTAGAATGATCACAACGCTCTAAAAGGGGCGCAAAGAATGTAATCCTTTATAATATATTGTACATCCTGTACAAAATAATTCATTCTAGGCAGAATTTTTTGCCTTCTTCCCATTCTGATGTACTTAAATATCATAAGAGAGCAATATTTGGCATATAATCCAGAGCAGTGAAGAATTTCCGCGAGATTTTAACGTGTAAAATATAGTTTTAAAACTGCAAAAGCAATTGATATTTTTTCACCATGTAAAGACACAACATTGTTCAGAATTGATCCTTAATTTGAGACAATTTAAGGCTTTGTTACATGATTTTAAATACTTTTTATCCTCTAAAGTGCTTTTTTTAATTTCTTTAAACATTTAAAGTATATTAAAATTGCAATTTGAGTCTTTATTGCTGTTCATTATGTTTCTCACTGCAAAAGTTAGATTTAGCATCAATATAAATTAAGAAAAAAAACTACAAATTCCAATGATTTATTTTATTGACAGTCACAATAAAACATTGCATTAAAATGTCATAAACATAAAGTGAAAGTTCACGCAAATTCAGCAAATTTCCACTTGTATTCCTCAATAGTGCGTCTGAATTTTACACAAAATTCCTGTAATTTATGCTAAATAGTTATGAATTGCACACACTCCAATGTGATGAAGTGCATTTTATTATGTCATTGGCTCCAAAAGTGACCCAGAGGGATTTATCACGTGTTAATGGCTTAAAATGAAACACTCAATATGCATCTATCTGGACTAATTAATCTTCTGCCATCAAGCTTTCAATTTTAGTCATTTATGCGGCCAATACAATTTCACTTAATGTTCCATTTTTGCACGACCGTCAATTTCTGAATTTCACTTCTTCAGCACATTCATTGTGGAGACGATGAAAGGGCTCCAAATCCACCCCGCGTGGCAAACATTATCATATCTGAAGCGACACGTAACGAGAATATACTAAGAATCTTAAGTCTGTTACACACTCCATTAGAAATACATGAATTTAGAGAGGAGAAAAAAAAATATTAAAAGTGAAAAGTGTGCGAACATGGGATAAAAAGAGTGAATAATGAGATTTATTATGAGAAAAATTCGTTACCTCTTGCTGTTTTTCCCCTCTGTTAAGTTTTCTTCTCATCGCTCTCCTCTCGAGTCTCCACTGCAAACCTTCGCGCCGCATAGAGAGAGCCTCCGTGGAAATTTAATAAGATATAGGCCTCCAACTTGCGCTCGGGTAATGAAATCATCACAACTCTAAATAAATCTTGCGCTTTCCCTCTCCATCATCTTCTGCACGACGGTTCGCGTGAGGAATACCTTAATCTTATTTTGATTCTGTCGGAGTCACTTCATCACTGCCCGGAAAGTCATCATCGTCTATTTGATCCCACTCGCCGTTGCCGTGCAAGTTTTCATTGGGCTGTTTGCCTTGTCGACACTCTTCTTTCAATTGTCCCAGCGCCGGAAGACTCTGAGGATGAACAGGTGTTATCGGTCAAGAGCTTTGGCAGAGATGCTGAATATTCCAATTAGGATATTTTCAAACTTGTGGCGAAATCACTTCAATTTATTATAATCAAAATATGAATCATCAGAACATAAATCACACAGTCCAACAATGGTATTTGCTTTTGGATGATTCTTGGACAATTGTACACCCATCGGGCCCTGAGTAAAACCCCAGGAAAGTTTATAACTGGTTCGGGTTGCGGAGGAATTATCTTTTTGTTTTTTTTTGAAATATTCCGCAAAGACAGGCCAAAATTTCCCAAACTCCTCATCCGATCTCAAAAAGTGACACAGATTTAGAAAGCTGATTTCATTGGCTACAACACTCTGGAACATGCCAAGATCGCGAAAAATACTCCAGAGGGTCAAAATGATCACAATTCCCAGAGAGGCACAAAAAAAGTGTTTTTTTTCGGGTGTTTAAAAAATCACATAAAATACCCCGCGAATGGCATAAATTCGCGATATGCTTGAAGTTTTGTAGAGAATTTCACGGCAAACATTTCCGCCATATACCACTTTTCTCTCCGAGATCCTCAATTCGAGATATTAGCATTTTCCCCCTTTTCAATCCGCCTCATCATACACTAAGAAAAATACAAAAATGTTCGAAAATCACTTTCGAAGGATAAATTTGTGTTTTTATTCCACTATTCCTAACTTATTACAATATTCCTGCAAATATTACAGATATTCCTGCCCAAACGTGTCCATAGTCCGAGCTTGCGTATCCCTAGTCGGGGACATAACGTCTGGCTGAATTGTAGTTTAAAGTCATCAGCTTTCCTCTCGTCGATCGACGAGACTTTAGATTATCTTTTGAAATACACAAACTGTTACACAGCATATGCTGCGCGTCGAGTGCATTTTGCACGAAACTCAATCGACAAATCTTGCGATTGTCCCGAGACTGTCGGCACATGTCGCCCAGTGGGCGCTGCACTGCCAAACATAACCTCTCGTCTGATGGTGAAGGTCTTGCGGAAATTTTGGCTTTTCCTTATTTTCCACGTTATTTTTAATGAAATTGCTGCGTCGCACTTTCAGCACATTCAGAATGGCGTGCAGTCGATACGAGTATGTGAAGCAGTTTGAGCTGGATGACAAAATATTGCCAAATACGTGGATTGTTGTGCGGGTGGACGGAAAGGGATTCCACAAATTCGCCAATATTCACAACTTTGAGAAGCCCAACGACGTCCGGGGTGAGTATCCAGGGTGGTTGCTGAAGGTGGGGCTCGTTTTCTCACAGTGTCACTCATTGCAGCTCTCAATCTGATGAATTATGCCGCTGTGACTGTGATGCAGGAGTTCCGGGACATCGTGATCGGCTTTGGCCAGAGCGACGAGTACTCGTTTGTGTTCAGGAAAAGCACAGAGATCTACAAGAGACGCTGCGCGAAGATCATGTCCATGGTCACGAGTCTCTTCACCAGTGCCTTCGTCCTCAATTGGACCAGATTCTTCCCTGACAATCGGCTGCACTACGCGCCGTGCTTCGACGGACGAATTGTGCTGTATCCCAGCGACGAGAACCTGCGCGACTACCTGTCCTGGCGCCAGGCGGACGTGCACGTGAACAATCTGTACAACACAGCCTTCTGGAATCTCGTGCTGCGCGACAATCTGACCAATTCCGCGGCCGAGGAGAGACTCAGAGGCACCATGGCGGCGGAGAAGAATGAGCTGCTGTTCCAGCGCTTCAAGATCAACTACAACAACGAGCCGGCGATCTTCCGGAAGGGCACAGTGCTGCTGCGGAAGCGCGTCCACGCGGAGAAGATCGACCTGAAGCGACAGCTGATTGTGCCACAGCACATCGACCTGATCAAGGACAGCTTCTGGTCAGAGAACTGGGAATTGCTGGACACAAAGGGCGCCGGTGGCGACGTTTTCCACCTCAAGGACAAGGATCTGCCGCTTCTCATGCAGCTGCAGCTGTCTGGCCGAGGCCACGAGGCGGGCAATTGACAATCTCTGGACTTTCTCTTTAAATATAAACTGTTATCTTTACTTTCTTTTTTGTCTCAATACAATTGCATTTAAATGTTTCAGAAACAGGACGTCTGGCGTCTCAGACACACTATCGTTCATCATCATCCAGTGAAAAAGAGCCCGGATCTTGAGAACAAGAGTCCCGGAACACGGGGAAGTACAATTTGTGGAGTCAATTCTCTCTCATCTCGCGCCGAAAGCATTTTTTTTTCTTTTTTGGGATCTCTTCTCTTGCAGGAAACAATCAATCAATAATAATAATAATCTGCACGCGGAGGGAATATTTACAACAAACTTCATCGGGGGAATTTTTGGGGGGTTGTCTGACGGGGAATTTGCTAATATTCGCGCGGGGGGAAAAGAGTGTGTGTGTTTGTGGCATTGTCTAAGAATAAAAAAGCTCCTTTTCTCTGGTCACAACTGCAAAACTGCCGCCTGAGGTGGAATTTACCACTTCTTCTTGTGCTCGTCCATCGACACGCCGCCCGGACCGAGAGACACGATCATCAGGAGGCCTCCAATGACAGAGAGAGTCTGCAAGAGCGACAGGAAGTCAGCTAAACTCACAGAAGCGCAAACTTAACACGAAAATAGCAAAACTTTAGTAGTAAAATCTAAGTTAACTGACTGAAATCAAGTCTTTTGGCTGACAATCGTCTTCTTGACCCCACAATTCTCGGGCGATCGATCGCCGGAGTGCAGGAGAAACTCACCTGGAAGAAGTCGTACTTGAGGAAGTCCCTGAGCGGCTTGTACGACGGCACAGCCCACCAGGCGTTGTGATAGAGATTGAGGAACGTGAGCAGAGCCACGAGGATCAGCGCCGACAGCTTCGTCTTGTACCCAATGGTCACCAGCACCATGAGAATGGAGCCCACGATGTCCTGGAGGATCTGCAGGAAGCTGACCTCGAAGCGGATCAGCGTGAGAAACATGAAAGCCAGCAGCACTCGTCCCGCGAGCTGCATCCAGTTCTTGGGCTTGTTCTCGCCCAGCGACGGCACGCCGGCGAACAGGCTGCGCCCCTCCACGCGCGACTCCGCCACCACGAGCAGCAGCGCGCCGATGAGCGCCAGGTTGCGCAGCAGGAACTGCAGGTCCCACAGTATTGAGTACGCTATTGTCTGTGCGGAAGAAGAATCGGGAATTAGCCACTGAACACTCGCTTATCGCCGCACAGCGAAAGCTCATCACTTTCCCTGATAATGAGGCTAACGGAGGCTCCAATTCATAAATCACACACGTAATTTCGCGTAACGTGGCTCTGATTTTCCTCACTAGACTCCACTTATTGGGTTTATTGCACTTTTTCCGAGTAATCTCACGCTCGGAGTTCATCAGTTCCAGCAGAATGTTGGGCATTGGCAATATTGGGAATAGAATTTAACTTATGTTGAGTTAAGAAACTGGTAAAACTGGTTTTTGGACTCAAAATCGGAGTAGGCATTGTTATTTTTAACACTTTTTCGGGAAATATATGGAAAAGAAGGCGCTGAACTCGAGTCAATATAATTCTTGACAGGGGAAAAAAAAGGACTTTCAAGTGGCCATAAAATGCTGATAATTTGCAGTTTTAAAACTGTGCCAAAATTCAATTGAAATATTTTTTTTTTACCCCCCAAAAAAAGTGAAAGTCATTCTTCAAGTGTTGCGAACAAAAAGCCACAGTAAATCTCATCCAAAGGTCAATGCTTTGGGGACACAAGAAGCGATTTGTGGCACTGCGAGTGGGATTATCTGGATCCTCTTTTTCTTTACCTGGAGGACGACGATGAAGAAGAGAATTCCGCAGGCGATTGTCACCCTGAATCGCGCCAGGACCATCACACAGCCGCCAATCTGTCCCACAAGATTCACGAACACGAACACCGTGGCCAGGAAGTAGCCGCAGCCCCAGCTCATGTTCATGTACTCGCGCTGCTCCGACCACTGCACCCACATGCGGATGCCGTCCTCCAGGAATGTCGCGATGAGACACAACCGCGCCACGGGCGGCAGAATGTGCTTCCCTCGGCGGATCACCTGGAAGAAAAGGGGGCGCAAAAGAAAGTGTCACTCAGTCCCGTTAGTCCTCTGAATGCGGGACATTCCGCCGTCCTGCGGAGGCCGCGCAGTGGCCAGGCATTGGCCAGCGCCGCGAGCGAGCCTCCAACAGATGACGTTGACACGTTGCGTGTGTGCCAAATCAACGTGAAAAATGCCCTTTCGATCGCGCGAGTTCAGCTGTTATCGCGGATATTTGGGTGCTGTGTTGGAGCAGCTATTTTTACCTGATCCGCCACATCTTCCGTCTTTGAGATGTACTCATTTGGAATATTCATCTTCTCGCCTCGGTCGCCACACTAATTACACTACAATTTGTCCAACAATCACGCGGGAAAACACACAATTTCACGAGGAGGTCCGGCTGTACGCTCTGAACGCCGATCACGGCACAAAATCTCTCCAGAAAAGTGATGTGGAATTGCCAACATAACCTCAAACGCGACTTCCGCTCAGGAGAAAGTCCGCCGTCAATTCTCAACTTTCACGCTGTTTTTCCCACACAAGTGATGCGAAATAATATTTAAGCACACTTTGAGGTGTGATTTTTGTGAAATATTTGGGAAATACAGAGATTTTCGCGTTCGGAAAAGTGCGTTCAAAAAGAGCGCCATTCATTTTGACAACAACTACGTGAGTCATTTCAGTGGCATGCAAGTAATTGCCTCTGGCAATAAAAGTGGCGAGAGGAAAGGATAAACAGAACGCTTATTTCGGTGAATTCTCTGGGAAATACTGAAAAATACACCACAAATTCGTGAAATATACATTTAAGAAGAACTTCTCCTGCCAACACAGTGTTTAACGTAGTTATTTGATACAAAACAGGGTGGAAGAATGATTGAAATCACCTGCAATGACAGATTGGGCAAAAAGGTAAACAAACGATTGGAAAACATTTTACATTTTCCTTCTTTTCACGCGGGATTTTTCTGTGATTTTTCACAGGTGAGGGTGAAATGCAATCCGGACGACACCATAGGGGATCTCAAGAAGCTGATTGCCGCCCAGACTGGCACAAAGTATGACAAAATCGTCCTCAAGAAGTGGTATACAATCTTCAAGGATCACATAAGGCTAATTGACTGTGAGTTCCTTTTTCCTGTGCGAATATTGCTGCATTTTCTCACAGATTGTCCTCTTCTCCACAGATGAAATTCACGACGGCATGAATCTTGAGCTCTACTATCAGTGAAGAACGAAGATTGAAGAATATTTTGTGGCTTTTTGGAATAAACATTTCACTATGATAAAGATCTAAATTGAAGTCCTTTTTTTGCCAGAATTCCCGGGGAAGATAAGTTTTCAATCTACTGCTGAGATTCAATGATTTCTGGAGATCATCGGTGTTTTTTTTTCTCTCTCGCTGTGGAATTTCCTCAAGTCTGTGACTCAATTAATTCCCATGAAGATTGTGACACAGAATAACGTTGTCCGCCTTAATTTATAGGCATTTAGAGTTGAACAAAATGCTTTGACACTTCCTTCGCACCTCTTTTGTGGCCAGAATTGACCTGTGCGGGAAGTGTCTCACACCAAATGACCCGCCCTGAGATTTATTTCATCTGCGGCGCCAGACAATTTCCGAGCGGAGAGCGCTTCTCATCCCTGGAGGACTCTCTCTCGTGTTGGGGAGTTGGAGATGAGCCGATTTGAATACACAAATTGACTATTGGAGGGAAAAGCCATTTGGATTTTCACACCCACTCCGGATCTCTCAGTCTTTGACTGCTGAATGTGCGCCGAGTCCAACTCCCTGAGCTGATCACTATTCATGGGCTGGGAATCATGTCGTGATGTGGCACGGAATTCACACATTTGCTCCGCATTTGGGGGGACAAAATACCACCGCAATTCCGCTCTCTCTCTCCAGCTCATCAGCTTTTCACGCACATTTCCAATATTGACTGCCGAAGGCGGTGGAAAATTTTCCAATCGAAGAGAGCTTTATTAGAATTTAAAAGACTCTGCGATGAAAATACGGTGCTTTTATTTACCTTTTATGCGATCGATATATTTATTGCTTTCCAAAAAGTGTGAAGAAGAAATTGAGGGGTGAACAACTGTGCCGCTTGAGCGCCGATTTGATGATTTTTAAGGCGCTCATGAATGCAAATCTTATCCAAATGCCTTGTCCGGTTGCTGAAATACTGGCGCTCAAAGTTAATTCAATATGGCGGTGTCACTGATGACGTCACAGACCAATGGTGAATGTAGCTTACTAAAGGGCGTCGAGACACGTCTTTTAGTGAAGAGATAATCAAAATCGGTTAGAAAACAGCCGAGATATTGGTCGGTAAAGGTGTGAACTTTAACCCTCCATATCTCCCCTCCAATAATTTCAATCCCCACAAATAGGCGTTCGTTGGAAAGATCTCGATCTCAGCTCCAACATACTGAAATTTAAAGAAAATACACACTCTGGTTTTTGAGATATTTGGTTTTAAAATTTTGAAAATAGTTTTTTCGACTATAGCACCCCTAGCGGTAGTTGCATCAAGTTATAATGTTCGGATGAAAGATTGCATTTTATGAGATCTATCAAATGAACAAAAAATCATTAAGATCGGATAATTAGAAGCTTAGTTATGGTTATTTAAGGTTTTAAAATTTCGATCCTTATATCTAGGGTTTGGAAGGATCTAGGTTTTGAGGCTAGCCATAACATACTAGAATTTGGGCCCGATCCATGCCGTAGAAGCTGAACAAATAGCGACATCATTGCTTGTGATGATTATCTTGACGTATTCGAGGCTTTTTAGCTAAATTTCTTAACTTCTTGAGGAGCAAATAAGACTTTAGTTTAATAATTCGGATAAAAAGGATTCAAACATTGCAAATAAATGATTTTTTTCTTTGATTTACAGTTGAAAACAGTTCCTTTATCAATTTTTATTCAGCTTTCCCACTGAAGATTCAATTCAAGCCACGTTCTGGACCCCTTGGAAGACACCTCTTCCGCTGGTCCTCCGAATAGATCAGTCGCTGCTAAGTGGAGGCAAAATTTATGGGACATGGACATTGTGAAGTGAGTCAGAGGAGCTATCGAATAACTCAATCAATCGTAAAATCTCAGCTCTGGCAGGAATTTCATTCACAGGCAGCGGACGAACAGGTTGGCTTCACTCACACCGCGTCGCGAGGTGAGGTTGGAGGAATGTGGAGCTCGGATTAAATGCGAGAATGCCATCGAACGTAGGCTTCGCCATGAGATAGCGAAGCCCATAAAATGCTGCGCTGTGAGCGCCATTGGATCTGGGCAGGAGGATCACGATCATTTATTTGACGATTTGCGCGCTATCGCGTGAAAACGCTCCACTTCACGGTGAAACGCAGCCCTTATCAGTGTGCAACATTATGCCCAATTATCGTGAAAATAACTGGTAACGATTTATTAAGAGCGGCCGCGCGACGCGGAGAGAGATGATCTCGCTTGCGCTGTAAATTAAGAGTGGCGTAAATTGTCTTGTCTTAAATTCTTAGCACTCAAACCTCACCTTGTAGCAGATAACGCCGCCGTAATCGATCATTGCTGGAGCGCCCTTGCGCGGCAAAGGTGAGAGAACGCTGATGCACTCTGAGAAAAGTGGTTTCGGGGGGAGAAAATGTGGCTTTTACAACAAGTACACCATTTCTTGTCACTTTGAAAGTGAACTCTTGCAGTTCTTAAGCTGTATTTAAGGGCAAAAATGTTGATCATTGATGTAGAAACTCAATTAAGAGTACAAAATGCCACTTTTCCGGATGTTTTTAGTGCTTTTCCGCTGATTTGTAGACAATTTTCTAGGGTGTTTATTATCTTTCCTTTTGAGAGCAATAAATCATGAAATTTCACTAAATTCGAGAAAGATTTGCGCTCGTGTTTTCCCGAGTGCACTGTCTTATCCTCATTTCTCCTTTGTTCACGATCTTCAGCTCATGGAACCGCAGGTAGAGAGACAGCGAGACTCCCTGGGATGGAACTCGACATAATTTGGTCATTTTCGATCAACACACGCCGAGAGGGTCTCATATTTGTCCATCGACAAATTAAAACGCACGATCAGGGGAATTAAGTGAAGACATCCTGTGGCGACAGTCAAAGAAACATCCCGATGGTTCCCAAAAAGCCGCACACATTCGGACCACGGCGTCATCATCATTGAATGAATGGAGAGAGAATGTGTCGCGAAGCTGAAAGAATATGCAAATGAGAGCAGCTCAGGAAATATCTTTATGTGAAAGCGTGTGCTTTATAGGCGGAATAATAAAATCTATCTAAATTGATCGATAAATGGGTGTTTAATATAAATCAGATCATGAATAGTGGAGCGTTTTATTGTCAACAAGCGTGGGCAAAATCAATTTTTCGGCTGAAGAAAAGACACGCGGGAAAATCAACACTGTGTAGAAACGGTTTTTGAATATATGAAAATTTCCCAGTCAATTCCGTAGAACTAGATTGGATAGAGAATTAAAAAAAAAATTTACATGTGTTCGCAATCTTATGCAATGTGAATATTTCATCAACTCTTCCAGCATATGTAATAAAAATAGTGAATTTATAAATATCTGTGAATGTGTTTTGTAAGCTATTAAAGAGTGTTTGAATTTCGAAGGTGATTGACAAAATGATTTACAATCATTGACACATTTTGACCTCAAAAAAAGAGGCATAAAAATCTTTCATATCATAATCAATTCGTATAATAAATTGAGTGGAAGGAAAATGCATTCTTTCTATAAAAGGGATGTCCATATCTTTATTGCCAATGCATTTATACGGTGCATCAATATTTGAATTGATTGTCGGAATTTGGGCATTTAATTATGAAGGAAGATACATATTTTGAATCCACCAAGGAAAGATAGCCGAAATGAGATGTGTTATATCGTTTCTCTCAACACCTTCACATCATGCTAAAATTGAGTGAGATAAGAAGAACGAGTGGAACATTTAAGTGTAATGTTCCGCCTATAAAATGAAGTTTTTTTCCTCACTTTATCGACTGATTTCTTTATGCTATTTTTATGTCTTCAATAATAAACTTAATGGAAATTCTTTCAATACACAACAACGCACGAGATTGCAACAAAATGCACTCGAAGAGAAACAATCATCAACACTTATTTTAATATTCATTGCTAAATGATTTTAAATTTTTTTTCCGCACAAATATTCATTTGTACGATTTTCAACAAAGTCTTGAACCACATAAAATTGACTCTGAGAGTTCAGGTTTATGTCTTTTTTATCTCGCAAGATTATGCCTCGAAAGCGACGCGACAAGCAAAGCGCCCCAAAAAGTCCAATTCTATAAAAATCACTGATTATTTTTTTTTTTCATCTCCAACACGTCGACATTTTCTGTCTTTATAGAATGTGACAATAATTTAATGGTTGGAAACATAAAGTGAATTAGTTTGTCGACCCGAGACGAGGTGAAAAAAAGGGACAAAATTGAATTAAGATGTTATCGAGATGCTTCTTTGTACGTTCTCTTTATCGGACTGCTTTAAAGTGCTTTAGATGTACAAATTTTCTCTTTTGTGTGTTAATCAATTGTCGTCTCGCGTCCACTAAATCCCCGGGAATTCCACCTGAAGCGCAGAGTTGTGCTGGAAATTAATTGTGTCCAAATTGGGACGATAAAGCGTGCGCGCCTCTTAAATGTCACGCACAATCGGAAGATCCTTGTGGAAGGAGAAGGAGTGAAACTTCATTCTTTCACCACGCGAAGGCACAACAGAGTGTGATGAGTGAGATGTGATGGTATATTTCTGGCCATTTCTGGCAAATGGAGAGCTTGTGATATGACTCAAGGGGCAGATATTAACTTCGGAAGTGGTGTACAGCTTTTGCTGAAGTGTAAGGAATTGGAAGTGGTGAAATATTTCAAATATTTGCACTGCAAAAGCTTCAGTTTCAACTAATTAAAGCATTTTCTAAATTATTTTGCTTAGAAAAATTGATTTTATTGTTTTTCTAGGTTATGTTATTGATATAAAACCGATTTTTAGTTATCAAATAACCCTCAAAATTATCAAATTTCTGTCTAAACTAGGAATATTTCTCTTTTTCTCGGCAAAATTGATCATTTGTGTTGCAAAAAAACTTCAAAGTGATTGAGAAAAAGCTTAAAAGTCAATCATAACCTCAAAAACTTCATTTTAGCCTAGAAGAATGTCTTTTTTCTTCATTATTTCTGCGATTTGAACTTCAAAGTGGCAAATTCAAGCTAAATTTCTTGTAAAAACATTACAATATTTGACTCATTTACTC